GTGACTTGGTTGATGCATGTCCCAATTGCGTAGATCGATGGTCATGATGCCAATCACTGAGAATGTCTGGTCCAGACTCGATTATTTACAGACCGCCGTCATATAGCTGGAATATTGCTGAGTGCGGCGTTAAGCAAACAAGCAAATAACCCTGACTGAAACAATCCCGAGCTTCCGTTTTTATACCCTTGTCCATATTACGTTTGGTATTGGGCCTACGCACTTTCACACATTTCAGAGGCATATTGTTGTATGTACAGCATTCATACTTTGAAATAATGTTTGTCATTATTAATATCCATGCCCCAATACTGGAATACATGTAACGCATCTAACATTTAGTAGTCATGTTGTGTCAAATCAGCAAGGTTATCAGATAAAGGTACTGAAAATTACATTAACATATCCTCTGTTATGAATATACCGCCATCAAACGTTTTTGACCTATATTATGCCAGTTCCTGAATAAAGATAGAAAGAGTAATGGACTGAGTATACAGCCTTGACGGACACCACTTGAACAGGGGAAATTATTAGTCTGTTACAACCACCAGTGCCCTGACATCGTTATACATACTCTTAATGACTTTATAAAACCTATCAGGCATAGCATTTTTTTTTTATCGAATTACCATATTAAATGCCTTTTTTGAAGTCAATGAATGAACAAGTAGTAAAATATGTATGGTATCTATAATAAGAATCTCTTTTGAAATTTCTTTAAAGGGTTCTTAGCAATAACAGAAAAGCTTTTACTCCTAATATTAATTAATATTAAATAACCAGGTCTCTCCAACAGCTCTCTCCGACAATCCACTCCGATAACCGACTATCTCCAACATGCCACTTGGAAAACCGACTCTCTCCAACTTCCAATCCGATAACAACTCTTTCCAACATACCACTCCGATAACCGACTGTCTCCAACATATCACTCAGATAACCGACGCTCTCCAACATACCACCCTGATAACCCACTCTCTCCAACATACCACTCCGATAACCCACTCTCTCCAACCTACCACTCTGATAACCGACCCTCTCCAACCTGCCACTCTGATAACCCACTCTCTCAAACATACCACTCTGATAACCCACTCTCTCCAACATACCACTCTGATAACCGACTCTCTCCAACATTCCACTCTGATAACCGACGCTCTCCAACATACCACTCCGATAATCGACTCTCTCCAACATACCACTCCGATAATCGACTCTCTCCAACATACCACTCCGATAACCGACTCTCTCCAACCTACCACTCTGATAAAACACTCTCTCCAACCTACCACTCTGATAACCGACGCTCTCCAACCTACCACTCTGATAACCAACTCTCTCCAACATACCACTCTGATAACCGACTCTCTCCAACATTCCACTCTGATAACCGACTCTCTCCAACATACCACTCCGATAATCGACTCTCTCCAACATACCACTCCGATAACCGACTCTCTCCAACCTACCACTCTGATAAACCACTCTCTCCAACCTACCACTCTGATAACCGACGCTCTCCAACCTACCACTCTGATAACCGACTCTCTCCAACATACCACTCTGATAACCGACTCTCTCCAACATACCACTCTGATAACCGACTGTCTCGCACATACCACTCCGATAACCCATTCTCTCCAACATACCACTCTGATAACCGACTGTCTCCAACATACCACTCTGATAACCGACTCTCTCCAACATACCACTCTGATAACCCACTCTCTCCAACCTACCACTCTGATAACCCACTCTCTCCAACCTACCACTCTGATAACCCATTCTTTCCAACCTACCACTCTGATAACCCACTCTCTCCAACATCCCACTCCGATAACCGACTCTCTCCAACATACCACTCTGATAACCGACTCTCTTCAACATAACACTCTGATAACCGACTCTATCCAACATACCACTCTGATAACCGACTGTCTCAAACATACCACTCTGATAACCGACGCTCCCCAACATACCACTCCGATAACCGACTCTCTCCAACATACCACTCCGATAACCCACTCTTTCCAACATGTCCTTCAGACAACCAGCTCTCTCCAACATGTCCTTCAGATAACATTGCCTCTTCTCCAGAATGTCATTCCGATCAGTGGGTGTTCTACAGCATGTCCTGTTGGTGTAAGTCTCCCATATGGTTCCTGGGTAAGAATGCGTGAAAAGTACATAGAATGTGTCGTAAGAACAAACTGAAAAGGAGGTGAAGTGATTCGCTCTGTCATTTGTGTGTCATCTAGCCGGATGGCTTGGGCCATGGGTCACTATTTTTTCTGTGTCCAGACTCGTTTTTTGTATGTTTCGATCTGGTAAGAGGTTCCCTTTAAACGTGTCATGACCAATTGCGTACCTCAACATGTTCCTGGGGACTTCGCCAACAAGCAAGACGACACATAAGTAGCTAGGGGGGTGCATTAAATAAATTCAATTTAACAAACACCGCCCTCTTGCATAGATCCTTTGGAGCACTTGACATGTACATTACCATGACAACCTATACGCAGCAATCCCCATGTATACCACCACTGTTGTGCGTTACCAAGCACACTTTATTAACCCCTCTACTCTGTCCTGCTACTGTACTTGGGCATTCAATCTCTGGGTGTTTCGGGGGTAAATCAAAGCTGGAGAATTGAGCAGAGCGGGCTATGATTTACCTCGAGGATTCCCGTGATAAGAGGCATTGTGGGATTACGGAATACACCAGGACGGCATATGATATATTACCATGGCTGTGGTGCTCCGGGAGAGGAGTGGGGGTGGGGGTGGGGGTGGGGGTGGGGGGTGGGGTGGGGGGGGGGGGGGGGGGTGGATGGGGGAGGAAGGGTGGTAGTTTTACTAAATCAACAAGACGTCTTATACAAAGTCTATGAAACGTGTAACATTCATGTCGGTGTTTATATGGGTGGTAAAGAGGTGGTCTTGATGTGGGTGGTATGGAGGTGGTCTTGATATTGGTGGTATAGAGGTAGCGTGGATACGGGTGGTTTAGAGGTGGTGTGGATGTGGAAATGGGTGGTTGAGAGGTGGTATTGATATGGGTGGTTTAGAGGTGGTGTGGATATGGGTGGTTTGGAGGTGGTGTGGATATGGGTGGTTTAGGGGTGGTGTGGATACGGGTGGTTTAGAGGTGGTGTTGATATGGGTGGTTTAGAGGTGGTGTGGATACGGGTGGTTTGGAGGTGGTGTGGATATGGGTGGTTAAGAGGTGGTGTGGATATGGGTGGTTTAGATGTAGTGTGGATATGGGTGGTTTAGTTGTGGTGTGGATACGGGTGGTTTAGAGGTGATGTGGATATGGGTGGTTTAGAGGTGGTGTTGATATGGGTGGTATGGAACTGGTGTGGATATGGGTGGTTTAGTTCTTGATGTGGATACGGGTGGTTAAGAGGTGGTATGGATATGATCGGTATAGAGGTGATGTGGTTATGAGTGGTATAGAGGTGGTGTGGACATGGGTTGTATAGACGTGGATGCAAGGTGGTGAAGATGTGGATGTGATAATACAGAACTGGATACAATGTGGTGTAGATGTGGATTTGATAATACAGAACTGGATGCAAGGTGGTGTAGATGTGGATGTGATAATACAGAACTGGATGCAATGTGGTGTAGATGTGGATGTGATAATACAGAACTGGATGCAAGGTGGTGTAGATGTGGATGTGATAATACAGAACTGGATGCAATGTGGTGTAGATGTGGATGTGATAATACAGAACTGGATGCAAGGTGGTGTAGATGTGGATGTGAGAATACAGAACTGGATGCAATGTAGGGTAGATGTGGATGTGATAATACAGAACTGGTTGCAATGTGGTGCAGATGTGGATGTGATAATACAGAACTGGATGCAAGGTGGTGCAGATGTGGATGTGATAATACAGAACTGGATGCAATGTAGGGTAGATGTGGATGTGATAATACGGAACTGGGTGGAAGTTGGGTAGATGTGGATGTGATAATACAGAACTGGATGCAAGGTGGGGTAGGTGTCGGTGTGTTGGTATACAATTGATGGATGAGGGTTGTTGTACATGAGTTTGTCGTTGTATAGAAGTGGCCGAGAGGTGACAAGGGCTGACATGTAGCAGTTATAATACATGCACGCGTACAAAGGCAAGAAACATCTCCATATACCACGCAGATAAGCTAAGGCGGCATCAAACAAACCACCCCATGTTCATAACCACTGACTACTTAATCAGACCGCCTCCGTGGTCTTGTGGTAGAGCGTCCGCCCGCAGAGCGGAAGGTCCGGGGTTCGATCCCGGGCCGCGTCATACAAAAAGACGTTAAAAGATTGTACTTGTTGTTACCCTGTCTGGCGCTCGGCATTAAGGGGCTAAAACAAGGACTGGTCGGCTCGGAGTCAGTATACTGTGTCTGAGTGGGGTATTCATGTTAAACTGCGGCATGGTATCTCAGTGAGCTAGCACTATAAATCGGCATCAGTCCGGACTAGTACAAGCAGCCACACACACACATACACGTGCATGCACGTCGCTATATAAGTGCAATAATCTTGGACGCGACGTTAAACCCAATTTCACCTCACCTCACTTAATCATATCACAAATGCAACATACTATGCAGAAAGGTGGGTGGCCTGACAGTGATAAATCCGAGTTAATTCCCAATTGGGGGATTTCAGGTGCATCGTATTATTCATAGATAATAATATTTGTAAAGTTTAATAAACACATTCCATAGTTTCCAAAGCATGGAAACTAAGTGTGAAATACTTGACTGAAGGTTGATCAATATGTGAGTCAGATCGCGGGTAAACTGGAGCCTTTTCTCTCGCCAACCCTTGTAACGCTCAGGTATTTTCAAACGATAAGACGATAAACTCGAGTGACAAATCACCGTTGAGACAATAGGGTACGTTGGAAGATCTGTAAAAGCCAAACTGATCGATAGATGTAAGACCACGTTACTGTGACTGCCTACTTCACCGTAGGCCTGATTCAGGGGGAGGCTACTTTAATTCCCACCCCTATCCACGCACATCCGGTACTTGCCTACCACACAACCGGACTGTATATTTATAACCAGGCACAGACGTATCCAGGGTTCACGATCACGCGGTGATGATCCCGACGGCTGATATGCTATTCTGCCTTACCGTGCAACTATACCCGTTAACCATGCCACAAAGACAATACACACACGCGAAGTGATCACTGGATGGATGAAAAGCTGTTATTACAACAATCATCTTTTTTTGGCTTGCTTTGATCAGACACCATATCTGCTTTGATGTGATGCATTAAGTTGAGGTACACGACGCACGACCGCTACAATGGTGTTGGCATGGTTCCTGTCGCCGTTCTTGGTCCTGGTGGTTCCTGTCACGGGTGGCTCAGGTAAGGGGGTGGAGTGGGTGGGGGGTGGGGGGTTCATTTCAAGACCGTTGGGCAGCGGGGTAGCCTTGTGGTTGGAGGGTTGACTTGTACGACCGAAAGCTTAGGTTTGATCCCACCGAATATGGTAGAAATTTGTTTGTTTGTTTGTTGTTTAACGCCGCACTCAGCAACATTCCAGCTATATGACGGCGGTCTGTAAATAATCGAATCTGGTTCAGACAATCCAGTGATTGTCATCATGAACATCGATCCACGCAATTGGAATACGATCACATGCATCAACCAAGTCAGCGAGCCTGACCACCCGATCCCGTTAGTCGCCTCTTACGACAAGCATAGTCGCCTCTTACGACAAGCATGGCTTACTGAGCATGTATTCTAACCCGGATCTTCACAGATGTTTATGCCTTTTACGGCGAGCATGATTGCTGAAGACCTATTCTACCCTGGTTCTGGTACCTCGTAGGATCTTTGGTAAATACAGAGCAAATATGTCATACATAGAATTGATATGGAATTGGACGAAAGGTGTTGTAATATTGTAGGATAAAAGTGACGTGAGGCGGTTAAGCAGTGGATGTGAGGTGGTTAGTGATCCGTGTAAATCTGCGAGAATATCGTCACGTAACAACATATGTTATAAAATATAATCCAACAATTCCGAAAGGTATATGGGGACATGTTTGTGATGAAAAAAGAAGAGGATCGTTACAACTTTCGTTTCCAGTACATGTACTTTGATAAAAATATGACATCTATAGATATGTAAACATCGTAAATATCCGTCAAACATGACTCGTTCCACACCACATTCTTAGCTGTATATTCGAAACTGTTTGAGTTGCGTGAGCGAGTAACGCAGCTTTCAACAATATTTTCAGTGTATACTCACCACCAAAAGAAACGCGAACCTTAGAATGAGTGTGAGTGTGTTGGGTTTAACGCCAATTTTAACAGTATTCCAGTTATATCGCGGCGTGTCAGCTTAATGTGGGAGGAAAGCCCGAAGTGATGCAGGTCACAGACGTTTACCACTTCGGTGAAACCCACGGGCACGGGTATGGTGCTGACAAACCTAGAAACATAATCGGAGCGAACTGGGATTCGAACCCTCAATCATAGATTTCTGGCGTGCCCAAGGGACGCAACTCTGCACAGCGAATCGCGGCTTAGACGACTGGGCCACCCGTGCCCCCCGAACCTTAGAAACATATGGAGAAGTATGTAAGTTAAGAAGAGATATTTGAAATGTGTTCCGCTTAATGACAAAACTAACAATCGGTCACATGTTACTGCACTGTCTTTATTATTATCGAGATCTGCTGCACGTGATTACCAACTTAGCACGCTAATCCTGCACGAGGCAAATGGTGCATCTCGAGTCATGGATGTATGACGTCACATGTGATGCGTTGATCAGCGTCGGTTCACACTACATAACAGTATATATGTTTGTGCATCGAACCAATCTAATATCTCTTGAATATGAGTAATTCTTCCCATATTAACCAACATGATGAAACCAACTTGGTTGATGCATGTCATCGTATCCCAATGGCGTGGATCGATGCTCATGATGTTAATCACTGGATTATCTGACCAAGACTCTATATTTACTTACAGACGTCACATAGCGTAAATGTCGCTGACAAACTAACAAAATCATAGAATGAAACACAGGTCGCCTGAGATCGAATCCGATGAAGACGTTTTCTTCCAAATTTCACAACCGAAATTATTTTAACGTTTTTGTGTGAAATGATGAGAAAATGTCATTACAAATGCAAGGATAATATACTTGATGAACCCTTTATGAACGTATAACTAACATAGGCACACAGTTATACGGCATCAGGCATGACATTTGATTCTTCGTCAAATGTGAATTTTAAATATAAATCTGTTATTACTTTCATTCTATTCCGGGGTAGAATAGGTCTTCAGAAACCCATGCTTGCCGTAAAAGGTGACTATGCTTGTCGTAAAAAGCGACTAACGGGATCGGGTGGTCAGGCTCGCTGATTTGTTTGATGCATGTCATCGTATCCCAATTGCCTTGATTGATGCCCATGATATCAATCACTGGATTGTCTGGTCCAGACTCGATTATTTCCAGACCGCCGTCATATAGCTGGAATATTACTGAGTGCGGCGTTAAACAACAAACCAACAACAACTTTCATTCTAGTACTGTATGTACGAAAGAGTGAGTGTGTGTTGGGGATGATGTATGTTCGAGTGATCGGGGAGGTCATAGATTTAACATCGTTGCGGCATACCATGGTGATGGGTAGGTTTCAGCTACTCACATGATACCTATCCATGTTGAATCCGGACCTGGAGGTGGTGGAGTGGTGAGGCGGTGGGGTGGTGGGGTGGTGAGGCGGTGGGAGGTGGTGGAGTGGTGGGGCGGTGGGAGGTGGTGGAGTGGTGGAGTGGTGGGGTGGTGAGGCGGTGGGAGGTGGTGGAGTGGTGAGGCGGTGGGAGGTGGTGGGTTGGTGGGGTGTTGAGGCGGTGGTGGGGTGGTGGGGTGGTGAGGCGGTGGGAGGTGGTGGGGTGTTGAGGCGGTGGTGGGGTTGACGGGGTGGTGAGGCGGTGGGAGGTGGTTGAGTGGTGGGGTGGTGGGGTGGTGGGAGGTGGTGGAGTGGTGGGGTGTTGAGGCGGTGGGAGGTGGTGGAGTGGTGGGGTGGTGGGGTGGTGAGGCGGTGGGAGGTGGTGGAGTGGTGGGGCGGTGGGGTGGTGGGGTGGTGAGGCGGTGGTAGGTGGTGGAGTGGTGGGGTGGTGGGGTGGTGAGGTGGTGGAGTGGTGGGGCGGTGGGGTGGTGGGGTGGTGGGGTGGTGAAGCGGTGGGAGGTGGTGGAGTGGTGGGGTGGTGGGGTGGTGAGGCGGTGGGAGGTGGTGGAGTGGTGGGGCGGTGGGGTGGTGGGGTGGTGGGGCGGTGGGGTGGTGGGGTGGTGAAGCGGTGGGGTGGTGGGGTGGTGAAGCGGTGGGAGGTGGTGGAGTGGTGGGGCGGTGGGGTGGTGGGGTTGTTGGGTGGTGGGGTCTTGGGAGGTGGTGAGGAGGTGAAGCCTAGTGGTTAAAGCTTATTGTGCCGACTTCCCGGGTTCTATTCCCAACATGGGCACAATGTGTGAAGCTCCGTTCATGGTGTCCCCCCGATATGGTTGAACTATTGCTGAAAGGGGTGTAAAAACCAACTTACTCCTTATTTGACTATTTGTCCCTTCAGGATTGCTCGCCATTACTAACCTCCCGCAGACGATATCTGTACCTGAAGACACCCAGCCGTGGGCGCGTATCTTTACTGTGAAGACGCCGGGGATGACGCCGGGGATGACGCCGGGGATGGCGTACAACATGACGCCGGACACCAACTTCTCCATCAACGCCCTGGGTCAGGTGCAGGTCAGCGCTCCCCTGGACTACGATTTGCTTCCTAAAGACAACACACTCATGTTGGAAATAAGGTGAGATCGTCATTTAAAAGGGGAAAGTATTCAACTGATTTATACGACAAATGCTATTGGTATCGTTCTTCATTTTCTGTCTTAGAGGTGGTGAATATTTACAGAACCAGTTATAACTGGAATATTTCGTGATTGCGGCGTTAAACAACAACCAATATATAAAAAATAATTAAATTTCATGCTATAATGACTTAGAAATGCGACAGTTATGTGTACTATAAATTAAGTATTGTTCACAGACGAATTTAGTTGGGTTTAATCACGTTGTGTAATTCAAAGCCAGATTGATACTGGTCTTAGTTTTGAGGTGAAAACCCACGAGCACGGGTATGGTTCTAACATCCCAGGGCGTCTCTTGCTGCGCCACTGAACAAGAGAAATATACCAGCTTCCTACTAGAAGTGTATGATATCACAAATATATAAAATACCTACATGTCATGGTAATGGCCCTCGTGAAGATCCAGATTAGAATTCGTCTCCTCGTCAACCCTTTGCTTGTAGGCGACTAACGGGATCGGGTGGTCAGACTCGCTGACTTGGTTGATGGATGTCATCGTATCCCAGATGCGTAGACCGATGCTCATGGTGTCAATCACTGGATTGTCTGGTCCAGACTCGATTGTTTACAGACCGCCGTCATATAGCTGTAATATTGCTGAGTGCGGTGTATAACAAGAAACAAACAAACAAACAAACAAACAAACAAAGCATGTTGATGACTCACCTTGGCTGTGGGGTCTATCACTGAAATATACGAAGCATGATGAAGCATGTCCGCTGATAATACACTTTCATATTCTGTAGCGTCACCAGCACAACCAAAAAAACAAAAACCTTCACGGGGAACCTAACGGTGGTTGTGACCAACGTGTTTGATGTTCCTCCAAATCTGACGTCAAACACTAGTGTTGTGACGGTGAAGGAAGAGCTGCTGCAGCAGACGCTGTCGTGTAACGTTACTGCTGTAGATGCTGAGACTGAAGATGGAGACAAACTGACCTTCTCATTATCAGGTAAGGATTTAGTATCCAAAGACAAAACGGAAGAACCATCTTCCACAAGTATAAATACGTTTTGGTTTGGTTTGTTGTTTAACGCCGCACTCAGCGATATTCCAGTTATATGACGGCGGTTCTGTAAATAATCGTGTCTGGACCAGACAATCCAGTGTACATTGGCGACGTGTTAGTTCGCAAAGTGTAATTCTCGGTTGGGTTCTATGTCTATGTTTCCACTGTTTTGACCACATATAGACCGCCTCCGTGGTCTAATGGTACAGCGTCCGCCCGGAGAGCGGAAGGTCCAGGATTCGATCCCCGACCGCGTCATACCAAAAGACGTTAAAAGATGGTACTTGCCTGGCGCTCGGCATTATGGGGCTAAAACAAGGACTGTTTGGCTCGGAGTCAGTATACTGTGTCTGAGTAGGGTATTCATGTTAAACTGCGGTATGGTATCGCAGTGAGCTAGCACTATAAATCGGCATCAGTCCGAACTAGTACAAGCAGCCACACACACACATACACGTGCTTGCACGTCGCTATATAAGTGCAATAATCTTGGACGCGACGTTAAACCCCATTTCACCTCACCTCTGAGCACATATATTCAAAACACCTCCCCTGGTATTATTGTCACATGTTTTGACTACCCGTGAACATCGAGGGTAGAATAGATGTTCAGGAACCCATGCTTGCCGTAAAAGCCGACTATGCTTGTCGAAAGACTAACGGGATCGGGTGGTCAGGCTCCGGGCCTGGTAGATGCATGTCATCGTATCCTAATTGCGTAGATCGTTGCTTATGATGGCAATCACTGGATTGTCTGGTCCAGACTGTATAATTTACATACCGCCGGAATATTGCTGAGTGTGGCGTTAAATAACAAACAAACAAACATGTTTGTCTTATGACTGCATGGAGAAAATAAATACACGAATTCACAACTTGGCTGTAACGGTTGTTGAGCCTTTAAAATGAAAAGAAAATATTACATTTAGCACAAGCTGTCTTTCAATGTACACTATCTACACTCGCACAGAAACGCACAGGAAGTATGTAATTCATTGAACCTGACTACACAAAATATCCGGTATATAAATTGGAAATATGTTATTGGAAAATGTTGGTGGCCTGATATTCGACAAACGTCGCGTCAAAACGCAGCCATTGTAGATTTACAATGTCTTAAACGGCATTGTTTTCACACTTGTTAAAATATGTCATGGAGGAAAACAGTAAAGCAAAATGACGTTCAAGTTATGGCATTCGTAACTCGTGGTAGAGGCTATAATAAGGCAAGCATTAGCCAATAATTTTTCATTCAATTGTCAACATGTTTCAAGTTCAAAAATGCCGAGACTCAGCGCTGCCGATGGGAACATCGCCATAGGACTATCCAAAGAGGGGAATGCAGTCTTCTGTTGCACGCCACGTCTACGTCCACTACAGCACCATTTGCCGCCTTTGTGACCGATACACACAGTTCAATTCCATTGCAGACCGTCCGAGAAACGTTCGGCCAAGAGTTACCTGCCTTGCACAGGATCGCTACTTTCGACTGTTCCACCTACGGCATCGCAATGCCACAGCTACGGAGACTGCTGGACGCATCCCTGGTTTGAGGTGGATATTGGACCAGACTGTCAGGAACCATCTTCGCGAGGCTGGAATCCGACCAAGAAGACCAGTTATCGTCCCTGTTTTGCAACAGATCAATCGACAGCGACGCTTGCGTTGGTGCCATACCATACAGCCTTGGAACTTGAGAAACTGGAGACGAGTGTGGTTTAGCGATGAATCACGATTTCTTCTTCACCGGCGAGATGGAAGATAACGTGTTAATCGTCGTCGAAATGAGCGTTTTGCCCCACATTGTGTACGCGAATTCGACAATTTCGGTGGCGGTAGTGTCATGGTGTGAACGGCCATATCCTACACCACGAGATCTGACTTGGTTGTGGTTCAGGGAACTTTGACAGCAAATCGCTACATGAATCAAATTCTTCAACCTCACCTTCTTCAATAAATGACCGCAAGAGGGAGCTGGACAACGCTCCACCGCACACAGCCCGTTTCACGGTAGACTACCTTCATAATGCCAACATCAACGCCTTGCCTTGGCCGTTGAGATCTCCAGATCTCAACCCAATCGAACACCTCTTGGATGAACTCGATCGACGTGTACGTCAACGTCTGAACACGCCGCAGACACCACCACAACTGGCCAACGCGTTACAAACAGAATGACGCAGAATTCCGCACGACAGAATTAGTACACTTATCCAGTCAGTGCCGAGGAGATGCAGAGCCGTGATTGCTACCCGGGGCGGTCACACGAGATACTGAGTTCAGCGCAACCTTGTTGCCTTATGTGACATGACAATGAACAGTTTTCAATGACATTGTACAACGACAACATGTGACTTTCGAGCTCCAAAATTTCATATTTTTATCTATAATATTAAATTAAATATTTTTAAATCTAATACCACTTTCGTTACATAGCACGTATGATGAATTAATTACATTACGTGTGGCCCAAACTGTACTCCCCACCTCAAATTGTAACGAGAAAGTCCATTCAATTTGATTGACACGCTTATGTTCGGAAAGTGAACATTCCTTAAAACTGTTTCATTCTCGGGTATTTGCTATTGTAACGGAATGAGGATTCAAAGAGAAGGATTAAACACAATTGATAGCAACTCTATTGCACGTAATCGCAAGAATTATTTTCTAAATTACACATTAAAAATGCATAGAATTTTAGAGTTAAGATCAGATTTGTACTCGAGTCAAGTCACACACTGAGCTAGTAATGATACACGACCTGGTGCGGAAGGAAGCCAGAGTGATCCAGGTTGTTCGGCCAGTAGACTTCTTCATAGAATACTGCCCACAAATTGTTATTGTTTTTCTGGCGCATTTTGATTCGCATGATTACGGGTCGGGTTATTCACTCGTCGACATGATGTCCTGCACGCTGCATTGATTAAATACACTTCGTATGGCTTTAGTGAGTGAGTGAGTTGGGTTTAACGCCGCTTTTTACAGTATTCCAGTCATATCACGGCGTGTCAGCTTAATGTGGGAGGAAAGCCCGAAGTGACGCAGGTATCAGACGTTTACCACTTCGGTGAAACCCACGACCACGGGTATGGTGGTGACAAACCTTGAAACATAATCGGGGTGAACCGGGATTCGAACCCACGATCATAGGTGTACAAGGGACGCAACTCTGCACAGACTTTTAAACAATTAGCTGTGCAGAGTTGCGTCCCTTGGGAACGCCAGAAACCTATACTCGTGGGTTCGCCCCGATTATGTTTCAGGGTTTGTCAGCTCGTAAAGGGTAAACGTTTAAGGAAGCGGATATAGAATATGTTTAACACTACTTTTATTCAATGATCCAAGGGTTATGGATAGAGTTGGGGGTAGCCTACCCTACACAACTAACCCTAAGGATCGAAAAGACACGCGTAAATATGTATTCTCTGACACTCAATACTTTTCTTGTGACTGTTCTATGTTTTGATACTATCAAGTGGCGAACAGTGATACAGGTTCTATTATCGCACCCGTTTAAAACCTGCACCACTTCAGGCTTTCCTTCCACATTAAGCTGGCACACCGTGATATGACTGTAATTCTGTTCAAAGCGACGTTGAACCCAACTCACTCACTCATTCACTCCAAGTTCTAAAACACATGGCAACGCATAGCATCACATCGCATTTCATCATCCATTTTTCATGACATGTGCCTTTACCACTTCCGTTAAAGGGACATAACTCGTCCTCTCAAACCGCTAAATAACTCGCCCTTGCATACTGCTGAATACTTCAATACGCATTGCAAGAGAAATATCGCACAGAAATGAAATTCAACAATTAAATCTACCAACTGTACAGCTTTGATAAATTACATTTGTTACTTTCCATTGTAGGTCCGAACAGTATGTTCTTCGCTATTGATTGGACTACGGGGGCTATAACGGTACAGAATCCCATTGACTACGATGCGGGGTACCACACCTTATCACTGGTAGTGTTGGTAGAGGACCTGGGGGGCAACAAAGACCGCCTAGACATAACCGTCAACATAGAAGACGTCAACGACAACGCACCGACGTGTACACCCAACACCTTTCATGTCGCAGTCCCAGAAGATGCCGCAGACAGTAATACTTTCTCAGCTGCATTTCGTTGTATGAAAACGTCCATATTTAGATAACTCTATTGAGTTGATAACGTCCTACTTAAGACGAACTCAATATTCCAGGTATAGACTATAGTAAGGGCCAGTCTACGTTTCCCTCCTCTTCCCCATCGTACTGGCTTCATCTCCCTGCTCCTTGCACACGGGTCCGCCTTCGTGGTCTGGTTGTAGAGCGTCCACCCGGAGAGCGGATCCACCCGATCTCCGGCCGCGTCCTACAAAAAGACGTTAATAGATGGTACTTGTTGTTACCCTGTCTGGCGCTCGGCATTAAGGGGCTAAAACAAGGACTTGTCGGCTCGGAGTCAGTATACTGTGTCTGAGTGGGGTATTCATGTTAAACTGCGCCATGGTATCTCAGTCGGCTAGCTCTATAAAATCGGCATTATTCCGAACCAGTACATGCAGCCACACACACACTTATCCGTCAAAGAGAACAGAACGTCCACGTAAAATATAAACATCAGCATCAGCCCAAACAACGGGCGCGAAAGGCAAAAAAGTGGTAAAAAATATATGACAAAAAATCAGTGATGACATCAGGCGTTCGCGAAAAGGGTAAGCATGACCTGCTGAGCTGGAAGCACCCGTGATGAAAACCTTTATTGATGACATCGTATTGCTCACCACCCATAAAACCTTCTTTCGCTCGCAATGTGTTCAGGGTGACATTCTTGTACCTAACCACACGTACATGCACGTCGCTATATAAGTGCAATAATCTTGGACGCGACGTTAAACCCAATTTCACCTCACCTCACCTCTTGTACCTTACAGTGGTTGAGTGAGTGAGTATAGTTTTACGCCGCTTTTAGCAATATTCAGTCAATATCACGGCGGGGGACACCAGAAATGGGCTTCACACATTGTACCCATGTCGGGAATCGAACCCGGGTCTTCGTCGGGACGATCGAACGCTTTAACCGCTAGGCTACCCGACCGCTCCTGTACCTGAGATGTCAGATATAGAGATAATTATCCGTTTTGTACATATTGTATATTAGAGTGAGTGAGTGAGTGAGTGAGTGAGTGAGTGAGTATGGTTTTACGCCGCTTTTAGCAATATTCCAGCAATATCACGACACCAGAAATGGGCTTCACGCTTTGTACCCATGTCGGGAATCGAACCCGGGTCTTCGGTGTGAAGATCGAACGCTTTAACCACTAGGCTACCCGACCACCCCTATTGTATATTTGAAGTACATATAGGCCAATAATCTCTTTATCACATGTCATTCTTGACATAATCGATTTTTGAGACGTCACTCAATGCAGTAGCTTAAAAACCGCGCCATTTACAATATGGTGCTAATTGATTCACTGTTGGTGTAATCTCGTACACCCATTGGGGGCATGCCAGAAACCTATGATGCTGGGTTCGAATCCCGGTTCGCCCCAATTATGTTTCTAGGTTTGTCAGCACCATACCCGTGCTCGTGGGTTTCACCGAAGTGGTAAACGTCTGAGACCTGCATCACTTCGGGCTTTCCTCCCACATTAAGCTGACACGCCGCGATATAACTGGAATACTGTTAAAATTGGCGTTAAACCCAACTCACTCACTCACTCACTCATACACTCATTCCTGACATCTGTATGGCATGCTAGTATATTCATTTACGACCGTTTCAAATGTTTATAACGCGCTAGTATTAATTTGCATTTGTTATAACGAACTCAAAGGGACCACTAATTTTAGTTCGTAATTACCATACATGTAGTGCGTTATAAGCATATATATCGCATATATGCAAGAAATGTCCAGATTTAAACAATAAGTTCGTTTTATCGGTCAGTTCGTCTTAAGCGTGTTCGTTATAAACGTATGTTACTGATTTCAGACACTGTTGTTGCGTCCCTCTTCTGCACCGATGTCGACTCCGTGACCACGACCACACTGTCCTGTATGATTGTTTCCGGAGACCCCAGTTCAAATTTCACAACAGATACGCCCGGGACGTCATTGTCAGTGAAGACAGCAGGTCCCCTTGATCACGAGACGACGACTTCGTACACCCTGATCGTCCACGTCTATGACAACGACACCGAAGCGTCACGTCACACCGCTGTCGTCACCGTCGTCGTGCAGGTTGACAATGACATGTACTTTATTTATTTAGAGATATTTAATGTAGGAACATGTATTAGCACCCTGTTACGCATTCTGTTGATTATAGAGACATTCTGTTATCTAACATAAGCATTCCAGAAGGACCGTACCGCATTTCTCATCATGTTTGTTTGTTTCTTGTTGAAAGCCGCCCTCAGCAATATTCCAGCTGAATGACGGCGGTCTGTAAATAATCGAGTCTGGACCAGACAATCCAGTGACTGACATCATGAACATCGATCCACACAATTGGAATCAATGACATGCACCAACCAAGTCAGCGAGCCTGACCACCCGTTAGTCGCCTCTTAAGACAAGCACAGTCGCCTTTTACGGCAGGCATGGGTTGCTGAAGACCTATTCTACCCCGGATCTTCACGGGTCTGTCTCACCGTGTATGGCTAAACACGATCGCTGTGAAGACGGCCATGTCTGCATTTCAAGTGAAATAATCATAAGTTTCAGCAGGATCACGAGTTCCCTGAGTGATCCTCCTACAACGACTTTATCTTACCGACATGTTGTAATAAGCCATTGTAAAATAATTCAAGAAATGCCAAATTGATCGAAAACAGCTGCTCGATTAAGCTGAGGTTAGCTTGCGCTATGTCACATGACATCCATTGGCTCGGAAAAAGCGTACGGCTTTTTGCTTGAAGCGGGATTTAAAGGAAATATTCTGTCAGAAATGCACGTGCAGCCTGTAGTGCTCGTGGCGGGGTATATGAGATTTATTCTCCCGCTGAGAAATTTACATGGACCAATCAGATCTCATCATTCTGACATGGAGGTATGACAATACTTTATATACCTTCACGAGGCTACGGTCGCCGTAGAGTCATAGCATCATCGTCCTGGCTGTGTGTGTTTACCGGCGAAGTGTCAATCAAAGTATTTGAGCATGCGCCCCGACAATACACAACTTCCTATTGACCAGTACAGATATCAGTGGAGACTTCAGCGCGTTATATGTTCAAAGGTGTGTAAATACTTGGTAGGTTTCCATGCATCATTGTATAATCACAGTAATTTTCCCGCATCTCGTATTAATGTTTCACTAAGGTTGAGGACGTCGACGACAATGCTCCTGTGTGGGTGACCATGGCGCAGACCATTCCCGTGTCGGAGGACGTCGTTCCTGGCTCCACCTTCTTCACTGTACTAGCTATTGACCCGGACACAACTCCTGGAAGTACCGTCACCTACGTCGTCACAGGAGGTAAAATGTCTCCATCTCCCCCCTCACCGTCTGTTTGCATGTTTGTCTCCCTCCCACTCTCTGTCTGTCTCTCACTTTGTCCGTCTGTCTGTCTCTGTATCCGTCTGTCTGTCTCTGTGTCCGTCTGTCTCTGTGTCGTCTGTCTCTGTGTGTGTCTGTCTGTCTCTCTGTGTGTGTCCGTCTGTCCCTCTGTGTGTCCGTCTGTCTCTCTGTGTGTGTCCGTCTGTCCCCCTGTGTGTCCGTCTGTCTCTGTGTCCGTCTGTCTCTGTGTGTGTCCGTCTGTCTCTGTGTGTGTCCGTCTGTCTCTCTGTGTGTCCGTCTGTCCCTCTGTGTGTCCGTCTGTCTCTGTGTGTGTCCGTCTGTCTCTCTGTGTCTGTCCGTCTGTCCTCTGTGTGTCCGTCTGTCTCTCTGTGTGTCCGTCTGTCTCTCTCTGTGTCCGTCTGTATCGCTGTGTGTCCGTCTGTCTCTGTGTCTGTCCGTCTGTCTCTCCCAACCTCTGCCTCCTCAATCCCAGTCTGTGTTTTTCTGTGCGTGTCACTGCCTGCCTGTCTGTCTGTCTCACTCTGTGTCCGTCTGTCTCTGCGTGTGTCGGTCTCTCTCTCTCTCTGTGTCTGTCTCTCTGTGTGTGTCCGTCTCTCTCTCTCTCTGTGTGTCCGTGTGTCTGTGTGTGTCCGTCTCTCTCTCTCTCTCTCTCTCTGTGTGTGTCTGTCTGTCTCTGTGTCCGTCTATCTCTCTCCGTGTCCGTCTGTCTCTGTGAATCCGTCTGTCTCTCCCAACCTCTGCCTCCTCCATCTCTGTCTGGTTTTTTTCTGTGCGTGTGTCTCTGCCTAGCTGTCTGTCTCACCCCCCCCGCCCCCCCCCCCCCCCTTCGTCTCCCTCTCTCTCACACTCACCACTCTCACCTTCACCCTCCACCCCCGCTCTCTATCGTCTGCCAATCTGCAGTAAAAAGCAGTTACTCCAACTATTCGGCCTCATATCCGAATGCACAATTACATTACGTTGTTGCCCAAGCTACCTTGATGTCCTAGTGGTGACATACTGTTTTTCCCCGCAGGCACAGGCAAGCACAGTTTCAAAATCAATTCTTTAACTGGAGAGTTGTCCACCCTTGTGACCTTGGATTGTGACAATATCACCAAATCCTATGACCTCGTGTTGAATGCAAGCGATGGTCAGCATAACACACCAAGTCTCAGTCTGACCATCACCGTCCTGGACGTCAACGATAATACCCCCGAGTTCAAAGAGACGCCCTACACATATTCCATCATTGAGAACGCCACCCTCTCTACCTCTGTAGGAACGGTATCTGCAACTGATTCCGACGCAGGACAAAATGGAATGTTCTTCTTTTCCTTAGATGTGTTTCTCCAAGGAACTCCGTCCCATTTTACTATTGACCAGACCACTGGCGTGGTCAGCACTACAGGGGGCCTCGACAGGGAGAGTCAGGATGTCTACGTAGCTTTGGTCAAGGCTATAGACAAAGGTCAACCTCGACTAACAGGGACAACCACACTCGTTATACATGTCACCGATATCAATGACAACTATCCTGTGTTCAGTGCAAATCCCTACCGGGGATCTGTCATGGAGATGGACGTGCATTCCAGCATCCTCACCGTGTCCGCAACGGATAGGGATATAGGCACCAATTCTATGATCACATATTCCATTAATTCCCTTTATCCAGGACATGCAACAGCGTCAAATTTTAGCATAAATAGCTCCTCTGGTATACTTTCGGTGGTAACGCCAGTAGACCGGGAAACCGACCCCACCTTCATCTTGCACGTCCTCGCTGTCGATGGTGGGACTCCATCGCTCACGGCTACAGCGACGGTGATGATTGACGTGGAAGACGTCAACGAACCGCCACAATGGGTAGCAACGTCGACTACAGTGTCGATGGCGGAGGGTCTAGCGGTTGGGACACACGTCGCTAAAGTCGTTGCTGTAGATAGGGATTCCGGGATTGGAGGCTCGGTGTTGTATCGCATCGCGGACATTGCAGCAAGTAAGTTCCAAGTTAGTGTGCCTGTTGCGGGAGCTATCGTTTACAGGTCGCCGTGTTATGCTTTGTTGATGACTACAGTGTGACTCAGTTATGCCTGTTATTAGGGCTGGGACGGGTAAGTCGGGTACTCGGGTCGCGTGGTTCCTGAGTAGGACCCGGGTTCTCACAGTACTACCCGGACCCGTGGATAGTCACGTGATATATTGTTTTATCGCACAAGTTATCTAGAACAACCACGATTGCACTATAAGTGATTAACGTTCGCATTTCTTTCTGACTATGCACGCATTCCTTCTGACTTTATACGTTTGAATAGAGATAAAACTTCAGTCAACTTCAGTGTATGCATGACCACATCGTTTTATATGTGTATCTAGATACATTTTGCCAGGGCTACGGTCAAACTATTCCCAAACGAACATTTGTACCTATTCCTTGATACCAACAGCGGGTACCCAGGAAGGGTCAGGTAAAAATGGGGTGGCAATGTGGTTGTTAACCTTCTAGTCCCTGACAGGAAGCTTGGGTTGTATACTCCGCAGGGAGCTGAGAATGATTCTTGAGTGCACACTTATCCAGTAATCCGGGGTAATAATAGCGATTTGAGTGGTGTGGAAATATAAACATGACTTCAAAGCATCTGACACTGTGAAAATTTGGGCAGTTCACTCTTACATTGTATTAATTTGCAGTTTCTTACGTTCCTTCAGTGAGTGAAATATTTACTTGAACAATTTTAACAAGTTTTAATATGTTTCATATTTTAACAATTTGTTTCCTCTTTATGTATGTATGCGTCCCCAGTCATGGTCTGGAAGGAGAAGCATCCAGACTTGCGAGGTTTCTCTATGTTTCCTTTTTGTTTTCATAGGCAATGGCACCCCGTCCCTAGGAGTGTTTGACGTAAATACAATCAGTGGGGATATTCGGACCACCCGTGTCTTGGATTGTGACGTAGGGGTCCGCTCCTACACCGTCATCATCACCGCCACCGACGGACTGGGACAGACCGCTTCACCTAACTTTACCTTGAACATCAGCCTTACAGACGTCAATGACAACAGCCCTGTGTTTGGGAGAATCGCGTATTCATTTACAATAGCAGAGAACATGGTGGTCGGCATAACGGTAAATGGCACCACGCAGGTGTCTGCATCCGATGCAGATTCAGGACAAAACAATATTGTAAAGTACAAAATAGCCCGGTTCCTGGAAGGCGAATCCTCGCATTTTTCTATAGATACTGACACTGGCGTAATAACCACGGCAAGTAGACTGGACAGAGAGACCAATGACAGGTATGTGTTCGTGGTGGTTGCCCAGGACACTGGAGTACCACCGCTAACCGGCTCCACCACCGTCACAGTGACAGTCACAGATGTGAATGATCACACCCCGCAGTTCAGCTCAGCTCAGTATTCTGGACAAGTGGTAGAAGACGCCCCAAACGGCACCTGCATCCTGTCTTTGACGGTAACGGACAGAGACGTGAGCAACAGCGGTACCGTGACGTTGTCTATCACCACCCCGCAATTAGCTGTTGATACATTTAGCATAGAGTCAGTTTCAGGGCGGATTTGCCTCCGGAAGACCGTCAACAGGGAGGATCACTCTGTGTACACGTTCACCGTCCGGGCTGATGATGGTGGATCTCTCACGTCGACAACCACCGTCACCGTCCACGTCCTCGACGTCAACGATAATCCCCCTGTAATGTCTCCGGTGTTCTACAATACTGAAGTTGCTTACACCGGTGTCTGTGACAGCTCCATCACCACCGTGACGGCAACAGATGCAGACAGTGGAATAAATGGGGATATTACATACTTCCTTGAGAGGAACGTGTTTGCTTACCTGTTCACCATTGACCCATATTCAGGTATATAGTATGAGTGAGTGAGTGAGTGAGTAAGGGTTTACGCCGCTTTTAGCAATATTCCAGCAATATCACGGCGGGGGACACCAGAAATGGGCTTCACACATTGTACCCATGTCGGGAATCGAATCCGGGTCTTCGGCGTGACGAGCGAACGCTTTAACCACTAGGCTACCCGACCGCCTCGTATATAGTATGAATGAGCGAGGGGTGTTGTTTCCAACGCTGTCATTCATGTTACATCAATCTGATCGCGGAATTTAAATAACATAAACATCGACCAGACAAACCTGAGGTCGACAGCATGAACACCCTCCAGGCTGCATATTGTCCCCATCCGATTCTATTTAGTCCCTGACGACAAGCGTGACGTACACGTTCTGCCCAAAGGAAAAGTAGACCAAAAGTAGACGATACAAGTTTCCACACTAGACATTTGTAATGCAATCAACAGCAAGTGCACCAGTACATATAATGTTGAAATAACGTTTGGTGAAGGGGCGGTCGGGTAGCCTAGTGGTTAAAGCGTTCGCTTGTCACGCCGAAGACCCGGGTTCGATTCCGACATGGGTACAATGTGTGAAGCCCATTTCCGGTGTCCCCCGCCGTGATATTGCTGGGATATTGCTAAAAGCGGCGTAAAACCATACTCACTCACTCACGTTTGTTGAAACGTACCATATCTTTTAACTTGCAAATATCCCAAATGTATACAGTGTGCCACTGACCTGAACAAGTACAGAACGCAAGCCGTCGTTTGACCACAACGTTTAATCAATACAGCTTTATTTACTGCATAGTCACCTCTGTGGTTATTGGTAACCCAGTGGTCTAAGGCGTTGCAACTGTCTTGAGTTGCGTTCCTTAGACGTGCCAGGATCTACTGATCGTTGAATCTATGAACTGGCCCAATAATGACCCTTGAACATCATACCACTGATCGTTGGTCCCGCCAATGTAGTTCATATATACAACCTTCTGACTTTTCTCCTATATTAAAAAAACCCGAAATACCGACTGCATCAGTGGCATAAACATACACGTAAGAATTTAAATTATTTTTTTTAACCAGACGCTGGTTCATTTCCTCACTTTCACCTTGGCATGGATTACATGTTGTAGGAGTCTTTTCCATGAAATCCCAAGCAGGGAAAAGTTCTCGGTATATACTGGCGGCCTCGGCACAAGATGGCGGCACACCGGCAAACAACGCATCAACGCCAGCCATTGTCCGTGTGGATACGTTAGATCTCAATGACGTAGCGGTCACTATTAGACTTAGCGTTGACAAAGCGGCGTTTGAAGCAAACAGTGCAGTGTTTATACCTACGATTGAATCCATTGTCAAGAGCAGCTTCCCGTCCGCCATTTTGAAACTGTGGTGTGTGGAGTCAAGGAGTGGCTCGGCAGTGATCCCGACATCCTCCAGGAGAAAACTGCTGCAGTCGTCCAGGCAAGCCCAGTTTTTCATATGCTTATTAAACAAATTTGCGCAATTAAACTTGGATAATCTTAAGGATATACCAAATTAATAAGATTTTGTTTTGTAAGGAATGTTATAATTGAGATAACACTTTCTCAGTAAAGTACAGATTCCCGTACTTTTTTGGGTTGAGTCCTGTCTGGGGTTCGAACCCACACTGCCAGAGTTTGGCACCTTATCGCCAGCAAACAAAGTCAGCGATCTAACCCACTCAGCCATCGAGGCTTCCACAAAAATGAAAGTCCGACAAGTGGTAGTCTAGATCACGCACTTTGTGTACCCCTCTGACAAGTGCAAATTGGCACGGCTACCATGGCCGAAAGCTATGAACAGACGTAAAAAAGTACGAGAATCTGTACTTTACTGAGAAAGTGTTATCCCAAATATAATATTTGTTACATTTGACCACTTTCTAAATGGCAACGTGTGTTGAAAGATTTTTTTATGTTTGTATGTGGGTGTCATTATTTTATCAAATGATAGGACATCTTCATAATCTAGGTGGGTTTTACTTACAAAATAAGTTGATAATAGGGAAAAAGAGGGAGTGATTCCCCAGGCCAAATAATCAATTTGTTGTGACCTTAATGGACTTGAGAAATTTGAGAACAATATTTTTCCTTTTCGTCTAATTTCGATGAGAAAAAGAACTGCAAAGAAGGTCAGTTGAGGAAGCAAACAAACCCGGTGACTTATTTAAAAATCGCTTAGTTTGCTTTCACTCTTGAAAGCTCTTGTTATATAGCGACTTTTCATGATTCACCTGTAAAACACGTCCACATTTAACTTTATGCCCATCGTTTGGGCGAAAATGGTCGTAATTTCATTTGCCTTTGGCCCTTCCTATCCAGCCCCGTTGACGTTCACGTATACGCTGTAGCTGACAATGCCAGCGACGACATGGACAACATCAACAAATCGAAGACCTTTCTAACATCGGCCCAACTGTTGCTACCGCTTGCCTCAGATCCGAGTGGGACGCCAGTACGACAACTGACAAGTAGGTGTGACTTGGGTGATGTTTGGACCTAGTAGGACAACTGACAAGTAGGTGTGGCTTGGGTGGTGTTTAGGTCCAGTAGGACAACTGACAAGTAGGCGTGGCTTGGGTGATGTTTATGTCCAGTGGGACAACTTAAAAGTAGGTGTGACTTGGGTGATGTTTGGACCTAGTAGGACAACTGACAAGTAGGTGTGGCTTGGGTGATGTTTATGTCCAGTAGGACAACTGACAAGTAGGCGTGGCTTGGGTGATGTTTGGGTCAAGTAGGACAACTGACAAGTAGGCGTGGCTTGGGTGATGTTAATGTCCAGTAGGACAACTGACAAGTAGGTGTGGTTTGGATGATCTTTGAGTCCAGTAGGACAACTGACAAGTAGGCGTGGCTTGGGTGATGTTTAGGTACAGAAGGACAACTGACAAGTAGGTGTGGCTTGTATGATGTTTGGGTCCAGTAGGACAACTGACAAGTAGGTGTGACTTGGGTGATGTTTAGGTCCAGTAGGACAACTGACAAGTAGGTGTGGCTTGGAAGATGTTTGGGTCCAGTAGGACAACTGACAAGTAGGCGTGGCTTGGAAGATGTTTGGGTCCAGTAGGACAACTGACAAGTAAGTGTGGCTTGGGTGATGATTGAGTCCAGTAGGACAACTGACAAGTAGGTGTGGCTTGGGTGATGATTGAGTCCAGTAGGACAACTGACAAGTAGGCGTGGCTTGGGTGATGTTTGGGTCCAGTAGGACAACTGACAAGTAGGTGTGGCTTGGGTGATGATTGAGTCCAGTAGGACAACTGACAAGTAGGCGTGGCTTGGGTGATGTTTAGGTCCAGTAGGACAACTGACAAGTAGGTGTGGCTTGGGTGATGTTTAGGTACAGAAGGACAACTGACAAGTAGGTGTGGCTTGTATGATGTTTGGGTCCAGTAGGACAACTGACAAGTAGGTGTGGCTTGGATGATGTTCAGATCCAGTAGGACAACTGACAAGTAGGTGTGGCTGAGATGATGTTTAGGTCCAGTAGGACAACTGACAAGTAGGTGTGGCTTGGATGATGTTCAGATCCAGTAGGACAACTGACAAGTAGGTGTGGCTGAGATGATGTTTAGGTCCAGTAGGACAACTGACAAGTAGGCGTGGCTTGGATGATGTTCAGATCCAGTAGGACAACTGACAAGTAGGTGTGGCTTGGGTGATGTTCAGATCCAGTAGGACAACTGACAAGTAGGTGTGGCTTGGATGATGTTCAGATCCAGTAGGACAACTGACAAGTAGGTGTGGCTTGGATGATGTTTATGTCCAGTAGGACAACTGACAAGTAGGCGTGGCTTGGGTGATGTTTATGTCCAGTAGGACAACTGACAAGTAGGCGTGGCTTGGGTGATGTTTATGTCCAGTAGGACAACTGACAAGTAGGCGTGGCTTGGGTGATGTTTAGGTCCAGTAGGACAACTGACAAGTAGGTGTGGCTTGGGTGATGTTTGGGTCCAGTAGGACAACTGACAAGTAGGTGTGGCTTGGGTGATGTTTGGGTCAAGTAGGACAACTGACAAGTAGGCGTGGCTTGGGTGATGTTAATGTCCAGTAGGACAACTGACAAGTAGGTGTGGTTTGGATGATCTTTGAGTCCAGTAGGACAACTGACAAGTAGGTGTGGCTTGGGTGATGTTTGGGTCCAGTAGGACAACTGACAAGTAGGTGTGGCTTGGATGATGTTCAGATCCAGTAGGACAACTGACAAGTAGGTGTGGCTTGGATGATGTTCAGATCCAGTAGGACAACTGACAAGTAGGCGTGGCATTGGTGATGTTTAGGTCCAGTAGGACAACTGACAAGTAGGCGTGGCTTGGGTGATGTTTATGTCCAGTAGGACAACTGACAAGTAGGTGTGGCTTGGGTGATGTTTATGTCCAGTAGGACAACTGACAAGTAGGCGTGGCTTGGGTGATGTTTATGTCCAGTAGGACAACTGACAAGTAGGCGTGGCTTGGGTGATGTTTAGGTCCAGTAGGACAACTGACAAGTAGGCGTGGCTTGGGTGATGTTTATGTCCAGTAGGACAACTGACAAGTAGGCGTGGCTTGGGTGATGTTTATGTCCAGTAGGACAACTGACAAGTAGGTGTGGCTTGGGTGATGTTTGGGTCCAGTAGGACAACTGACAAGTAGGTGTGGCTTGGGTGATGTTTGGGTCCAGTAGGACAACTGACAAGTAGGTGTGGCTTGGGTGATGTTTGGGTCCAGTAGGACAACTGACAAGTAGGTGTGGCTTGGGTGATGTTTATGTCCAGTAGGACAACTGACAAGTAGGTGTGGCTTGGGTGATGTTTATGTCCAGTAGGACAACTGACAAGTAGGTGTGGCTTGGGTGATGTTTGGGTCCAGTAGGACAACTGACAAGTAGGCGTGGCTTGGGTGATGTTTATGTCCAGTAGGACAACTGACAAGTAGGTGTGGCCATAAGATATCACTTTAACAATCATGTTTTTGAGAAGAATTTGTTTTATTTGTACCACTGACCCCATTATTTTGGACAAACTCGGCAAAACGAGTAAGGAGAAGTTTGAGGACATGCCAGAAAGATCAGAAACATTAACATGATGTTCAATACTTAAAAGTCGTTTTCTACAATATTTATCAATACATCCATGTCAGAATGATGAGGTCTGATTGGTTCACGTGATCTTGATAAACTACTGTATTCGTGTGCTTCCATTACAGCAGGTGCCATGAAATATTTCCATGTCGAGGCTGTCACTGGATACCACCTGGTTGTGACCCCTTGGGCGGAGACAACTGCCGGTATTGCAATCATCACCGTCAGTGTCGTCCTCGCTGTCGTCCTCATAACAGTAACCGTCGTCGTCATTTGCTACACCTACAAACGCCGAAAGAGGTAGCTATAGCAACGTCACGATACGATTGCCTATGGAGTATGGATTTGTCTTTTTAAGCCTTTGTAATAAACGTTGTCTGTCAATGTATGATACGAACCGTGAAGATCCGGGGTAGAATAGGTCTTCAACAACCCATGCTTGCCGTAAAAGGCGATTATGCTTGTCGTAAGAGGCGACTAACGGGATCGGGTGGTCGTCATCGATCCCAATTGCGTGGATCGATGCTTATTATGTCAATCACTGGATTGTCTGGTCCAGACTCGATTATTTACAGCCGTCATACAGCTGGAAGATTGCTGAGTGCGGCGTTAAACAACAAACAAACAAACAATGTATGATACGGGGCGTTGGTGTAGCCTAGTGGTTAAAGAGTTAGCTCGTCACGATGAAGGTCGGGGCTCGATTCCCAACATGGGTAAGGTGTGTGAAGCCCATTTCTGCTGTCCCCCGCCATGATATTGCTGGAATATAAGCTAAATTCGGCTTTAACAGTACTAACTCACTCACTCTATGTATGATACAAAAAGATGCATCCCTCTCAGTTACATTGTCGATTGCGTGTCGTCTCACCTCGATGTCATGGATCGTTGCTCATGCTATCAATCACTGGATTGCCTGGTCCAGGCTCGATTTTGTACAGGCCGTAATCATAAAGCTAGCTGGAATATTGTTGACGACATGCATGTAACGAGATGGTGTAAGTGGCACTTGAACCTGGCAATGTGCATTCTATTTTTTCTGAAAGGTGAGGTGAGGTGAAATTGGGTTTAACGTCGCGTCCAAGATTATTGAACTTATATAGCGGCGTTCATGCACGTGTGTGTGTGTTTGTATGGCTGCTTGTACTAGTCCGGACTGATGCCGATTTATAGTGCTAGCTCACTGAGATACCGTGCCGCAGTTTAACATGAATACCCCACTCAGACACAGTATACTGACTCCGAGCCGACCAGTCCTTTAATGCCGAGCGCCAGACAGGGTAACAACAAGTACCATCTTTTAAACGTCGTTTGGTATGACGCGGCCGGGGATCGAACCCCGGACCTTCCGCTCTCCGGGCGGACGCCCTACCACTGGACCACGGAGGCGGTCTCTTTCTGAAAGACACACAGTTATTTCTGCGTAGAGAAAGCGTTTTAATCCGAACTGTACCGTCCCATGAATCGTGCCGATTACCACCTTCCGGGATTGTACCTTATACTAGTTTAAAAGAAAAATGTTCTTCAAATGTTACCAATCAAATATGTAGATTAGGAATCAGCATTTATCTGTCATAAAACTATATTAAGGAGAGCAGTGCCAATGTTTGCATCATGAGTCTAGATCTTGTCGTAAATGTGGTGAACACACATTATAAATTATCTCTGATAGGCCTGTGTCGCCTCAGCGTCCTAGCCACGTGTACTCTTACGGCCGGCCGAAACAGAAGCCCGGGAAAGGTAATATTGATATGCTTACATTGTCATTGACAGAACTGGCTTAGGTGTTACATACATACATACAAACACACGTACATACATACATACATACATACATACATACATACATACATACATACATACATACATACATACATACATACATACATACATACATACTACACACACACACACAAACACACACACATATACATACACACACACACACACACACACACACACACACACACACACACACACACACACACACACGTACGGCAAAATTTGTTTAAAGTCACATTTAAGATTATTGCACCAGTCCCTGTTTTTCCCTTGATGCCGAGCGTCAGGCAGGGTCTCAACAAGTGCCATCTTTTGAGGCCTTTCGGTATAACGCGACCCTGAGGCTGTTTCTACTACACCAGGGAGGCAGTCGCCATGCATAGAACATGTTCCCTTGGTGTAACAGGGCCCCGGCTGTGTGGATCACACGCACGCACGCACGCACACACATAGTCATAGTTTAGGAATGTCAACAGTTGTATACAAAATTAAAAAGTTTTTGGTGGAATATGAAGATCTTTATGTATGGACTTATTGCTGCATACTTACGTCAGGAGCAGGGTTGGAGATCGGCTATCTGAAGAAACACCCCCCTCCGGTTCTGACGTCACTTCCGCTTCCTGTAAGTATAAATGATAGATTGGCAGTGGTTGCATGTATCAGGAAGTCTGTCGATACATCATATGACCATCGATCCATTACATAACCATCTTTAAATAGATGGCACGTGTAGAGACAAACGTCATTGTATCGTTCATGCTTAGAATTATTATAAAGGAAACTGTTTCGTTGATGAATGTGCTAACATGTATTTACACATAAAGCACTAATCAGTAGCAGGGATGTTCAATGGACAACACATAAATGTTTAAATGTCTGAAATCAATAAAAACATCAGCTGATATTTTGTACCATAAAAAAATCGTGAAAAAGTGGAGGTTACCTTTGCACGAGTTCGACCCCAATATGCAAAATCCCTTCCTGATGTTCGTAAACCCAATGTTATACAATGCATTTGTGGTCCAATGGGGCGGAAGGTCGGTGGTTCGATCCCCGGCCGCATCATACCAAATTACGTTAAAAGATGGTGTTGTTACCCTGCCTGGCATTAAGGCGATATAGCAAGGTCTAATAGTCAGTACTCTGTGTCTGAGTGGCGTATCCATGTTAAACTGCGGCATGGCATCCATAAACCCGGTTAACTAGTACAGACCCGTGAAGATCCGGGGTAGAAAAGGGCTTCAGCAACCCATGCTTGCCGTTAAAGGTGACTATGCTTGTCGTAACAGGCGACTATCGGGATCGTATGGTCAGGCTCGTTGACTCGGTTGATGCATGTCATCGACCCCAATTGCGTGGATCGATGCTCATGTTGTCCAGAGTCGATTATTTACAAACCGCCGTCATAAAGTTGGAATATTGCTGAGTGCGGCGTTAAACAACAAACCAACCAGCCGGACAAGTACAAGCACGTGCAATAATCTAGTTCGTGCAATAATCTTGAACGCGACGTTACGCCCCATTTCTCCTGACCTTACATTACACTTGGTAACACCAGACCTACACGGTGAAGCCGCTGCCGATGAAGACTGGAGAAGACGGCATCACCAGCCTCGACTACACTAACAACGGTGGCAGGGCCATCAACAGGGACTTCCAGGGTTCGGCTGTGGATGAAGGTAAATCTTGTCACATGAACTACTACGTCTACTACTACGTCTATTACTACTACTACTACTACTACTACTACTACTACTACTACTACTACTACTACTAAGTTAAACGAAAGTTACTAATGGTCAGAACATATTGTAAATCAAGCATTTCTATCGTAAATGTAGTTTTAGGGCATCAGTTTTATAATACTAATTATAAGTGTCGTTAACAAACAAAGTTAAAGGATTTGATTATGAAGTAATGACGTCATTAGGCAATCCGCATGTACTTCCGCCTCAAGAGCAGCAGAGCGACAATCCAAGTTTATGACATTGTTCCGAAGACACTGAATGTACGAATGGATAAAGAGCGTTTTCTAGTTCGGTCGTAAATACTGGTAAACGTATCTTAACTTTGATCGTAAACTCTTAGGATCTGTCCAAGTTAAGAACGCTTTGTAAAACGGGGCCAAGGTCTCCAAGAATGGGCGGTTTCATCATTAAGCTTTTGCTAGAAGATTCAGTGCAACAGACATAATCATATCAACCATCTTACATTAATACTCCACTGGTGACTGACAATAGGACTGTTATTGTCGGATAGTCATGTAAAATCCAAGGAAGACGTCCCCAATGCTCAAGGCTTGTCGTAAGAGGCGACCGTACTTGACCTGACGTGCGTGTCATCATGCCCTGCTGGTGTTGATTGTTGCCTGTGCTTTTAGTAAATGGCTTGTCTGGTCCAAACGTGAAGTGTTACAAGCAGTCGGGATATAGCCGACTGTGGCGTTAAACAACATTCACCCACCTATTCACTCGTTTAAATACTGAAGCGTTCCAAACCCTCATATTATACCAGATGAATGTCATTTAATCCGCATTCAAAGACAACATGCATGGGTTGTTCTCCAGCTACAGGTCGGGTATATCACTACGACACGAGGAAGAACCAGAGACGCTGGATGACGACACCGGAAGGGAAGTCTGTCCGAGTTACTCACCACTGACGTTGCCATGGAGATGTCCCCATAAAATCGGCAAAGCCCTGATCGCACTATTTTTACATTTGTACTATGATGATGCTATATATGGGTGCTAGGATACCCCTGTGATCAACGACAATCTCAGGGCCGTCTTTGTAGTGAGTGGGTGAGTTTGATTGTCTTTTACAATTGAGTACAATCATCCCTATGAGAAAAAATATCTTTTCGTGGATATTCTTTTTTTGAAAGCAAGAGTGTAAATTGGATTTGGGTGCAATTCATTACTCTTGCATCTCTTTAAAGTTCCTAATTGTGCTGATTTATACAAGTGTGAGACACTTTATTGATAGGCACTGATGGCATATACCAAAATTCGCCCTAATTCACTGAGTTCAATTCCTCATGCTTTTGGCTTTCACCAAAGCGGTTGGGGCACGGGTGGCCCAGTCGTCTGAGGCGCCGCTGTTCGCTGTGCAGACTTGCGTCCCTTGGGCACGCCAGAAACATTATCCTGGGTTCGAAACCAGGTTTGCCCCGATTATGTTTCTAAGTTCGTCAGCACCATACCCGTGTTCGTGGGTTTCACCGAAGTGGGTAATATCCTAGATCTGCATCACTTGGGGCTTTCCTCCCACATTAAGCTGACACGCCGTGATATAACTGGAATACTTATAGTTAAACCCAAATCACTCACTCACTCACCAAAGTGGTACATATCTCAGACCTGCATCACTCACTCACTCTTTTCTCCCACATCAAGCTGACACGCTATGATTTGACTGTCATATATTGTGAATAATTGTGACATTCGGCCGATTTAAAACTTTTCTTTTCAGTCTAATTGACATATTTACTCGAAGCAGATAAAAGAAGAGTTTATTATCCTTGAGAATTTGCTTTAAAGGCTACATCACGGACTTGGTTATATAGGTCCGTGGCTACATGTACGTTGACAGACTCTCTTAAGGTTTTGTAGATCTGTACACAAAAAGATATATGAGGTTAGACAATTGAAACCTCGGAAACGTGAACTTTCTATCGTCCTACAATTTCTACGTCAACTTGTACAGGCAATATAAGCGTTATCAGTTACTTTCCATATCCCTTTGGCAATAACTGGTCATCAGCTCGCTCGACTCTTGCGCGCCTTAAGCTGGTAAACCCAAACTACTCATTGTATGTTCAGTGTGTTTATGTACTGCTTGGGTTTTCTCACTTGTTTATACCTCCTCGGAGTAGGGTGATCTGGTGCAGTTCTTGAAGCCACATGTCCCCCAACCGTGATATTGAGGATATATTGCTTAAAAAGGCATTAACGTCTTCTGACTCACACAGACATGTACATGATGCGTCCTTTCTCGACTCTGTGTCTGCTGGGGGCACGGGTGGCCCAGTCGTCTAAGGCGCCGCAATTCGCTGTGCAGAGTTGCGTCCCTTGGGCACGCCAGAAACCTATGATTGTGGGTTCGAATCCCGGTTCGCCACGATTATGTTTCTAGGTTTGTCAGCGCCATACCCGTGGTCGTTGGTTTCACCGAAGTGGTAAACGTCTAAGACCTGCATCACTTGGGGCTTTCCTCCCACATTAAGCTGACACGCCGTGATATGACTGGAATACTGTTAAAAGCGGCGTTAAACACAACTCATTCTCTCACTTTGTGTCTGCGCGGCTGTTAATGAATTGGAGGTGTACTGATGTAATCCCGTGTATATTACTTCATTATTGATAAATGAAAGGTTTGACATTATGCGAATGATCGTATCTGATTTGTAATGATTAATGGATATTTATCGAGGGTAACATTTAAGGGTAATTTGTTGTTCATATTAATATTTTAATATAACTTTAATTTTAATGGAAAAAATGTAATGGTGTAATGCAATATTGAAAATAGAGATATTTTTATTTAATGAATGTGTGACCACTTATTTTTTTCCCAATGACATAATTTGTAAAACTGGACAGATACTGAATGAGTGAGTGAGTTGGGTTTAACGCGCAGATATTAATCGAAACATAATCAAATGCTAATGCATTGTGCACAACAGAAGCGATGCTACAGCTGGCGGGGCAGTACTATACATATAAACATAACAATCACATATTGCAACTAATATGAAGCAGAGAAGGCTTAGAGTGTGGATTGAGCGCAGAGGTGAGGTGAGGTAAGTTGAGGTGAGGTGAGGTGAGGTGAGGTGAAATGGGGTTTAACGTCGCGTCCAAGATTATTGCACTTATATAGCGACGTGCATGCACGTGTATGTGTGTGTGTGGCTGCTTGTACTAGTCCGGACACTAGCACACTGAGATACCATGCCGCAGTTTAACATGAATACCCCACTCAGACACAGTATACTGACTCCGAGCCAACCAGTCCTTGTTTAAGCCCCTTAATGCTGAGCGCCAGACAGGGTAACAACAAGTACCATCTTTTAACGTCTTTTGGTATGACGCGGCTGGGGATCGAACCCCGGACCCTCCGCTCTCCGGGCGGACGCTCTACCATTAGACCACGGAGGCGGTCTGAGCAAAGAGGAAGGCGTGTAAAAGTGGATGTGGAATGTGAAGTAATCCTGTATACACTGTCTCTGTATCATCTTCCCGAGGCAAGTGAGTTCACTGACTAAGCAATGGCTTTAGGTCAAGGTCGTGGGTCTTGTGTACTGCTGAACAAGGCGTAAAACCTCTCACTCACTCACTCACTCAATATGGCGCCTACGGCATATATATTTGTTATGTGTACAATTGTATGACAAAATGATCGTTGTCCCACATGAATCTGTTGGTGGCCTTTGATGAAGTAGGATGTTATACTATGTTGGAATAAGAGTGCACACTATCTGAGAACAGAGAATTTACTCACATAGACTCAATACAGCTTTCAGTACAACACATAAAACAGAATCGACATATCACATACAAGAATATATCACAGAAGGCTTGTACTATATATGTTTAAGGTGTTTCACCCTGAATATTAACATGTAAACTGTTGAAGGAGCATATTATCAACATTTGTCTTTTCACTTACATAGGGCTTAAAGGTGTACACTGAAACCTCGTTATATCAGCAGGATCGCCCCCAAGGAAATCGTCCACATTAATAAATATCCGGATTAACGAATAATTGTTACACTTTCCAACAGTAGAGCCCGGAAGGAGTTTTTTTCTAATTAACGAGGTTTCACTATATAACATCGCCTCAGAAAATATGTTCGAGCACGTCAGATGCTCTTGTCGTTCCAGATGGACACACACAATATTTATTATGTACAAAAGTAATAAATAAAAGTTGAAAAACATTACATTGCTAACAAATCCGTGCATCAGTTTTAATGTACATAACGCTCAGGTTATGTAGTTGTTGTTTTTAGAAGAGATAAACTGCTGGGCAAAACAAAGTATACACTTGAAAATTGGGTTTGACAAAAAACTTACAAAAGTTATCAAAACGTTACAAGGCTGAATGAAAACAGTCGCCGAAACACTGAAGTTTCAAAACTCAACAATGGTATCCGTGTCAAATACAGTCTCCTTGGTTATTATTCCACCTGTATGGCATTATAACCAGGGTGGCATTATATCCAGGGGGCATTATAACCAGGGTGGCATTATAGCCAAGGAGGCCTGTATATTCATTTTCAACATAAACTTTGTAATAAAATGTTTGGAACAACTGGGGTTGAGGATATTATTACAGAAAAGGATATTATCTTCAACAAAAACAAATTTGTTTGTTATTTTAAGAAAGTGAATGATTCTATGTGTGAAGATTAGCTGAGATCGATTCAATTTTGTTGATTTAGAAGAAGGAATTGCCACCAAAAGATTAACTAGATTTCCAATTTTATGTAAAAAAACCAAATTAATAATGGTGTTATAACCATGGAATTGGAACTGTTGTTCTGAAAAACATTGGCATTTGGCATTATAACCATGACATTTTGCACTGCTGAAAGACGTTCTGAGCAAAACATGGCATTAAAGCCAGGGGTATTAAAAGCAAGGACGACTGTACATCACCATCGAATAACCACGTCTTGTTTGTTTAATGTTTGACCAACATCAACTTTCTTTTGCACGGCAGTTTATTTCTGGATAAGAAAAGCATAAACTGTTTATACCAGTTAAATGCATCTGGACGGTTTTCAGGTTGGCAGATAAACTAAAATTCATGTGCAATTGTTGTGAATTATATGGACAACCGGGCATCGCTCCCGAGTGTCAAACGTCCACAGTAGATGAGATCAAGAGATGCCTCGCGAGACATTGCGAGATTAATGGTGGGTGACTTTCAACGAGCGGCCGTCAGGTGTCGTTAACCAGTCCCTTTGATTTGTTTTCGAATTGTAGCCATACACTCGACCAGTAGCTGCAAGGAAAGTGTGAACTGGCATAAACCAAATATTCAAGAAAAGAATAAAACAGTGTAAACCTTATGTTACATTTGCCAGAATGCTGTACGCAGTTAACAGTTATTAACAAGACGGTCTGGGTTCGTGGAAGCATTAACACGTTGGTTTGACTTATTCAGAAACGTATCGTTGCAATACTATCGCTTAATCCCTCTGTCCCACGTTCCATTCCGCCGATGTGTAGTAGAGTAATGCATGACAACCAGAATGATATACTTTCAACACGTCTTGGTGACAGTTTGATTATTGCAAATAAATCCCCACAATACGCATCCTAAATACCCCTCATATCAGAAAGAAATATCCCTCTATCGATTACAGTTTATTTTGTGTTAATTAATTTTGTAAAGAAAGATGGCATTTCCGGAAGCAAATACCCAGAATATCCATGGTACTGAATTCTTGGCACAAGACGTCCCGCTGAACCACGGAAGCGTACGTAAAATATGATTTAGCTTTCAATGCGTGAGTAGGTTTTATTTTTTACGCCGCTTTTAGCAATATTCCAGCATTTAAGCTTTCAGAGCCAAAACATACCACAGAATAGGTTTAAGACGTACTACCTCAAGCATTGACCTCCATAGGCGTTTATGGAGGTATCAACGTAAAACAGGTAGCACCCTTTACGCAATACGCACCGTGAAGATCCGGGGTAGAGTAGGTCTTCAGCAACCCATGCTTGCCGTATAAAGGTGACTATGCTTGTCGTAAGAGGCGACTAACGGGATCGGGTGGTCAGGATCGTTGACTTGGTTGATGCATGTCATCGATCCCAATTGCGTGGATCGATGCTCATGATATTAATCACTGGATTGTCTGGTCCAGACTCGATTATTTACAGACGGCCGTCATATAGCTGGAATATTGCTGAGTGCGGCGTTAAACAACAAACAAACAAACAAACAAACTTTACGCAATACCCCCTTCTTTGTACCTCAATAAACGCAAAATAATATTGAATTCAATTCTTATTAATAAATAAGTCAACAACACCACACGTTGCTTAATTATTCATTAACCCACAAAACTGGAGACAACACTATTCAGCACAATTTTCAAGACGAGCACCTCTCATCTTTTATCAGACAATCAGGACACGGTCCAGTTTAACTGGCATTTGGTAAGTAACAGTTAACACAATATATGTTATGGATGACAACTTCTTTATTCTATTATGATGCGACGTGTCGGTATTGACAACGGTACAAGGATCTATACCGACACGCCGCATCATAATAAAATAAAGTTGTTAACTAACTACAATCTCCGGATATATTTATTATTGATAACTATTCCTTAGAACTGCCAACTTAAGAGGAGGTTAAGCACATTTAACTGAGTCCAACCAGAAGAACATGCTCAAACCCCTGTTTGGATGCATGGTATACGCAGGATTGGTGCATGAAGTTGTTTCCATTGTCCTTCCGAAAATGTGTCCCTGCGAGTCAAATGCGTCGACTTGTTCAATGATTTTTGTAATTTAAGACTGGTAATATACACTTGTATCCAAACATTCCCACTAAAAGTCGCCATTTGACCGTGTTCTGGAATCAGTTCAGAGATCTGCGATTCTAACTGTCGCTGATCACCTGACACAGGACACGCTCTCCGGCAAGAGACACCTTAACATGCTTGGTGAGATGAGGTGAAATGGGGTTTAACGTCGCGTCCAAGATTATTGCACTTATATAGCGACGTGCATGTACGTGTGTGTGTTTGTGTGGCTGCTTTTACTAGTCCGGACGGATGCCGATTTATAGTGCTAGCTCACTGAGATACCATGCCGCAGTTTAACATGAATACCCCACTCAGACACGGTGTACTGATTCCGAGCCGACCAGTCCTTGTTTTAGCCCCTTTATGCCGAGCGCAAGTACCATCTTTTAACGTCTTTTGGTATGACGCGATCGGGGATCGAACCCCGGACCTTCCGCTCTCCGGGCGGACGCTCTACCACTAGACCACGGAGGCGGTTTAACCTGTTTGGACGCGGCTTTATTCCCATTGTCTGTCAGCAACCAGCTGATGTCGAGATGCTTTTCCCTAGGTCATCATGATATATATAGATAAGCTACGAGATAAATCGCAAAGAACAATGGAGAAGGAAGCGTTGTTAATTTCACGATAAATCTTTGTCCCATCATGACGTACTTTCTGGACATTCGAATATGCACTCGCAACTTAATGATGTTATTTATTGGACGACGTTATTTTGAGAGGGAAGCGTCTGGTAAGTTGTTACCGAAGATGTAGCTGGGCAACGCAGATAAACGCAGTGGTCGAGCGATCGAATCCAAAAGGGGGAGAAATATGACAATCGGTATAAGAGGAAAAAAGGTACAGATAATCGAAGTGAGGATTGTGAGAATACGGGAAATGCCGAACGTAACCCACCTGTTCCTAAAATGGACTTTCCCGACATTTCCGAGGTCGGATTCTATTCAGGTAAATATCATATTAAAATTTGGGTAAATATTTTTAAAGCTTGTACATTTTATCAACATTCTTAAAGAGGCTGTACATACTGTTAATATCTCATATAAGAAACAAACGACTCGTGGTCGTTGTTTATCGTACAATAAAACACTGCAGGGAGAATATACAATGAGGTACGATAAACAACTCCCACTCGTCGTTTATTTCTTAAATAGAAACTCTCACCCTCGTACGTTTAATATCAAATATATCAACACTCATCCATTACAGTTTAAACTTCGAGGCTTGCCGTTATTGCTTGTTATCGACGAGTGTTGATATGGAGGTAAGATTCTATCTATAATTTAAAATCATTCTTCCAGTTTGCAAACCGTAACAATAAGTGTTTTTGTGTGAAAAGTTCAGCTAACCAGCTTCATAGGAAGAAGGATTAGTGATGGATTCGGTGTGGCATTCTGAACCCGCAGTCAGTGAAAACTCTGTTAGTCGGGACTATTCGTTTGAAAAGACAGCCTTTCGGACTATATCACATGGAGAGGCTTGGATGAACGGTGTTTCGTCGTATATGTAGACGTCATTAAGAAAGTGTGAATAATTTTAAACCATTACCTGGATCCACAGCACGACCTTCGAAGTCTCTGTTAGACAGGAACGGCCTTGACCCTGATGAATTGGTCATACTAGCGACGCCATCTTGACCAGGTTTCATGGGGCGTGGCTTCTCGGAATAGGCCTGTCAGAGAGCGTAAAACACAATCATGTGATGTAGACAAGACACAGATGTTATATTCATATCTTACCAGCCAGAAAGGAACACTTACAACCCAGATTGTGCGTAGTTACCATGAAAGACTACTTACAGGAGGAGGGGACTTTGATCTGTAGATCTCATCGTCATCTGGAACAAGATGGGTAGACAAACAGAAATACGTTGAGACATTTACACATTCTGAAGGACTATATGTGTCTTACATGAAGCCACTATTGCTGATCTTCGTACAGTCATGCTGTATGATTGTAGGCAAGAACACATAACTATCATGAGTGAGTGAGTGAGTTTGTTGTTTAACGCCGGACTCAGCAATATTCCAGCTATATGACGGCGGTCTGTAAATAATCGAGTCTGGACCAGACAATCCAGTGATTGACATCATGAGCATCGATCCACGCCATTCGGATCGATGCTCATGATGTCAATCACTGGATTATCTGGTCCAGTGAGTGACATCATGAGCATCGGCAACTAGCATGAAATGTAAGGAATAATAACACATTCTTACAAATATTATTTTATTATAGATTTTTCCCCCTTTTAAATATACATTATTGTCATAGTTGAAAAACCCAGTCACAGTTTAAATCAGATGATGCGATATTATTCATAGTATATACAAGGAGCATAAACAGTATTATCAGTCTTGAAATCATTGGAGTTTCCTACTATAAATACAAATGAATATATGAAGTACATTGGTTTTTTTTCAATTATTTTAAATGTATCCTTTTTTAAGAAAACGAAACTAGGGATTATTTTGTGATATGTTCGAAAGGTAATGTTGAAAAGGTGGTGTGTTCAGATGTGTATATTTTAAGGAAATCATGTAGCAAGGTAGTGCCTGCATCTTGAAAGTCCTAGTTGTGAAACGTGAGCTACAGTACATGAATAAGCCGTACTGTTATGTACGCTGTAGGTGTGGTTTACCTTTGTAAGTAAATCTTTCCATCGACTGGCGTATGGATCGCTTCGCTGCACGGACAGGTGTAATTGGCCTGCAATATAAAATGACACGTGATCCCGGAAAAAAACAGTGTGAAAACAGGTTAAGGCGCACAGAGGGAGATGCTTTGTGCAGATGGCTGTTTCAATGAATGCTCGTTCCACCCGTGACGAACAGGTCTGGTTGTTGATGAAATATAGTGATAGCTAAATAGACAGATTTTTTATTCATGCACCGATTGTCTTTAAATGTAATATCCAGTTATGTAAGACTGTTTAATAATCTCATACCAACTTTGACTGGAGTAGGTCCGATAGTTTTTCAGATATTGTAGTAAACGTCGGTACCTTAAATTAACTTCCAGACTTTTTATACGCGTCAAACCACTCACTGTCATGTCATGTAACCGTGAACACCACAGACCAACCACTGTCATGTCATGTTTCCGTGAACACCATATACCAGCCACTGTCATGTCATGTTTCCGTGAACACCATTGACCAACGAGTGTCACGACATCTGACCGTATACGCGACACACCAACCATTGTCATGTCATGTGACCGTGAACACCACAGACCAACCACTGTCATGTCATGTGACCGTGTACGCCACAGACCGACGACGAGACTTGCGCTTACCTCTGTTTCTTCCTGCACGCCACTATGGTTACGATGATGCCAGTGATGATGAGGGCAAGGATGACGATGGCGATGAAGGTGAGGATGGCGATGCCCTCGGGCGTCTGGGCCCAGGGAGTGTTGACCTGGTAGTATGGGACCACAGATGTGATACCGAATGCGTTCAGATTGCCTCCTGGAATAAACGTACCAGACTAACGTGTAAAAAAACATGTATAACACAACACCATATCTGAAGTAAAACTATAAGGCGTCTTTCTTCCGTAGCATCGCCGTTTGTGAGTGAGTGAGTTGGGTTTAAAGCCGCTTTGAACGGTATTCCAGTTATATCACGGCGTGTCAGCTTACTGTGGGAGGAAAGACCGATGTGATGCAGGTCTCAGACGTTTACCACTTTGATGAAAACCCGCCAGCACGGATATTGTGCTGCAAACCAAGAACATTGCGTGTCTTTAAAATCAACGAGGTATCTTATATTAGTCTGTGCTTTCCGTATTTCCTCTATTAGACGCCGGCCTCTAATAGAAGCCGGGTCAATTGTTCAGTGGAAAAAATAGAAGCCGGGCCTCCAATAGACGCCGGGCCTCTAATTGACGCTGGGTCAAAGGCTTGTCCGAAATAAATAGAAGCCCGAGCGTCTAATAGAGGAAATACGGTAGGTCGTATATTGAGTTTGATGGATAAGTTGATAGTACTAGTAAACTGTAAAATTGACAGTGACTTCGACAGGGATATTGATATTCAGAGCACGAATAATATCTCTTTTTTGTGTGTTCAGATCATGCTGTTGTGTTTTATGATAAGCAGATGGTTCATCTGTAATTGTCCCACCTGTGACGGCAGACGAGGGAGAGCCCTGGGGGTCTGTAGAGAAGAACTGCAGCGTCTCAGACGACGTCAACAACGTCTTGTCTTGGTTGACGTTGCTGACGGACTCGGTGGAGCTGTCTGCTACAGTGTAGGTGTGGACGTTGATGGAACTGCAGGAATATACATGTGTCATTTACATTATTAGTAAATTGTGAACTTACTTTACCATTACAGTACAAAAAAGACTCATTGCTAATTAACGACTTTTTTCGTTTCCGCTCCCCGTGACAAAGGGCACACTAAGAACTAAGAATCATCGTCGAAATATCCCGAGTATTGGACAATGCTTCATTTTGTTAGGACGGCGTGCCGAGCGAATAGAAAACAGATAGAATCGCGGAAGATCGCGCTGACCGAACATGGACTGTTGGCAGTCCTTTTTTGATTCAGGTACTTCAAAACCCACCTTGGTTGCCAACTTGCTGACATTGTAGGATGCATACTGTTCTGGAGTAGTAGAGAATGTATTTGAAGTCATTTTCAATGCCAGCAACAGACTGAACGGCAAGTAAAATGTCTGGTGCTGTCTGGGTCAGAGAGAGGAATTTAGAGTTATTCGCCTCTGGCTGCTTACCAATACGACAGGCTTGATGGTCAGAGAAGCTTCGCGAGGGGACAGTACCCATGTAAGAGCGACGGGAGGGCTTTTCGGAGCCTTCTATGACATGAATTGTGTCTTATCTATTGCCAAGTACAGACTGGATACCAATTTGAAAACACCGAATTTCTGCCAGCTTCCGACACAATTGTGGACACAAGAACAGAGACTTGTTTCAAGACACACGACAGTAACAAAATTCTGAACATTCATGAGTGCATATGATTTAATTTGAGGACCTGTTACTAACTGCTATCCCCATTAATTACCATTGTATTCCAGTTTGATTGTAACCTAGAATTGTGTGAACTGTATATTTTGCTAATTATTCATTCATTATGTGTGCAAATTTACTGATTTCACAATTTAGTTCTGAACGTACCGATTTCCGGGTTAGCCTTTTTGTTTCAATCTTGAAATCGCCTGGTAATAATATCAGTCAAGCAGTTAATGATTGCGCGAATTACACTGCGTAGATGAGCAAGTTTCACACTTGTTCCTTATGGTTACATTCACAGCTAAACGAAAATGCATATGGACGGCAGAACGTGGAGCATAATCACCTAAGCGCGAGGTGTGAGATGTGTTGAACACCGTTTTGAACAGTATCTGTGTAATGTGGTGGAGTTTGTGAAAGGTTCGTCAAACGTGACGCGGATCATAGACGACCATTTTGATGAAACCCACGTTACTCTGTAAGCGATTATCGCTGTCTAAAACAACTTGGACACGCGAGACAATCTGATCTCGCCCACACCTTGTTGTTTGTAGAAGTTTTCTCCTCCCAGTTGACGGGATACCGGAAGTCCCGCTTCTGATCTCGACACACCAAACTCTGAAAATGGCAGAGGGGTATTTAACCCGGATGAGGGTTTGTAGTTCTGCGATGAAGGTGGCTTCTTGTGCCAGGAATGTAGCCTGACTGATACTGAGCCTGAAGGTGACGGCGACGGCGTTAGGGTCAAAGGTGTCTATACGGATGGTGGCAGGTGTTGCGGCAGTGAGGACAGGAGTTCCCGCGTCTCGTGCAGACGCCTCTATGACGTACCGGAAGTTGTTCGCAGCTTGGGATTGTAGCGAAAAGGCACCTGAAATGTTGAAACTATAATCTAAATTCTGTATGTGGTGCAGTGGATTAGCCTAGTGGTTAAAGCGTTTGCTTATAAGGCCAATGGCCCGGGTTTAATTATTCACATAGGTAAATGGCATTTCTGGTGTCCCTCCTATTCCCAACCCCTGTGATATTATTGGAAACCGAACCCACTCACTTTCTTAAACGACCGCCTCCGTGGTCTAGTGGTAGAGCGTCCGCCCGGAGAGCGGAGGGTCCGGGGTTCGATCCCCGGCCGCGTCATACCAAAAGACGTTAAAAGATGGTACTTGTTGTTACCCTGTCTGGCACTCGGCATTAAGGGGCTCAAACAAGTACTGGTCGGCTCGGAGTCAGTATACTGTGTCTGAGTGGGGTATTCATGTTAAACTGCGGCATGGTATCTCAGTGAGCTAGCACTATAAATCGGCATCAGTCCGGACTAGTACAAGCAGCCACACATACACACACACACGTACATGCACGTCGCTATATAAGTGCAATAATCTTGGATGCGACGTTAAACCCCATTTCACCTCACCTCACCACTTTCTTAAACAACTAGCACAGGCGTAGCCAGTGAGTTTAGATTAACAGTACTTCAGTGCACCGGGGTAGCGTTGTCAGCTTAATGTGGAAGGAAAGGTCAATATGACACGAATCCAGGGCATATAACCTACGAGCAATGAGTGTGATGATATCATCACATTTAGGATTTGAGCTCGTGACCAGAGTAACTGCACAACAAACAGCAGTCCACTTGGTCACGCCGTCACAGATACAGTATTAATTGAACAAATTTAAATACATACCTGTGTTCGAGTCCACTTTAAAGAGGTAGTTGTACGTGCTTTGTATGAGATAATAAATAACCTGTCCATTCAGTCCACTGTCTGCATCACTAGCGGTAACGGTGGTGATGGAGCTGTCACAGACGCCGGTGTAAGCAATCTCTGTGTTGTAGAAGCTGGGCGACATTACAGGGTTGTTGTCGTTGACGTCAGTCACAGTTATTGTTACCGTGGTCGTCGACGTGCGTGGTGTAGCTCCTCCATCAACAGCGAGGATGCTGAACGTGAAACTCGAGTCGGTTTCCCTGTCAACAACTGCTTTGACAGAAAGGTCTCCCGTAGCTGTGCTGATATCAAAGAAAAGTGCAGCTCTCGCTCCTGCTGTAGTTGTCGTATCGATTGACAACGTCACAACGGCGTTGATACCGATGTCGTTGTCAGTAGTACCGATCGTAAGGATGCTTGTGCCGATGGTCGCATTCTCACTCACTGACCCTGAATACGACGTAGCGTCAAACACGGGATCATTGTCATTAAGGTCAGTGATGGTTATTGTCACATTCGTGCTTGCTGATCTGATAGGAACGCCATTATCGGATGCCCTCAGCCATATGATGTAAGTGTCCTGTGTCTCTCGGTCAAGGCCACCGTTTGTAGTTATCTCCCCTGATCCGCCATTTACGCTGAAGTGAGTGTTATTTCCCCGCCAGAAGATGACGAATTCATACCCTACAGCTCCATTCGTGCCTGTATCAATGTCAATGGCGGTTACATAGTTTACAGTAGACCCTGCCGGAACGTTTTCTGCAATGCTAAACGCGTAAGGAAGATTCTGGAAAACGGGGTCGTTGTCGTTGACGTCGCTTATTGTAAAAGATACTGTGACGACGCTAAGTAGAGGGCTGACTCCGTTGTCAGTAACGGTGACAGTCAACGTGTAACTTGGAGTCACCTCCCTGTTCAAGGCTTTGCTAAGTTGCAGAATGCCTGACCTTGACTCGATGGCGAAGTCGTTGGTAGGGTCACCGGCGGTGATAGCGAAGGAGAGCTCTCCGTTACGGCCGATGTCGGCATCTGTTGCTGCTATGGTGTAGATAATGGTCCCAACTGCAGTGTTCTCGGGTAGAGTCTTGGTATAGGTGCCGGTGATCGCAGGCGCGTTGTCGTTCAGGTCGACAACGTTGACGTTTAGTGTACCAGTGCCGACGTTGGGTCCGACGCCATTCTGGTCTGTAGCTGTCACTGTCAGAACGTGGCTGAAATTCAATACAACATCATCAAGCAGTTTCATCTCCATCAGCTATTTAATGATATACACTTCTACCTAAGGATGGTTTGAGACAGATTATTTTTCAGTCAGCGCTTAAAGGCATACACATTTTTTAAAACATCTATCATGTCCATTGAACAATTTCATTTTTTTCAAACACAACTCACTCACTCACCCACTCAGGTTTGCAAATGTACTCACCTATCGACTACTTCTCTGTCAATGGCAACAAGCGTGGTAATCTCCCCTGTTGTTGAGTTGATCGCAAAAAAGGTGCTGGTGAGACTGTATGTAAAAATACCGTTACTATTGGCGATAGAGTCAGCGTCTGATGCTGCCATGGTAGCCACTGACGTTCCTATGGCAACGTTTTCATCAAGATCAACGGTAAAATTTGACGGAGTGAATATAGGCGTATTATCGTTCAGATCGTTGAGGGTTATCACCACCAAAGTCGTGGCACTGTTTGCCGTAGGGGTTCCTCTGTCAATAGCCTGGATGACTAGGTTATAGGTTGTCTTTGTCTCGTAGTCTAAAGCCGCGATTGTTGTGACGTCGCCAGTTGTCGCGTCAATAGCAAATGTCGTCTGCCCGTCACCGGAAGTGATGGAATAGTCGATTTGACCGTTTGTTCCCGTATCAGCGTCTGTAGCAACAATCTGAGCAACTGACGTGGTAGTGGCAAGATTCTCATCAACAGCGATGTTGTATACGTTTTGGGCAAACTGTGGGAAGTTGTCGTTGACGTCGTTTAGATCGATGTAGAGCCACGTGGTGTTTGTCATTCCACCTCCGTCCTTCGCCTCTAGGGTCAGGTTGAAGAAGGTAGGAGGGATGTCGTAGTCCAGTTGCGACCACACCAAGATGTCCCCCGTCGTGCTGTCAATCACGAAGCTGCCAGCGGGAGTGTTGCCGCTGATGATGGTGTAATTCACAGTTCCGAATGCTCCAGAATCGGCGTCACTTGCTATGGCTGTTAAAACTGTACTTCCAATAGCAATAGACTCATTGATTGTGATAATTTGGTTTGGGTTTGTGAAAACTGGAGAGTTTTGATTGGCTGGCTGGACGTCAATGACCACACGAGCTGTGTCCGTCAGGGGCCCGGCGCCAGCGTCTGAAGCTTGAATAGTGAGGTCGAATGTTGGTATTGTGGCGTAGTCGAGGTTCTTCCCTGCTGCTATTCTCAAATCAGCACCATTAAATTCAAACACACCTGTGAGATCTCCAGCGATCACCGTGTAGGTCAGCGCCGAATTACTGGCGAGATCGTCATCAGTGGCTGTTACCGTCAAAATGACCGACAGTGCAACTGACGTTTCAATAGGACTTGACGTATAGAAACTAGGGTTAAATATGGGGGAGTTGTCGTTGGCGTCTCCAACCGTCACTGTCACTGACGTCGTCACCATCCTCGACGTCCCAGACCCAGCAACGTCGTCAGCTGCGGTAACAGTGAGGGTATACGAGTTAACCAGTTCTCTATTTAGCTGCTTGGCAAGGGTTATCTGCCCCGTGGCCTCGTCTATAGTGAACCTGCCCTGACTGTCCCCGACGGTGATGCTGTATCTGACAGTGCCGTCTAATGCGCCCTGGTCGTTGTCCGTCGCCGTCACCTGTACGACGTTGGTCCCAATGGCTGAGCTTTCAGGAACAGTAGTTGTGTAGGCAGCCGGAGCAAAGACAGGATCGAACTCATTTACGGGAGTGACCAACACCTTGACCGTTACATCTACAGAGTTGGGCGTAGCGCCGTTGTCGACTACGTTTACGTTCAGCGTGAACTCCCTCGTGCCCTCGTAGTCGAACGCTGTAGAAAACAATGGTATCGTTTAAGTGCCATTTATCAGTGCCTTGAATTAAGAATGTTCTTTAAGTAAAAATCGTGTCGAAAGTAAAAACAGGAAATATTTAGATAATTAATGTTTGAACTTTTTTTATCACTTCTTTATTATCAAATATTTTCCTATATTTCCCTCATACACTGAGGGACAAAAGAAAGTATACCGAGTTTGTTTTTGATAATTGAAAACTGTTGTTAGATTTAACCATCACTCATTCCTGTTTCAGTTTGTTAAAAAAGGTAATATGTGGCCGAATAATTTTGGTTTTGCTTCAATGAAGACGGGGGTAAGAAAATTTAATGGCCCATACTATGTTTGAAATGTTGTAAACTTGTGCCGAAAAAAGAATATTTATTGATTTTCAAAGATAAAATGTCTAAGTCAGTCAGTTGTATATTATGCGAAACATTTTTTTCAATTTCTAAAAGTTTTCAATGGAACTAGGACTGTATTTACAACCATGTAAAAGAATTCTTTGAGAGCTGACTAAAAGTGTATAGATTTGTAGATATAATATCATCGCTAAATTAATATATTTTCAAGTGAAAATGAGCTATAGTTTCTTATGTTCCTCAGGTGAACCGAGAGGGTAAGGTTATGATGATTTTCGAAATGAACTGTCACACATGTCCTGAAAACCTTGAAACAATGGTACACAACTGTGTTATATCTTACGTGTTGTTGTAGTTATCTCCCCTGTTGTAGTGACGATGCTGAAGAAGACGGGGATGTTTCCGCTTGTGATGGTGTAGCTCAGGATGTCGGCGGTGTCCGCGTCTGTGCACGTTATTGTCGTCAACTACAACATATGATGGGCTTGATCAGGTTCCACGGTGTTTAGCAGTGCTGGCGTTTTTCCTGAAGTCGATCTATTAAGTACCAGTGGCAAAAGTATATTCAGAATATTTTCGGGATGTTTCTAAATTATTCAGACGAATGTTTGCAAGTGGTTATCCTTGTTATTGAGGCACTAAACTACGAAAGTAAATTGTTTTACATATCTGAATAAAATTGTATGATGAGACACCAATTTAACATATATTTGTTATAATTGAATACATAGAGGAACAATGTCCAAAATAAACTTTGGCATATTGTTATGTGTAAAACAAGCGTAATAATTTAATAAGTCAATGTCAGGGATACACAATTCAAATGATTTTCAATATCAATAAAGTAAATAAATGGAAAACAGTTTGTGTCACAAATTCGTGAAAAATATAGAATAAGATTATCAAGCTAAATAAGCTTAATGACCACTTTCAAACGATACTATTTGCCATTAATGACTCATTTTAAACTTGGCCTCCATTCAAAGATTTATCATCCAGAGAATGTTAACATTTTTACACGTCGCTACAAGTTACATGAAAAAGTATTAGATGTATTATATTAACATACATTTATCCGTATGCAAGATGTGTTCTCTGTGGTTTTGAAACATTTACTGCAATCAACACCAATGTCACTGACCAACTTTTACAAATATGGAAACGTCATAGAACAAACCAGATGACGTCACTATTGAACGTGACGTCACTATCCCTATCCTATGACGTCACCTAACAACGGGCGTGATAATGGCCCGTCGTCAAGCAATATGAGGGCATTATCAAGTTACAGTGGCCCGCTCATTTTTTGATAACACGCGGGCGGTTTAATGATAATTCTATCCATTTTAGCTATAAAAATTAATATATGGTGTTCTCTGTGGAACGCAAAGTGTACCGTAGTTGCCGCTGTGACTGCCTCTGCCATTGACTGCGTGATGAAGTAAGAGGGGCACACTGGAGCGTTGTCGTTGACGTTGGTGATGTCAACAGTGACGGTCGTCGTCCCGATCAGCGCCGTCGCACCTCCATCTGTCGCTGTCACCTCGAGAAGGTACTGCTGTGGCCCCGCATCGAAGTCCAAAGCCGCCTGGGTTCGAATCACGCCCAGTGTTGGATCAATATTAAAGGCTGTGCCGGTATTGCCATCTGGTGAAGAAACATGCTCATGTTAAAGTTAGTTTGTAATGTGTTTCTTTTCTTGTGGTCGGTTAAAAACATGTGATTGTAAATAAGGTCGGTAAGACACTCAAGGAACTTGAACCATTCATTCACCAGGGATAGATAATCTTTATCTCCGTCGTAACTCGTGGATTAATCTACAATATATGAAACTGGCCAACAACCGCAATTAACTAACCCGACACAGTAGTAAAAATAAAACAACACTGTTTTACTTGAAATGGCGTATGTCAGCGTCCCATCAGTGCCGATGTCGTTGTCCGTCGCCGTTACAGTTGCAACAGACGTCCCAACACCAGTATTTTCGGGTATCTGATAACAAATATCAAAGTCTAGGTAAGAATAGTAAACTATACATCGTTGTGAGGTGTCCATGTGCAAGTCCAAATATGTATACAGGGATTGCGTGCTGTTGTTATATGGCAGTGGAGACTTGTCGGTTTATTTGCTGTCATTGTCAGTGGTAGCACATGATTGAAGTGGTAGTAAAATACCGAGTGCTGTCAGGGCGACAGGGTGTGGAATTCAAGTTATCCGCCCCTGGTTGTTTTCGAACATAGAAGGTGAGGTGAAATTGGGTTTAACGTCGCGTCCAAGATTATTGCACTTATATAGCGACGTGCATGCACGTGTATGTGTGTGTGTGGCTGCTTGTACTAGTCCGGACTGATGCCGATTTATAGTGCTAGCTCACTGAGATACCATGCCGCATGATGCAAGTGATACGAGAGGTGGAATCTGATTGACCCATAGGAGAGGCTTAGAAGGGACATAACTCGTAATAACCACTGGTGGCGCTACGATCGAACCCAGAAATTTCAGCCTAGTTAGACAAGGGTGGAAAGTGGACTTTTAAAGTCAGTTAACTCTCTTGCCTCGGGAAGATGCCATATAAGAGCAACAAGGGGGCGCTTTTTCGACCCAAGTGTCTTATCTACTTGCTAAGTGAGGTTTGATACCGCTTTGGACACCGAATTCCAGTCAGCTTCCAAAACGTTTCTGGTTTCAAGAACGGAGAAAGGCCTGTTTCATGATATTCGACAGTGACATTATTTCTAGGATCTGTTACTTATTCTTTCATCCACGTATTTGACCCATATGCATTGTACTGCCTTTTTGTAAACTGAAACTGTGTGTTTCAACATAATTGATTGATTATTCATTGAATTTATTTATTTATTTTTTATTGATTTCACAATTTTGTTCGGTACGTACCAAGGTTAATTTTGGCGTTTGAATTACCTTTCCACGTTTACTACTCGTGGAAAGGATATTCAAGGAATTCAAGTCCCGCAGATTTCTACCGATTCTTGCATTACGTACCGACACGGTGGAAGCAGGGGAGGGCGTGTTCATGACGGGTGTGTGTTGGTTGACGGCAGTGACGGTGACAGTGACGTACGTCGTCCCCGTCAACTCGGGTGTCCCTCCATCTGTCACGATGACGGTCAGACTGTAGGAGCCGGCGTCGTTTGTCGGTTGGTCCAGGTCGATGGGACTTGCAAGCTGAAGCTGTCCTGGCGTCGTGCCGCTGAACTCAAACTTTGCCGGTACAACGTCACCGCCGGTGACTGAAAAGGTCAACGTTGACGTTGCGTCGGCGTCTGACGCAACGAGCGTTAAGATGGATGTCCCAGCAAGGGAACTTTCAGGTATTGATCCAGTTAGAACGCTGGCGGCGGTGAAGACAGGAGCGTTGTCGTTGACGTCGGTGATAGTAATGGTGAGCGTGTCGTCAACTGATCTTGCTGGTGTCCCACCATCTGTTGCCCTTACAACCACAGTGTAGGATGTGACGCTTTCTCTGTTAAGTGTCGACGCTGTCGTCAGCTCACCCGTTGCCGCATTCAAAGTAAAGATGCCTGTTACAGCTGCCCCTGCGACTGAACATTGTGACCATAGTTGTTATGTTATACATGGTTGGGATTTTACCAAAAAAAAATACACTGTCCCCGAACATTCTTGAAATATTCTTTTTGCTTCAGACATTGTTGCAATGTGTTTTCTTTTTATAAACTCACGCTGACAGTTTTAATTTAAAAAATATCTGGCCACGCGTATATCTGGTTTTGCAGTTGCGGCTGAAAAAAATATTCTAATCTCCAGAAAAAAACCTCAGGTCCCTACCAAGAATATCAAATAATCGGTCATTTGTCATGATCGGACCTTATATAACATTCAAAATCATAATTAATTGTACCTGAAAATTATAAAGGAGTCCTTTTGTTAATCATATACATGTACGCCCATCTAGTTTTATAACCAGTCACACACGTACTTGGTGTAGTTGAAACGAGCTGGTATGTGAGGGCTCCGTCAACTCCAAGGTCAGCGTCCGTGGCTGCTATGGTAACGATGGAGGTCCCAAGGGGAGATGACTCCGACACGGGGAAAGATGTACCCGCGGGTACATTAGTCCCCCAGACTGGGTCGGCCTCATTCACAGCAGAAACCTGGAGGGGGCACAGTGCAGCTTATTGTCTTAATAACGTTATGACTTATCAGCCGAATAGGGACGTGATATATATTCATTAAATCCGCTGTAAAACAAGTAAAACTCACAAATTTAATATATACGTAAAACACATTTAGCTGCATATTTTACCATATTAATGACGCCAAGAACGGTCTTACAGTATACAACACAATCCATTCCAATGTGTTACGGCGGTCTGGTGGCCAAGTGCCTAAGGTGTTCGCTCTTCACATCGATTAGCCGGGTTCGAATCCCGCAGTAAAACGTCATAAAGTCGTGGTACTGAAGCAGTTTCGCATGCGATGATGGACTAAAAAGAGCATGTACGTCTTGTTTATTCTAGCCTAAAGGGTTGTTACGTTTCTGTTTGAGATGACAACGAGCTGTTATTATCAGAATAATAAACGTAAGTATGAGCACTAGCCACATGAACTCGATGATAGCGTGTATGGCATAATATATTCGTATAGATGAAAACACACCCCTATACACATATAGACAAGGAGTGACATCTTTGTCCTTATTCAAAATTTCGCACTCGGTTCGAATCACACCTCGATATCGCATGAAATATGAATGTCACATATTTCAATATATTGGCACCTGCTATATAAACCATAGGCTACACAGTCGGGATGATCTGTGGTCACCTTACCTCGTATTTATTTTATCACAACCATCAAATCTCAGATCTAAGCTTCGCCGCTGAGGTAAACAAGAAAAAGGTGACCGGAAATTACGGCGCAACACGGGCTTGAACTCAGCGAACGTTTCTGATTGGTTAAAATAAAGAATTATCTTGTAAAGGTAGTAGCAGCATGAGCGGCTGTGGTCGTAGATATAGTGAGTGAATATGTTTCCTGCCGCTTTCAACAGTACTCTAGTTATACGACACGGCGTGTCAGCTTGATGTGGAAGGAAAGCCCGAAGTGATGCAGGTCTCAGACGTTTACCACTTCGGTGAAACCCACGAGCACAGGAATGGTACTGCCAAAACTAGAAACATAATCGATGCGAACCGGGATTCGAACCAACTAGGGATCGCAGCTCTGCACAGCGAATCGCGGCGCCTTAGACGACTGGGCCACCCATGACCCTTACGTTTAAATGAGGACATTGCTGGCAGGGTAATCGTGGACTACTACGTTCACTACTTTGGTAAACCCCACCTAGATGCAGATGTAGTAGAACAGTTGTCATGGTCGTTGTTGCAGCAGGGGCTACATACACACCTGCACGATGACGGTGGCCGTGCCCGTCTTGGGGGTGCCTGTAGCGGGGGCGTCGACGGCGTGAACGATGAGGGTGTACGTTGACTTGGTCTCATAGTCTAGGACTGTGGCTGTCGTCTGAATGGCGGTGCCAGCCAGAGCAAACTTTTCGTTGGGGTTGGCGTCGTCACCGCTGAAGATGGTGTATGTGATGTCACTGTTGGGTGTAGTGTCGGCGTCTGTGCACACGAGACTGGCCACATCGGTTCCTACAAGCAGAATACGGAGGACGTCAAGTGAGTGAGTGAGTGAGTGAGTGAGTTGGGTGAGTGATGTTAAAGTGGATAAGAAATCGAGGAGCGTTTCAAACTACCTCATGGTGAACGCTTTATTGCATTATATGATGTTACGGGTAAAGGAAGAACGATGTAACGGGTAAAGGAAGAACGATGTAACGGGTAAAGGAAGAACGATGTAACGGGTAAAGGAAGAACGATGTTATGGGTAAAGGAAGAACGATGTAATGGGTAAAGGAAGAACGATGTAACACGTAAAGGAAGAACGATGTTATGGGTAAAGGAAGAATGATGTAACGGGTAAAGGAAGAATGAGGTAACGGGTAAAGGAAGAATGATGTAACGGGTAAAGGAAGAACGAAGTAATGGGTAAAGGAAGAACGATGTAACGGGTAAAGGATAAATCATGTAACGGGTAAAGGAAGAACGATGTAACGGGTAAAGGAAGAACGATGTAACGGGTAAAGGAAGAACGATGTAACGGGTAAAGGAAGAACGATGTAACGGGTAAAGGAAGAACGATGTAATGGGTAAAGGAAGAACGATGTAACGGGTAAAGGAAGAATGATGTAACGGGTAAAGGAAGAACGATGTAACGGGTAAAGGAAGAACGATGTAATGGGTAAAGGAAGAATGATGTAACGGGTAAAGGAAGAATGATGTAACGGGTAAAGGAAGAACGATGTAACGGGTAAAGGAAGAACGATGTAACGGGTAAAGGAAGAACGATGTAATGGGTAAAGGAAGAACGATGTAACGGGTAAAGGAAGAATGATGTAACGGGTAAAGGAAGAATGATGTAACGGGTAAAGGAAGAACGATGTAACGGGTAAAGGAAGAACGATGTAACGGGTAAAGGAAGAACGATGTAACCGGTAAAGGAAGAACCATGTAATGGGTAAAGGAAGAACGATGTAACGGGTAAAGGAAGAACGATGTAACGGGTAAAGGAAGAACGATGTAACGGGTAAAGGAAGAATGATGTAACGGGTAAAGGAAGAACGATGTAACGGGTAAAGGAAGAATGATGTAATGGGTAAAGGAAGAACGATGTAACGGGTAAAGGAAGAACGATGTAACGGGTAAAGGAAGAACGATGTAAAGGGTAAAGGAGGAACGATGTAACGGGTAAAGGAAGAACGATGTAACGGGTAAAGGAAGAACGATGTAACGGGTAAAGGAAGAACGATGTAATTGGTAAAGGAAGAACGATGTAATGGGTAAAGGAAGAACGATGTAACGGGTAAAGGAAGAACGATGTAACGGGTAAAGGAAGAACGATGTAATTGGTAAAGGAAGAACGATGTAACGGGTAAAGGAAGAACGATGTAACGGGTAGAGGAAGAATGATGTAACGGGTAAAGGAAGAATGATGTAACGGGTAAAGGAAGAACGATGTAACGGGTAAAGGAAGAACGATGTAACGGGTAAAGGAAGAACGATGTAACGGGTACATTAAGAACGACGTAACAGGTAAAGTAAGAATGATGTAACGGGCACATGAAGTGCCATGGAATATATTCACGAAGAACCGTGTTACAGATAAATGAAGATCGGTGTAACGGGTAAGTTAAGAATGATGTCACGGGTAAATCAAGACTGAGTAATGTTACGGGTAAATAAAAAATGAAGCACAATGTTTTGAAGTAAGTATACCTGTGCCGGTATTCTCTGCAACACTGCCGTAGATGGTACTGGGTGAGCAGACGGGTGTGTTGTCGTTGATGTCGTTGACGGTGACGGTGATCGCCTGCGACGCAGTGTTGCCCCCGCTGTCGGTCACCTGCACGGTGATGGAGAGGCTGGTGATACCGGCGTCATAGTCGATCCGGTCCCTGATGCTGATGGCTCCGGTGGTCGCGTCAATTTGGAAATATGCTGCGTCCGGACCTGTACGAGACACAGTGACCATGAGTGAGTGAGTGAGTGAGTGAGTGAGTATGGTTTTACGCCGCTTTTAGAAATATTCCAGCAATATCACGGCGGGGGACACCCGAAATGGGCTTCACACATTGTACCCATGTCGGGAATCGAACCAGGGTCTTCGGCGTGACGAGCAAACGCTTTAACCACCAGGCTACCCGACCATCAGGCTGTGGCTCTCTAACCTGCCGTGTCCTATTAAATATTTCTCTTATTACTTTTTTTTATTGACCCGACAACAACCAAATTTCAAATTGTTCAATAAAATAAAAAAAAGATTTCTTTTCGTCTCGTCTGAATTTAGTAATTAAATTAATGTGAAAACACGTCAATCAACGGAGGAAAGTGACCCGCTGACCCATACTATATTTCTTAAATTTATTTTACCTCGACAGACATTGGTTAAAAGAGATAAATAACTCAAAACATTTTAGAACTACTTATTTTTATTTCGACAACCGACCTAATATGTTTCGTGAAATAAATCCGTTGATTGGGCAATTTAACGATAAAGACCTATAACTTAATTTATTCACACAATAATCCATTTCATGAAATGAATAATCATTAATGGTAATAACAGGTGCTGGAATTCTAATTTCACGATCGATCAATATTTATCTTGTGGAGTTACGACATTAATGCCACTACCCAATCGGTTTTTTTAAACGGGGTCCGGATGTTAACTCACTCACCCAGCAGACTGTAGGTGAGGACATCGCCGTTAGCCGTCTCTACGTCGGCTACGGTATATCCCACCGTCAACGTCGTCCCCACCGCCACCTCCTCATCTGTCGTGGCGGTGAACGTCCCCGTGATGGTCGGGGCCTCGTCGTACACGTTGGTCACGATCACTGTGAGCGTGACGTCAGTTGGCGGAAGATCGGCGGGATCAGTAACCCTGGAAATTTGGATAATGATTTGTTTAAATTTGTAAACTCTTCACTGTTGTCCAACATGTTTTTTATGAAGTATACCCTGCAAAAGTTTAAACTCACTGAAATAAAAGGGCTTATTTATTATATCCGTTGCGAAAAATGATGACAAGTACGTATATTTGAAAGTGAGACAGTTACGCACGTAAAAGTGAGTGAGTGAGTGAGTGAGTGAGTTTGGTTTACGCCGCTTTTAGCAATATTCCAGCAATATCACGGCGGGAGACACCAGAAGTGGGCTTCACACATTGTACCAATGTCGGGATTCGAACCCGGGTCTTCGGCGTGACGAGCGAACGCTTTAACCACTAGGCTACCCGACCGCCCGAGTGAGTGAGTGAGTTGGGTTTAACGCCGCTTTTAAAAGCGGCGTAAAACCATACTCACTCACTCACTCACAACATCGTCGAATAAATACATGGCCTTTTCTTTATGCGCAACAACTTTAGTTTATTCTTTGTACGCCGTTTCAGAGCTACTCCTAGCTCCTTTATCAAGTGAATGCTTAGTAAGTGCATTGATTTTATATATCATGCTGTTAATCTCATTTAATCTCAATTATAATGCTCTCGAACTATAATATTTGAAAGTCAATTTTCAGTGCCTGTGACCCCTTTTCGGAACGTTCTACGATTAGCCATGTGTACGTACGCGTTACAACACGTGTTGTTTAAGAAGTTAAGAGATTCCAACTGAAGATTAGATACAAGCGCTCGGCTCCACATTAAAATACTGCAAAAGAAACAGGCGCTAATTAAAACTTATAACCAATTATTCCGAGCACACCCATCACTAAACACCGACAGCTGGCGCGTCCTACACCTATAGATACACTCACGTAATGGTCAATATATGTGGTCCTGGGGCCGTTTCAAAGTCCAGAGCAGAAGCCACCTGCACTGACCCCCCTATGTTAACGCTGAAGGGAGTCCCGGCGGGGGCCAGGGCGTACGTCCATGTAGCTGTAGTCGGTAGGACGGTGAAGATTACTGTCCCCGTCGCCGTGTTCTCCGGGACGTTGACGGTGCTGCTACCGTCAGGTAGGGGCGATGTGACCACGGGGGACCCTGAGAAGAACGGACATGTATTTAAACTGTTGGATTTGATTAAGATCATAAGAAGGCATGTGTTGTGCTGACAATCATATATCACAACAAGGAATATTTCTTCGATCACCACTTCAACATACAGTGAACGTCCAGAGAATTGATTCACCTTAGGACGTATTAATCCCTATCAGGATATTTCCAGCCCACACATCCCCAACTCTAGTCCCGACCCCCGAATATCAAATAGTCAGGCATGTAAAGTTCGTGGTTTGTACTGCAGAGCTGCGTCCCTTGGCACGCCAGATACCTGTGATTGTGGGTTCGAATCCCGGTTCGCCCCGATTATGTTTCTAGGTTTGTCAGCAACATACCCGTGCTCGTGGGTTTCACCGAAGTGGTAAACGTCTGAGACCTGCATCACTTCGGGCTTTCCTCCCACATTAAGCTGACACGCCGTGATATAACTCGAATACTGTTAAAAGCGGCGTTAAACCCAACTCACTCGTGGTTTGTACACACCTTACTGTGTTAAACGTCTATTACCTACGTCACGTTGTATAATTGAAATATTGTCACAGGGCTGAGCGTTGAACCTCACCCATTCAGCCACCAAACATTTTATTACAAAATCAGACGAGCCCTCGTTAGCATTATCTGGGATATAGAAGTCACCTAATTGTCACTTAAACATATTTCATAGTTAAAAGTAGTGATACACACAAAATGAAAGAAAATACTTAAAATGACATCCGAATTGTTCAGTATGCACTTACCATAGGTCTCCCATATCAATAACGCCCATAAATAGAGATATATTCCTTTCATTTTCACCACTTCTTGTCCAAGATTATTAGCACCACAAGGTTAATCTGTAAGAGATATAATAAATGTAGTTAGCAACATGAAGACTTACGTGTTTGTAAAATTAAAAAAATATCGTGACTCTTACCTCCTTTGCACATTAAAAAACCCAGTTAATATTACGACAATAAAAGTGTAAATACTTGTATTCCAAGTAAGAGTCTGTCACTAACACTGATGGGCGAGCAGTTAACGGTGTCTATGATGTGAATGATATCGCCCCAACCCAACACTGGAGGTCGACTGTCATTCATCCGAGTCAATACACTCCCATATCAGAAGGGTCTGGGTTGCCCTGATAAGTGAAAGTGTTTTCTCAGCAATTGTTGACGTCAATCAAATCGGCCGTCGCCTTTCTATACACTTGTATTGCCGTTCCTGGTGCAATTAATGAAGTAAGCATGGACTATATGATTAGGTGATATTAACATGCTTATAAGCCTCCTGACTTCTTGCTTCTATTATGCTTCAATATTGCATTCAACAACATTCAGATCCGCGTTATTGAACAGTTAATGGTTCTTTGGAGGGCCAGCCATGCTTCTATGACGGGTTGTCCTGGTGTTGACGACTTGCTCCTTGATCTGGGACCGACATATCGTAAATCACTCTGTGGGATAGGAACCATTGAAGCAGAAGTCAATTAGTACTTGTTGATTTAAAGAATGTTATGATAGCTTGAATAATAAACATCTAAATAACAAAAATAAGTGTGATCAACATACACCTGCTTGCGTAGGTATATACAAACAAAGGTAAGGCGACGTCAAGGCCAACAGTAATTAGATTAAGTACAAATACATCTATCTAAACCGATTAAGACTTGCTATCTATATTATCGCATGGTGTATGCAGTGGACACTGGGTCAATCCTTTTGTAAGGGACCTTCTGTTTAGTGTGCTGTGGCGTTGGGAGAGAGGGGTGAGAGAGTTCTTACATACAAGCTATTTTATTCGGTCACCGCTTCAAAACACGTACATCTTTTTGCATGCCGATCAATTGTTTTGTCCTCAAACATTTATTTTTCAGGACATCCATCATGGTCAGAATCCATGGCAGAGGACAAATGTTTTGTTTTTCTTTTTACAGGTAGTTTTCGACGTATCAAACAATCCCATACACATGCTTAGACAAACATGATCAACTGTGGACCGTCTCTTCCCCGAAATATCCACTGAAAGAGATAAACAAGGTGTACTGAGGACATGGTCTGGTCCGTATATCCAGAGACCAATAAGAGGCAGTGAGGACAATCTCTGCCCAGTATATCCACGCGGAGACCAACACGAGGCAGTGAGGACCATCTCTGCCTGGTATATCCACGCGGAGACCAACAAGAGGCAGTGAGGACCATCTCTGCCTGGTATATCCACGCGGAGACCAACACGAGGCAGTGAGGACCATCTCTGCCTGGTATATCCACGCGGAGACCAACAAGAGGCAGTAAGGACCATCTCAGCCCAGTACATCCACAGGGAGACCAACACGAGGCAGTTAGGACCATCTCAGCCCAGTATATCCAAGCGGAGACCAACAAGAGGCAGTGAGGACCATCTCAGCCCAGTATATCCACAGGGAGACCAACAAGAGGCAGTGAGGACCATCTCTGCCCAGTATATCCACAGGGAGACCAACAAGAGGCAGTGAGGACCATCTCTGCTCAGTATATCCACAGGGAGACCAACAAGAGGCAGTGAGGACCATCTCTGCCCAGTATATCCACAGGGAGACCAACAAGAGGCAGTGAGGACCATCTCTGCTCAGTATATCCACAGGGAGACCAACAAGAGGCAGTGAGGACCATCTCAGCCCAGTATATCCAAGCGGAGACCAACAAGAGGCAGTGAGGACCATCTCAGCCTAGTATATCCACAGGGAGACCAACAAGAGGCAGTGAGGACCATCTCTGCCCAGTATATCCACAGGGAGACCAACAAGAGGCAGTGAGGACCATCTCTGCCCAGTATATCCACGCGGAGACCAACACGAGGCAGTGAGGACCATCTCTGCCTGGTATATCCACGCGGAGACCAACAAGAGGCAGTGAGGACCATCTCTGCCTGGTATATCCACGCGGAGACCAACACGAGGCAGTGAGGACCATCTCTGCCTGGTATATCCACGCGGAGACCAACAAGAGGCAGTAAGGACCATCTCAGCCCAGTACATCAACAGGGAGACCAACACGAGGCAGTTAGGACCATCTCAGCCCAGTATATCCAAGCGGAGACCAACAAGAGGCAGTGAGGACCATCTCAGCCCAGTATATCCACAGGGAGACCAACAAGAGGCAGTGAGGACCATCTCTGCCCAGTATATCCACAGGGAGACCAACAAGAGGCAGTGAGGACCATCTCTGCTCAGTATATCCACAGGGAGACCAACAAGAGGCAGTGAGGACCATCTCTGCCCAGTATATCCACAGGGAGACCAACAAAAGGCAGTCAGGACCATCTCTGACCCGAAATCTGACCCGTATATCCATGAGGAGTTGGGGGTAGATATGTAAAGGATAAAACACGCCCCCAAGGGTTTGGGTGAAAATGTAAACACGAGGCAGAGAGACAAAACCGATGGCCCGGAGGCCCGGGGTTTTGTCCCGAGGCAGAGTGTTTACATTTTCAACCAAACCCGAGGGGAAGTGTTTTATCTGTCATATAAATTGACAGAAAATACGAAACACTTTTTCATGACAAAATTTTATTTGGGTATTTTGTATTTTGATAATTGTAATGCAGGGAGGAGGGAAACTCAGAAACGAATACACCCAAGCACATGCGCGGGCATCAGACTTTCCATGATTTGCACGTGCTGGAAGTTCGCGATTAAAGTCGTACACGTGGGACGGAGGATGGAGAGAGGAGACGGCGATGATTTTTGTGTATTTGTCGTTGACGTAAGTGATACGAGTTTTACTTAAAAATATAAAATTGTGTAACGAAAGTGTAAATTGCACCTAATTTTACAGACCACATTCTGACCATGAGTGAAATTCAAATTGTAATGACCCAGATTGGATAGTTGATCCGTGAAATTCTGTAATTTAAGAATATTCCTTTTTTCCATGAAGGTCACAAGAGCGAAGCTGTGCGAAGCTACAAACGTACATCGGACGTACAGAAGGCTAACATGTCTGACATCCTGTCAAATGCACCTAAGCGACTTCAGTCGGAGACGGCGACAACTGCATCGGAAGGGACAACCGGGTGCGTGGTAACGGCAAAGACGGCGACAACCGAGTCGGTGAACAAGGACCAGGCACATGTCGTGTTCAATGTTACAATCTCGTAAATGTAACGATTGGTGTTTCAAGTGAATAATAAAATTTTGAAACTTGTTTTTTTGTACTTTATATATTGCTTTAATGCCCGGGAAATTATGTCTAATATCCCTGATCATTCTATAGAATAACCCGGAGAGTAGGGACATTCTATAGAATAACCCGGAGAGCAGGTTATCTTGGGAAAAGAATACCCTCAATAAACAACGACAAGCTGCCACTGGAGGTTTATATGTAGTGGGGTAGTGGGGACAAGCATGGTGTACTGACGGAGGACGAAATCTGACCCGAATATCCATGCGGCCAGGGGGGTAGGGGGGACAAGCATGGTGTACTGACGGAGGACGAAATCTGACCCGAATATCCATGCGGGTAGGGGGGTAGTGGGGACAAGCATGGTGTACTGACGGAGGACGAAATCTGACCCGAATATCCATGCGGCCAGGGGGGTAGGGGGACAAGCATGGTGTACTGACGGAGGACGAAATCTGACCCGAATATCCATGCGGGTAGGGGGGTAGGGGGGACAAGCATGGTGTACTGACGGAGGACGAAATCTGACCCGAATATCCATGCGGGCAGGGGGGTAGTGGGGACAAGCATGGTGTACTGACGGAGGACGAAATCTGACCCGAATATCCATGCGGCCAGGGGGGTAGGGGGGACAAGCATGGTGTACTGACGGAGGACGAAATCTGACCCGAATATCCATGCGGCCAGGGGGGTAGTGGGGACAAGCATGGTGTACTGACGGAGGACGAAATCTGACCCGAATATCCATGCGGCCAGGGGGGTAGTGGGGACAAGCATGGTGTACTGACGGAGGACGAAATCTGACCCGAATATCCATGCGGCCAGGGGGGTAGTGGGGACAAGCATGGTGTACTGACGGAGGACGAAATCTGACCCGAATATCCATGCGGCCAGGGGGGTAGGGGGACAAGCATGGTGTACTGACGGAGGACGAAATCTGACCCGAATATCCAAGCGGCCAGGGGGGTAGTGGGGACAAGCATGGTGTACTGACGGAGGACGAAATCTGACCCGAATATCCATGCGGGCAGGGGGGTAGTGGGGACAAGCATGGTGTACTGACGGAGGACGAAATCTGACCCGAATATCCAAGCGGCCAGGGGGGTAGTGGGGACAAGCATGGTGTACTGACGGAGGACGAAATCTGACCCGAATATCCATGCGGCCAGGGGGGTAGTGGGGACAAGCATGGTGTACTGACGGAGGACGAAATCTGACCCGAATATCCATGCGGCCAGGGGGGTAGTGGGGACAAGCATGGTGTACTGACGGAGGACGAAATCTGACCCGAATATCCATGCGGCCAGGGGGGTAGGGGGGACAAGCATGGTGTACTGACGGAGGACGAAATCTGACCCGAATATCCATGCGGCCAGGGGGGTAGGGGGGACAAGCATGGTGTACTGACGGAGGACGAAATCTGACCCGAATATCCATGCGGCCAGGGGGGTAGTGGGGACAAGCATGGTGTACTGACGGAGGACGAAATCTGACCCGAATATCCATGCGGCCAGGGGGGTAGTGGGGACAAGCATGGTGTACTGACGGAGGACGAAATCTGACCCGAATATCCATGCGGCCAGGGGGGTAGGGGGGACAAGCATGGTGTACTGACGGAGGACGAAATCTGACCCGAATATCCATGCGGTCAGGGGGGTAGTGGGGACAAGCATGGTGTACTGACGGAGGACGAAATCTGACCCGAATATCCATGCGGGCAGGGGGGTAGTGGGGACAAGCATGGTGTACTGACGGAGGACGAAATCTGACCCGAATATCCATGCGGCCAGGGGGGTAGGGGGGACAAGCATGGTGTACTGACGGAGGACAAAATCTGACCCGAATATCCATGCGGGTAGGGGGGTAGGGGGGACAAGCATGGTGTACTGACGGAGGACGAAATCTGACCCGAATATCCATGCGGCCAGGGGGGTAGTTGGGACAAGCATGGTGTACTGACGGTGGACGAAATCTGACCCGAATATCCATGCGGCCAGGGGGGTAGTGGGGACAAGCATGGTGTACTGACGGAGGACGAAATCTGACCCGAATATCCATGCGGCCAGGGGGGTAGTGGGGAAAAGCATGGTGTACTGACGGAGGACGAAATCTGACCCGAATATCCATGCGGGCAGGGGGGTAGTGGGGACAAGCATGGTGTACTGACGGAGGACGAAATCTGACCCGAATATCCATGCGGCCAGGGGGGTAGGGGGGACAAGCATGGTGTACTGACGGAGGACGAACTCTGACCCGAATATCCATGCGGCCAGGGGGGTAGGGGGGACAAGCATGGTGTACTGACGGAGGACGAAATCTGACCCGAATATCCATGCGGCCAGGGGGGTAGGGGGACAAGCATGGTGTACTGACGGAGGACGAAATCTGACCCGAATATCCATGCGGCCAGGGGGGTAGGGGGACAAGCATGGTGTACTGACGGAGGACGAAATCTGACCCGAATATCCATGCGGCCAGGGGGGTAGGGGGACAAGCATGGTGTACTGACGGAGGACGAAATCTGACCCGAATATCCATGCGGCCTCGGGGGTTGGGGGGACGAAATCTGACCCGAATATCCATGCGGGCAGGGGGGTAGAGGGGACAAGGAATACTGAGGACCATGTCTGCTGGGGTAAATTCACGGGGAGGCAGACAAGGAGACTATTCTTTCATTATGTTTACTTGTTCACAGGTTGTGGGTCAGAAACGACTGAAGTAAATAAGAAATAAATAAGCGGGATGGCAACCAAGGCAAGTTATCTGGAACGTGCCACGATAATTAGAAATGATGTCACTGACATTATCATATATCAAATACATGTAAATATGATATGTGATACAGGATTCTAATCATTTTTAGAGGGGGATATTTTAAACATCCGCGCCATGGTACTTATATTTGAGATTCTATCCGACTTTGACTATAAACAACCGGAGAATACAGTATCATTCACTAGTGGCAGTAATTGTTCAGTAAAAAAATAAATAAAAAATAAAATACAAATTGTTCAGTAAGGTATAATAAGGGCCCTTTCAAGAAAAAACCTTTAAAAATTGTGATGGGAGTTATGAGATGTGTTCATATGAATCAGATGTAGACTTTGCTTTATTAAACGTGAACTTGAAACGACACTAAATGTGTAAATAAAACTAAAAAGTGTTGAAAAAAAAAGATTTTCAGGTTTTCTGGAAGCATTTTGTGTTATTTGAACTTGAACAAGCCTTGCAACCAAGATGATTTCCTAAGGAAATGTAGATAACACCATTACAAACATATAATGCTTGTGTCACGGACTTACTGTGTTAGATTTAAGCTTAAAGTTATACACCTCAGCCCTTTTAACATATTTAACAATTTTTGTGTATGCTAAAATCGAAAAAAATCACGTGTAAGTAGAATACAAACTAGTTGTCAACCATATGGACATGTCTGAAAATAGTCATACCAAGTTTTCTGTAATTTAAAAGAAGGCAATTCCAGTGAACCAAACCAAGCCCTTATCCTTCCTCGTGCTTGCATAGAAAATATGTGTAACAGTAACAGGTTTTACCGTTACTATACGTACCTCTCATAACAGTTGTTTTGTTAGTTCAAAAGAATCGGTTATATAGATTTTGTGGTTAAATAGCTGTAGCATCGCTTACTGTGGCAGGATACACCATTCACCCAATCAATTTTAGTTCAACAAAAACAAGATGTTACACGTCAACGTTAGTCGATCGTGTGGCATTTGGTACAAAGTAAGCATGTATGTATAAACGGGCTTTGTTGTTATATGTACATGAATATATTACATACATTTTGAAACTACATAATTCTGAAGGAAAAATAAATTGTTATTTTTTACCGTGCTCGTTTGCTGAATAAGTCCCATGCAGTGATCGCGGTGCAAGTTCTTTACTATCTATGAAGTTATTGCATAGTTGACGGGATTCAGAGGTCTGTGGAGTCCATATCTCTGTGTTTACCTACACCAAGACAACACGAACTAAGCACCTCCTATAATCCACTCCCCTCGTTAACCTACCCTCTCACAGCCCGATATATAAGACGTCGACACAAGGCGATGAATAGTATTTCTCAAGTGGGTCTTTTCTTACAGAGAAAACTCGACTCGCAGTCTCGAGAGCAAGCAGCCTACAACAAACACGAACCACTTTACTTAATCAGCGAACCAATCTCCAAATCTTCTGTCACGCTTTGCAAGTCATTATAAATTCATTTTCACATTTTATCAAAGTAAATATTATGTATCTCTGTCAATATTCTTATCAGGTTCAGGCCGTTTCCGTCAGAACTAATCTTGGAATATTAACTGATTGTGGCAACACCTAGTTTTAGGGGAGCGGGTGTATTATTGTGTTAACCGCGAACCGTTCATTTATTGAGCAGTGCTCACAGGGAGATGAATGGGGGAATATAGAGCGACCAGATGAAGGATCACTAATACCATCAGCACATTTCAAAGCATGGGTTATATTTACGAGATTCAATCCTAACGTCAGCCAAAGTATTTTCTTGAATATATATATATAATATTGATTATTTGCAGTATCTAGTCGTGCCATCGAATCCCAGGTTCGTTCTAATAAGGGCGTTGAGGTAGCCTAGTGGTTAAAGCGTTCGCTTGTCACGTCGAAAACACGGGTTCGATTCCCCACAAGGGTACAATGTGTGAAGCCCATTTATTGTGTCCCCCGGCGTGATATTGCTGGAATGTTCTTAAAGCGGCGTAAAACCATACCCACTCACTCACTCATTCGTCCTGATAATGATCTAATCGTCAGCAGGGGGTAACGTTGGTGATGGGAAAATTAGTGTTTTTATTTGTCCCAAAATTCCGGAAACGCTGCTTTTGAAATATTTCACAGTGTGTCCGCATGGCGAGGGAAGAAAAACCGATTCAAAAGACAATCATATGTTCTTGGACTCAGCTATGCACAGCGAATTGTAGCGTCCGCGATTACTTTGCCACCAATGTCCTCATTTAAACGTAGGGTTCATGGGTGGCCCAGTCGTCTAAGGCGCCGCGATTCGCTGTGCAGAGCTGCGTCCCTTGGGCAAACCTATAATTGTGGGTTCGAATCCCGGTTCGCCCCGATTATGTTTCTAGGTTTGTCAGCACCATTCCTGTGCTCGTGGGTTTCACCGAAATGGTAAACGTCTGAGACCTGCATCACTTCGGGCTTTCCTCCCACATTAAGCTGACAAGCCGTGATATAACTGGAATACTGTTAAAAGCGGCGTTAAACCCAACTCACACACTCATTTAAAAGTAAAACTATTGCACTTGTATTGTAATCGTTTAAAATACTATTGGGATATTATGGCCAAAGCTGTGTCAAAGCGACTGATTCAGGACAACCTCTGTCTGAATGAATGCAGTATTTAATTCCAAAGTATGATTGCCATGTAGTCATGGTAAGGCCTCGTACGTGTGTGCTTTGTGTCTAATCCATTTGATGTTTCACAAAACATACAGTAAAGTACGGTTATACCGAACTCAAAGGGACTACTAATTTTAGTTCGTTATAACCGTAGTTCGTTACAAGCATATATACAGCATAGCTACAGCAAGTAGTCGGGACCAAAAAAGTAAGTTCGTTATATCCGTAAGTTCGTTATAAGCGTGTTCGTTATAACCGTAGTTTACTGTATGTTTAAATCAAATTGTATAGCTTTAGGTGAGTCTCTGGAGTCATTCTGAATCAATAACAATATAACTCCTAAATATTGATTCTGAATAAACTGAATAAATCCTGTGAAAATACTGAATCGTTATACGGAAATGAATCGATGATTTATCGAAGAGAATAAATAGTTGCACTGAGTTAATTGTTTGACCTAATATGGTTAATCACACATTTGCTGAAACGTTCTTAAAATATGATTTTTTTACGAAAGTCACCTCGCCACATTGAATGATTTTACTCACTGCAGTCGTCGTTCGTCGCCTTCTACGAAGACAAAGAAATTTCGTTTTGGTCACGTGAGCAACGTGGTCGCTTGTACTGTAAACACAAAAGTAAACAGGCTTGAACTCAATCGCCATTAAACATAGTCTTCTAAATCCGATTTAAGATATGGATTACATGAGTAATATACCATTCGATGTAATAGACTTGCGGTGTCATCCTACACCACAGATGTATATACAATTAAACAATGTATAACTTGATACACACTTTACACACAATATTCTCTGACTAATATCCTATCCTATTGGGTATCATTAATCCGAGGACCGCCTCCGTGGTCTAGTGGTAGAGCGTCCGCCCGGAGAGCGGAAGGTCCGGGGTTCGATTCCCGGCCGCGTCATACCAAAAGACGTTAAAAGATGGTACTTGTTGTTATTGGGGTATTCATGTTAAACTGCGGCACGGTATCTCAGTGAGCTAGCACTAAAAATCGGCATCAGTCCGGACTAGTACAAGCAGGCACACACACAAACACACAAGTGCATGCACGTCGCTATATATAAGTGCAATAATCTTGGACGCGACGTTAAACCCCATTTCACCTCACCTCATTAATCCTATTGCTAAATCTGACACCGATGTTCAAATCCTCTGTCACACAGGGTCATCTCTCTTATTTCTGTACCCTGTAAAAAGAATTGTGACATTTTAAACACGAAATTGAGTGAGTGGTGCAAAAGAAATATTATTTTAGCTGAGGAGCAAAATGGCTTCAGAAAAAACGGAGCTGTTTGTATCACCTCTACAACATTTGTACAATAATCAAAAATCGAAAATAATAAAACTTGTCCACATTTTGTTGTTCTATTGACATGAAATAGGCGTTCGAAAATGCAAACAGAGATGGTTTATGATTTAAGATATTAAAACATGGTATAACCGGAAGGGTACACATGTGAATATAGTGTACGTGATTATGAATGCAACAGTATGCATGTTCGTAAGTGTGCCTGTGTATGGGTGTACGTGTGTGTATGACTGCGTGCGTGCAATTTGGCTTGTGTGTGTGTGTGCGTGTGTGTCTGCATGTGTCTGCATGTGTCTGTGTGTATGTGTGTTCAACGTATTTCCTAACTTAACGTAACATTAAACATTGTGTAGGTATATGTCTTAATTATCTTATCCTGATCATGACGATCATGCGTGAAACCGGATGAGTAAATTATACAGCTCATCTTTGGACTTTTGTATCTTATCTATCTATCTATCTATCTATCTATCTATCTATCTATCTATCTATCTATCTATCTATCTATCTATATACTCTTAAAAAAAAGAAACTTGACACTGACTTTCAAAAGGTAATATAATGCGATTGTTTCAAAATAGGACACAGAAACCATAATTGAAACACTGTTTGAAGATCAATGCACACAATGTTCAAAACATTAATCGTGTCACCTAGACAGACACACGTACACGATACAGTTAATGTCACAGGGGTACAGAAAATGTCAGTATCGGTTGTGCCCACCAAGTGCAGCAATCACCGCTTGACACCGACGACCCATAGATGCAATCAAGTTGTCAATAACACGCTGTTGGATGTGCTGCCATTCATGCTGAAGTGCATCAAGAAGCGCCGGAAGTGTTTGGGGCGGTGGATTTCTTCTGCGAACGCGTCGATCCAACTCGTCCCACAGATGCTCAATCGGGGACAAATCTGGTGACCGGGCTGGCCAAGGTAATGTCTGGATGTTGTTGTGCTGAGAGAAGTCCTGACACACACGTGCAATATGCGGTCGAGCGTTGTCCTGCTGGAACTGTCCACCATGAACGTTGACGTGAGGAAGAACGTAAGGCTGTAGGATCAAGTCTCTGTAACGCACACCTGTCACTGCACCTGCCACATGCACGAGAGGCGTCCTACCGCCGTGATGAATTCCGGCTCATACCATGACACTCCCTCCGCCAAATGGGTCAACCTGCTGCACACAGTTGGGGGTGTAACGTTCACCCCGACGTCTGTAGACACGTGCGCGCCCATCAGCACGTGTGAGTAGAAACGGGACTCGTCAGTAAACAGTACATTTCTCCACCTTGCACGTGGCCATCTAACCCTCTGTTGGCACCAAAGCAGACGGTCTGCCAGATGACGTGGGGTCAATACATGACGTCGAACAGGTCTTCGTGCAAAAAGTCCAGCCTCCCTCAGTCTGTTGCGTACCGTTTGATCTGATATTCTGCGTACCCCAGGGATCTGTGTGGCTGTAGACGTGGCTGTGGTGGTGCGGTCTTGGTGGTGTCGCAGCCGGATGTATCGATCTTGTGCTTGGGTTGTCACCCTTGGTCTTTCTGACCTTGGTCTGTCGTCAACTCTGTTGGTGTTGTTGTATCGGGTCCACAGTGCGGAGATTGTCTGTCTGGATACGCCAAAGTGCCTGGCCACTTCTTGCTGAGTTGCTCCAGCTTGTAATCTCCCAATGGCGTTGTTCCGTTGAGCTGCATTCAGTCTTTGCATTCTGTCACCGCCTCTACTGCCGTTATAAGGACTGTATGAACAGCCGTTGATGTGGATTTTTATACCCATTCAGCAGGGGGGCCTGCATGCCTAAATGCAGGATCCTGTGCTGCACATTTTTTTAAAGGCAGTTGCGTTTGGATGAAGCTACGTTTATGTGCTTTGCATGTGTTTTCGCGAAATATAGACACATCATCTTTCTGTTTGACTTATTTGGTTCTCATTAATGTAATTATTTTAGATATTTGGCAAAAGTGGTTTTACATCTATGTCAAGTTTCTTTTTTTGAAGGGTAAATATATATATATATATATATATATATATATATATATATATATATATATTTATATATATATATATATTTATTTATTTATTTATTTATATGATTTTATATTTTATATTTATATTTAGGCCCACACCTGGTCGGATGTTATATTTGACTGTTTGAATAAGACATGTGACATTACAATAAACATAATTCTCTCTCTATTTTTTTATTTTTGCCGATTCCAAAACACATTGGCAATCACCCCATAACACTTATATTTCTCTAGATTTCTCGCCTTGATAATGAACCTTGGCTTGTGTTAATTCAATACGGCGCTAACCGTAAAAATGATATTGTTCTTGACGTACTCTTCTGAAACTTTTTTAAGAGGAAAGAACTATTTGGATTTCAATTTGTTTTGCACCTTATATCCTTATAATATCATAACTGTTTGTGTAAAATGAGGGGGCGGTCGGGTAGCCTGGTGGTTAAAGCGTTCGCTTGAGATGCCGAAGACACGGGCTCGATTCCAGACATGGGTACTATGTGTGAAGCCTATTTCTGGTGTCCCCCTGCCGTGATATTGCTGGAATATTGCTAAAAGCGGCGTAAAACCATACTCACTAACTCACTTAGAAATACATATCGTGACAGTGTGCCCTATTTTAGATCACTGTAACTCATTATTCAGGAAGGAGATTGTAACAGGAAGGTTGTTTTGATACTGTGAGAGTTTAACCCCAATAGGTGTGTCGTCAATACTTCAGATTAAGTGGCATGTGATAGGACACATTAAACACACATCGTATAATCAACGAGACCTTTGTTTTTCAGTTAATGAGTGTTTGAGTGCGTGAGTGTGTCAATAGGATGTTAAAAGCCATGGCCAGCTATGTTCAAACCTTATCGTGGCGACCTGTATAATGCCAGCCAAATACAAACAAGGGCGGTTTGAGTAGCCTAGTGGTTAAAACCTAGGCTCGTCAAGTCAAAAGCCCGGGTTCGATTCCCCACATGGGTACCAAGTGTGAAGCCCATTTTTTGGTGTTTCTCGCAGTAATATTGCAGGAATATTACTAAATGCGGCGTAAAACCATCCTCACTCAAACAATCCATATATATATATATATATATATATATATATATATATATATATATATATATATATATATATATATAAATGAAGTAAATGTTCACTTTGTGAACATATATATATATATATGGATTGTTTGAGACAATATTTATTTATTTATTTATTTATTTATTTATTTATTTATTTATTTATTTATTTATTTATTTATTTATTTATTTATTTATTTATTTATTTATTTATTTATTTATTTATTTATTTATTTATTTATTTATTTATTTATAACAGGCAACACGTTGCTGCCATGGATGCTCATGTCAGTCGGCTTCTGTGAATAGTACCGCACCCAAATATTACACAGCATGGAAGAGGCAAAATGAGAATACAGAAATGTAGAGTAATGTGTATTGAAATGATAGTATAGTTTGGAAGAAGTCCAGAAGTTTCCACACCGGCTTCAAGCCCTGAAAGCGTCACTGGTGTAGCGCCATCGCGGCCCCGATAACCTGGAACTTTAAGCATGGCATCAATCCTGCAGCTGGTTTGTCTGCACCAGATCCGTAGCCGCACTGATTTGGCGAGATATTAACTGCGGCGTTAAACAACATTCAGTCATTTAATCGTTCAGAAAAGTATTGAAAATGAAAACTTGTTTGTATATGGTCAATGTCACAGGGATGTAACAGAGAGCAAGCAGATTTAACGTTGTGTAAATACATTAACATTGGTCAACATGGGATATCAGTTTCCGAAGTATAAAAGGAATTTACAAGTAGCTTGTAATATAAATCTTTGACCTAAGAATTAGTTTAATGTTCATAGGTTCTGTCGTTGATGGGCCCATGGTTATAATCCCCAGCAATGTTATAGATCAACAGGTATAGTGTGTTGATGACAATAAACAAGGAAGTAAAGGCTTTGTCACATTGTTAACATTCACGTCAAAGTACACATGAAATCTCGTTCATATCATCAGAGATGGGCGTACATGTTCCCGTACGCTACTTTCCTCTTGCGTAGAGCAGTTGTTCAGAGGTCAAATGATTAAGCTGTTGTTCTACCTTGATCATGCGAGCTGCCAAGTCACCAACAGCAATGACGAAGACACGTTTATTCATACTGCATATCAGCTTGTTATGTAAGTATAATGTATCATAGTTTAAAGTGTTTTGTAAGTAAGCGATCTATCGGGGTATTATGATATATGTAGGATGAGCAAGTGTGTGTGTGTGTGTGTGCGTGCGTGCGTGTGTGTGTTTGTGTGTGTGTGTCTGTGTATGTGTGTGTGCGTGCATGAATGTGAGTTTATGTGGGAGTGTGTGTGTGTCTGTGTATGTGTGTGTGTGCATGAGTGTGAGTTTATGTGGGAGTGTGTGTGTGTGTGTCTGTGTGTGTGTGTGTGCATGAGTGTGAGTTTATGTGGGAGTGTGGGTGTGTCTGTGTATGTGTGTGTGTGCATGAGTGTGAGTTTACACACACACACACACACACACACACACACATATATATATATATATATATATATATATATATATATATACATACACACAAGCACACACACCTATTCACACACATATACATATACGTACATACACACACGCACATACACACACACACACATACATACACATGCTGTCACTCGCGCGCACACGCACACACACACACATATATATATATATATATATATATATATATACATATACGCGCACGCACACACACACACCTATAAGTGATCACGTGGGGTACGACGTCACTCAATCAATTAAGTCACCTTACCAGGACAACCGATCGTTTTAGTCGCCCTTTGCGACAAGCATGGATTGTTGGGGGCCTAAGTGATGTAGCTTACTATAAAGTGATGTAGCCCAGCATAAAGGGATGTAGTCCTGTATAAAGTAGTGTAGCTTAGTATAAAGTTATGTAGGCCAGTATTAAGTGGTGAAGTCTGGTATAAAATGATGTAGCTTGGTATAACGTGGTGCAGCTTAGTATAAAGTGATTAAGCTTAGTATAAAGTGATGTAGCCTAGTATAAAGTGATGTAGCTTAGTATAAAGTGATGTAGTTTAGTATAAGGTGATGTAGCTTAGTATAAAGTGATGTAACTGAGTTTAAAATGAAGTAGCTTGGTATAACGTTGGGCAGCTAAGTATAAAGTGATTTAGCTTAGTATAAAGCGATGTAGCTTAGTATAAAGTGATGTAGATTAGTATAAAGTGATGTAGATTAGTATAAAGTGATGCAGCTTAGTATAAAGTGATGCAGCTTAGTATAAAGTGATGTAGATTAGTATAAAGTGATGTAGATTAGTATAAAAATGATGTAGTTAAGTATAAAGTGATGTGGCTTAGTATAAAGTGATGCAGCTTAGTATAAAGTGATGTAGATTAGTATAAAGTGATGTAGATTAGTATAAAGTGATGCAGCTTAGTATAAAGTGATGTAGATTAGTATAAAGTGATGCAGCTTAGTATAAAGTGATGAAGATTAGTATAAAGTGATGTAGATTAGTATAAAATGATGTAGCTTAGTATAAAGTGATGAAGATTAGTATAAAGTGATGTAGATTAGTATAAAATGATGTAGTTTAGTATAAAGTGATGTAGCCTGGTATACAAAAATAAAGACTAGCATGAAATGATGCAGGTAACGCGTTATCGTGGGAATCCGGGTGTGAATACAGCCCCCAACAAACCATGCTTGTCGTAAAAGGCGATAAAACGATCGGTTGTCCAGGTTAGTTGACTTTATACTAAGCTCAATCACTTTATACTGAGCTACATCACTTTATAGTCGGCTACATCACTTTATAGTGGGCTACATCACTTTATACCAGTCTGCATCGCTTTATACTAAGCTACATAATCTTATACTAAGCTACATCGCTTTATACCAAGCTACATCATTTTATACCAGACCACTTAATACTCGCCTACATCCTTTTATACTAAGCCCAATCACTTTATACTGGGCTACATCACTTTATACTGGGCTACGTCACTTTATACCAGTCTACATCACTTTATACTAAGATACGTCACTTTATACTAAGCTACATCATTTTATACCAGACTACATCACTTAATACTGGCCTACATCACTTTTTACTAAGATACACCACTTTATAGTGGGCTACATCACTTTACACTGGGCTACATCACTTTATACTTAGCTGTCACGCAAAGCTACATCACTATATACCAGGCTGTATAACTATATACTGAGCTTTATACAAGGCTATATAACTATATACTAAGCTACCAAACTTTACACTAAGCTACATTCATTTTTACAAAGGTATGTACGTTTTCACTGTTCATAAATGAATGTAACTGTCAGCGTCCACATGTTTCGTTCGTCACTTTAGGACTGAGCTTTAACTTGGGTTTCAGGTATTGCTTCCAGTGCAGCCGAGATGACGTCATCAGTAACGTCATCGATGACATCATCGGGTAAGTCTCAAGTTACTACTGGTGCACAATGATGAGATGACGATACCTGCTTTGTGACGTCTATGGATATGAAGTGAAGTCCAACTGTTTTATGGGAATGCTCTGGCACGACAGGCGCACGCACGCACACACACGCACGTGTAAACTCAGACAAAGTGAAAGTAAAAACTTATGAAAATAATCATATCTTTATTTTGTACCTCGAAAGATGTCGACAAAATTTCAATAACTACGTGTGTTTACCATGAGCCATGTCCAACAGCTAACTGTGGCGCGGGATAAAATAGTTACTTAAAATGAGAGGTGACGAGCGTATATACTTAAATTTATGTCCAGTGACATCTCCTGTAGTTTGGTTACTACAAATGATTTAATGTTATCAACATATGTTAAGAACTACATCCGCAAGTCAGTGACACAGTGCGTCGTAATACATTTACATCAGTAGTAAGTCTGTGAAACAGTGCGTCGTAATACATTTACGTCAGTAATCAGTGACACAGTGCGTCGTAATACATTTACATCAGTAGTGTGTCAGTGACACAGTGCGTCGTAATACATTTACATCAGTAGTGTGTCAGTGACACAGTGCGTCGTAATACATTTACATCAGTAGTATGTCAGTGACACAGTGCGTCGTAATACATTTACATCAGTAGTGTGTCAGTGACACAGTGCGTCGTAATACATTTACATCAGTAGTGTGTCAGTGACAGAGTGCGTCGTGATACATTTACATCAGTAGTGTGTCTGTGACATGGTGCGTAGTAATACATTTACGTCAGTAGTGTGTCAGTGACAGAGTGCGTTGTGATACATTTACATCAGTAGTGTGTCAGTGACACAGTGCGTCGTAATACATTTACATCAGTAGTGTGTCAGTGACACAGTGCGTCGTGATACATTTACATCAGTAGTATGTCCATGACACAGTGCGTCGTAATATATTTACATCAGAGATTTCTTAAGTTGTTTAGGAACCTGTCGCAATTGCAAATGTTAGTCATCGTTGATCAATTGGCAACTCATTCAAAGGTAATTGTTTAGATGTGTCAAATAGATCCCGAGGTAAATTCATAGGTTGCTGGAGACGGTCACTGTCATTCTAGACACGGATCGAGTCGATAGTTTGGGTGTGCATGTCTTCGTTTTATAGGGGCGGTCGGGTAGCCTAGTGGTTAAAGCGTTCGCTCGTCACGCCGAAGACCCGGGTTCGAATACCCACATGGGTACAATGTGTGAAGCCCATTTCTGGTGTCCCCCGCCGTGATATTGCTGGACTATTGCTAAAAGCGGCATAAAACCATACTCACTCACTCACTTTGTATTATATGGAGAGATAAAGATTACCGTGTATATTTTCTCGTAAACAAAGCCGGAAATATCAATCAGCTTTACAAACATTTTCCCCTAATCTTCGGGTGATTCAGTTAAAATTACCCAACTTCATGGAATTTTGACGGAACGGTTATCCTTCGATAAATACACAAAAAGTGAAAACCAATCCTGGCATTTAGATGTATGCATGATGAACAAATGATGTATACTCACACGCAAAAGAAACGCAAGTGGTTTTAAGCAAATAGGTAACAAACACGGAACCATAAATTGATACGAGTTTTAGCATGTAGTGAAGCCTGATGGTGTTATAATTTTTTTTGGTTGCATTTTGGAAGCCCCGAGTAAAAGCGCAACATAAAAAACGAATCGCCAAAACGCAGCATTTCAATGAATATGTGGGTATCATGCACCCATTTCTCGCGAAATCGAAAATGCACTAACTGTCACGAAATGTAGTGGGTATAAGACTGTGGCCGATTCTTAGCACCTACCACTCCTTGGTCAACAATGCCACACCTAACTCAAATTCAGAGAATCCAGGCTATCGGACGTTTTGAAGCTAGAGAGTCTGTCCAAGATGTTGCCCGTCATTTCAACGTTAACATAACCACAATTTACCGTCTCCTGCATCGATACAATGCTACACAGACCACAGATGACCTTCCTCGGAGCGGTCGTCCTAGGGTCACCACACCTCGACAAGATCGGCAGACTACCCGTCAACACCAGCGACATCCGTTCCTAACTGCAAGTGAAAGTGCTCGACAGACCATAGGAACACATAATCGACAGATTAGCCGGGACACTGTGATCCGACGTCTCCGTTCCAACAACCTCAGATGTCGCCGACCAGCACGTCGTCCTATTCTCCAACCACGGCATCGACAAGCACGACTCTCTGTGGGCACAGGGTCATCGCAATTGGCGTCATCGTGAGTGGAGGCGTGTCATCTTCTCTGATGAAAGTCGCTTTTTTGTCTCCCATGCAGATGGAAGAGTCAGAATTTGGCGGCAGCGTCGAGGTGATCGTTTCGCTGACAGAAACGTTGTGGAAAGGGATCCATGGGGTGGACCTAGCGTCATGATATGGGCAGGGATTGGTCTTAATGCGAGACTTGGACCCATGTGCTTTCTGAATGTTGGTCAAGGTCGGGGACACGGCGTCCTGCTCAGCGGTATATCGACCAAGTGATCGTACCCCTCGTTGTTCCATTTTTTTCACAACAACAACAACAACAACAAAAACAACAACAACAACAACAACAACAACAACACATTTTCCAGGAGGACAACGCTCGTCCCCATGTTGCCAGAGCTACCATGGCCTTTCTGCAACAACACAACATCCGTGTTCTACCGTGGCCAGCCCTCAGCCCTGATCTGAACCCCATCGAACACTTGTGGGATGAGGTTCAAAGGCGTCTGTACAATGTGCGCCCAGTCCCTACAACTGCCGATGAACCACGCCCAGCTGCTCTGGGTGTGTGCAGGAGGATCCCTAGGGCCTTCACAAATCGTCTGATCCACTCAATGTACAGGAGATGTGTGGCAGTGATCAATGCTAATGTTGGTCAAACCAGGTATTGACTGTCATTTTAGGTATTGACCCGAAACTGTGTAAGCCCTAAACATTTGAAAAAAAACCCAATTATGTCATCTGCCTTTTAATCCATTAAACTGTCTTCAGTCAAATTTTTGTCAATCTTGCCCAATTAGTATTTCTTGTCTTAACTGTTGAAAATAAATAACAAGTATACTGCATACTCGACTTGCGTTTCTTTTGCGTGTGAGTATAGTTCTATGCATTTACATCTTCCTTGTTACAATGACTGCTTTGTCGCTTCGGTGTAGATACTAACGCCGTGATGAAGCCAGTGATGAAGAGATATATGAAGTAGTGCGGTTTTATACACGTGGATAATTGATAATGTTTACACAACAGAAAAGGTTAAAGTATAAAGCCTGATTGATGTACATAAATAGGATTAACAAGGCACGATGGGTAAAACAATACAGTGACTGATATGAACAAGCCAAGATGAGAAGAGAAGGATTAATATATCTCATTTCCATTGTCCATTATATACATTTTATTTACAGTAAACTACGGTTAAAACGAACTCAAGGGAGTTTAGTTCGATATAACTGTAGTTCGTTATAAGCAGATATACAACATATCCTTCACTTCTTATACTGGCTTATAATCAACTTCCATATCAATCGCTGTATTTATTTCATGACATATTAATTATATTCATGTATATTAATGCACATCAATCAGACTTTATATTGCTAAGTCGGCGTTAAACAACAAACAAACAAACAATCAGACTTTTTACTTTAATCTTTTCTGTTGTGTAAACATTATCTTGTATAAACATCAATTATCCACGTGTATTCTGACGGCCTAAGAAACTTTACCACTTTAAATATGAAATTGCAACAATGTAAAAATACAAACTCAAACTAAATCAAGGCAAAACACATCGCCCAAACACAACAATGCTCTATTCAGAAAGCGATACACGTCCACGTCACGTATTTATGAAGGGAATTTGAAAAAAACACACGTGCCGCTTGGGAAGCCGAAACTACACGTGCCATGAGGATACATGAATGGTACGAACGGCATGTCAGACTGATAAAAATCCACCACAGAAATGCCACGACTGACACCAGAACAACGCGAGCGGGCCCTTAGTATGATGCAGATGGGAGCCACCCATGCCCGATGCTAGAACTTTTGGTTGCTCCCGTGTGGCTTGACACCCCTTGCTGCTGGATGACAGGACAGACATCAGGCAGGCCAAGAACAGGCAGACCCAGAGTAACTACGCACAATGAAGACCGGTATTGCGTACTTGCATCTCCGGAATCGATTCCTGACAGTGATGTCATCAGTGACGAATGCCTTAGGGAATATGGTTAGTCGACAGACAGTGGCCAAGAGACTCAGGGCTTAAGGAATTATGGCTTACAGACCTTACAGAGGACAGTTATTGACACAACATTTGCGTGTCTTGTATATAGCAGGTGGTGGTCATACACGCTATCAATGTGACGTGTCATTGAACTTTAGAGCGAATTTAGATGTGTGTGTGCCCTTTGTCCTTTTCGTAGAAAGCTTGTTTTTGCTATCCCATCTAAATTCGGCAATTGTCGTGCGAAGATCGGATGCTGTATGATTTAAAATGTCTATTTCGTTGAGATTTTGATGTTTTCAATAAATTTTACTTCATGCATCTGAAGTTTGTGGTTTTTAAACCGGAGTGATTTGAAACTGTTGTGAAATTGTGTTGGCCGTCAGTGTATATAAGCCCCCTGCTTCACATTTCTGTTTACACTTGCTTTATAACGGTGTTAGTATCTACTCCGAAACGTCGCAGTGATTGTGATAAAGAAGTTGTATATCCATAGAACGATATCCCTTGTTTAAGGATATATGCTGTTCACAGTCGGTCTACGCCTTGTCACACAAACATGTGCATGTTTCTCCGCGTCCCATTCAGAGATACTGAGGTGTCACAGACCTAAATCAAATCAAGCTCTTGTTATTAATTAATTGATCTTGTTTTAGTGATGCTTCAAAATAATTGAAAAACGGATTTTAACAATGAAAGAAACATTTGAAAATGTGGACTCTCCCCCAAACTGAAGAAACCTGATCTTATCTTGTACGCTACAAAACTCAATGGCAACGCATGCTACCTTCGCGAGACGTTAGTATCAGTACACAGATCACTGTGGAGAGCTTTCTGTGACAAGGCCTTTCGGATGATGTCATGACTGCAAAGAAAACATGTACTGTATGGTGCTAAAAAGCTTTTATCGGAATAAAATATTCTCCTTTGAACAGTTTGTTTAATTTTTTGATTGAATGTTCGTAACAGGGGCCCCCACAATATTTTGGCAGATCGACACATGAGAGTTCCCGATACTATTTTTAGACCTTGTTTCAAAAATTGTGTTTTTGGCGCACTGACACGAGGTCACAGAGGAATCGTTTTTGGGAAAGTAGTTCCGGGTCGCAAGTGCTTCCTGCAATTATCAAACAGCAACTTTCAACATCGATTTCATGTCAGTCAGTCACGAAGTTACGGAACAAAGAATAACACGTTTACTAAATTAATTATACCCGAATGCTTCCTCCAGCACACCGAACGAGGAAACTGTTATTGTGAATTTTATTTCCTTTTACAAACTTTCTGCTATGTATTTTCCTTGTTTTAAGTGTAGTCAGCTGTACACATAAACATGAGTGCAAGTGTGTATGTAACACTGTGTACTGACTCTCGCAGCAGGCTTCGTGATCAGGTTTCCGGTAGTGTGTCCCTTAAAAACTTGTCTGAAGACCCGTGAAGATCCGGGGTGGAATAGGTCTTCAGCAACCCATGCTTGTCGTGAGAGGTGACTAACAGGATAGGGTGGTCAGGCTCGCTGACTTGGTTTGATGCATGTCATTGATCCCAATTGCGTGGATCAATGCTCATGATATTAACCACTGGGTTGTCTGGTCCAGACTCGATTATTTACAGACCGCCGTCATATAGCTTGAATATTGCTGAGTGCGGCGTTAACCAACCAACCAACCAACTAACTAACAACTTTTCTGAATACACAGTACAAACTATTACAGGGTGTCTTACAGATCTTGTGTTATCATACTGCACTTCCAAAGACATTATTTACATGGAGCAGGAAGGAGCCAGAAAGGGATGTTTGGGTTGTAAGGATCAATTGCTGGTTCAGAAAATGATCCTTGCAGAGGCTAAAGGTACCGCCGTGACCTCTTAATGTGTAGGATAGACTACAGAGAAGCTTATGAGTTCTGTACCTCACGAAGGGTTTTTGAAGTCACTGAATTGTATTGACTTCCCCGAGCGGCTACTTGTTTTACTCAAGTCTTTAATGAATTGCTGGTCAACTCAACTTGAGATGTATTCGTTGGGGCAGGTGATGACTTCAGAACCCATTTCCATTGGAAGAGGAATATTTCAGTTCGATTCTTTAGTCCTTTGCTTTTCTGTTCATCACTGAATCCTTTGAGCCTTTTGCTCAGCAAAGAGGAAGGTTATCGTCCTGGACCTTCTTAGCACAGATCCCCAACACCCCTTATTTACCCCCTTTGCATAGATGACCCTGCATTTCTCTTGTCAAATCCTTTTCTAATGATATCGGCATGTCCTTTGGACTCGACAAGTGCAACATTCTTCATCTGAAACGTGGCAAGGTAGAAGAGGATCAGTCACTTAACTTATTGACCTTCTCGGGGAAGATCAGGCCTATACGTACTTAGGGATGCTGGTTAGGTACAAACTGCAGAATGCCCATTTCAAGACGTCGGGCAGAGTACAAATGTAGACTTAAGAAAATGTAGAGTTCAGTGCTGAACGCTCGCAATAAAATCAAAGCCCTTAATATGCTGTATCTGTCCTTCGTATTCTTTTGGTGATGTTGATTGGACGAAACAAGAAATTGAAGGTATTGGCATCCTGACACGAATAATTATGTCAGACAATAGATCCAAACAACCCTCGCTTATTTGTCTGATGACACTTGCATGGTGTACTCATGATGAAAACAAGGCATTCCACATTTTTCTTAAACGAGCCAAGGATGTGAGACATAATCTCAAATGTTCATGTGGATTTTGTTGACGGTTCTGTACTGCTGGACGTTAAAGAAATGAGTGTCAACCAAGCGAAGTGCCATATTGTACCAGAGTCAGTTTTTCAAGGAGAGGCTATCTGAACGACCACTGCATCGAGTTTATGTGCAGTGTGTTGAGAGCATCAGCAACCCTGCGGAGTGCTACGCTTGGATGAAGTCGGCTGGCCTGAACAGTGAAGGCTTTCTATTTGCTGCTCAGGACCAGTTACTTCCCACTCGAAACCGTCAATGTGTGATTTTGCATCAAAATGTAAACATGAAATGTAGATTATGCAATGAATTAAATGAAACTGTCCAGCACATCGTCAGTGGATGCCCAGCTTTGGCACAAACACAGTACCTTTAGCGACATGATGGAGTGGCTCGATCATTTTATTACGGTCTTAGCTTGTGGCTTTGACACGGAGGGTTATCCATGGTAGGAGCCCGAAATATGTATAGGGCGTCATTGATTGTCTCGTATACAGCCTCAGACCTATCCAGGCTAACAGATCCGATCTTGTCCTTTTTGATCAATCCAATGAAATCATTCATATCATCTTTTCATCATCTGTACCATTTTCTGTCACTTTTGACACTAATGTGAAAAAACATCATCAGGACCTCGCTTTCGAAATGTCACGCCTGCATCCCAATTACTAAGTTGTCTGACTCCCAATCTCATTAAAATCAGATTTAATTCTCGCTACCGCTAAATAAAGATCTGAGGACATCCCGTCAATTATTATGTATGTTCTTGCAGAATATTCCCGATCTGACTCAGAGGACCGTATCGTCTAAAAGTAGTTCCGGCATAGAATGTTAATTCACTTGAGTGTAAACGATTTTACATTTGGAGATAAATGTATTAGCTTTCCTCACTAACATACATGTATAAGGAAGGGTTTATATTTAACGCAAAATCAATTCTAACAAATCACGATCTATGACGGTGGTAAGAGAGCATTGATTCTTGTACTGAAGTCAGGTCAGGTCAGCCGCCATTTGTCATGAACTGTGACTTGTGGCGATATGTGAATTGTTGATCTTGCAGTCAATCACTGGTTTGCATGACCCAGAGTCCATTCTGCTATGATGTAGCTGGAATATGGCTGACCACGGAAGTTTACTAAGAAGAATTCACAGAACAAAAATCTTCTTTGATACTCAATCGTTCATGTACAATTTTTTAAATTATGAAATATTTGCAAATAATAATTTGATCAAGTAAGTTCTGGAGTGGAAAGTTGTCTCAGCGTACTGAACTTCATTTTCCGCAAACACCAATGTTTATTATGTAAATTATGTTAATGTATAATTTATGTAATAAATGTTTGTGAAGAAAATGCTTAATTCGTAATTCTTCAACAGAAGGATCAATTGCACTGTCAGCAACAGAGGAAACATCACTCGCTGGTCAGTCAATGAAAACACTCGCAGATATGGCGCTTTCTGAATCAATAACTGCAGCATCTGTAACAGCAGAATCAGCTGACGACACCAAAATGCCAACATCGGCTTCAATGGTGCTATTAACAACATCAGCATCATTGGCGTCATCAACGCTGAGAACGTTACCGGTCCCAGACAGTCAGTCAGAGCAAACATTTACAGATCCTTTGTCACAATCTTCGCCTTCAGTGCCCCGATCTTCTGATTTTATGTCAAATTCTCAAAAACCAACACCAGAAATAATGACATCAACAACACCACTTCCACCGGCTGCATTTTCAACAAAGGATGAAACTCCGGCACCAAACTCCATTCCATCTGCAGCTACATTGTCAACACCAGTTCTTACAGCAAACGTTTCAACAGGTGATTTAACGGCGGCACTGAGCACAAGTAATACATTCATTACATCGGAATCTACATTGTCAACACCAGTTCCAACAGCAACCGTTTCTACGGAAGATTTTACAGAGGCACCCAGGACACATATATCATTCCTTCCATCTACATTGTCAACACCAGTTCCAATAGCAATAATAAATTCTTCATTATCGGCAGCAATAACGCCGTTGTCAGCCTCACTAGCAACGTTCACTATCACAGCGGTGTTAACATCGGAATCAATACCATTACTATCTGGTTCCACATTGAAGTCAACAGAATTTGCTCAACCAAGGGCAATATCATCACCAATCACTGCACAACCAGCACCAACACCATCAACGCACATAACATCAGTATCCACGAGCACCTTCACGATATCTACTTTAATGACACCACAACAAGTAACACAGGAACACCAAGGTGGGTAGATGCTTCAGTAATCAGTAACACAAGAACACCCAGGTGGGTAGATGCTTCTGTAATCAGTAACACAAGAACACCCAGGTGGATAGATGCTTCTGTAATCAGTAACACAAGAACACCAAGGTGGGTGGTTAGATGCTTCTGTAATCAGTAACACAAGAACACCCAGGTGGTTTTATGTTTCTGTAAGTAGTAACACAAGAACACCAAGGTGGGTAGATGTTTCTGTAATCAGTAACACAAGAACACCAAGGTGGGTAGATGCTTCTGTTATCAGTAACACAAGAACATCCAGCTGGTTGGATGCTCCTGTAATCAGTAACACAAGAACACCCAGGTGGGTAGATGCTTCTGTAATCAGTAACACAAGAACACCCAGGTGGGTAGATGCTTCTGTAATCAGTAACACAAGAACACCCAGGTGGGTAGATGCTTCTGTAACCAGTTACACAAGAACACCCAGGTGGGTAGATGCTTCTGTAATCAGTAACACAAGAACACCGTGGTTTTATGCTTCTGTAATCAGTAACACAAGAACACCAATGTGGGTTGATGCTTCTGTAATCAGTAACACAAGAACACCAAGGTGGGTGGATGCGTCTGTAACCAGTTACACAAGAACACCAAGGTGGGTAGATGCTTCTGTAATCAGTAACACAAGAACATCCAGGTGGGTGGTTAGATGCTTCTGTAATCAGTGACATAACTACATCAATGTGGTTGGGTAGATGCTTCTGTGACTAGTAACACAAGAACACCAAGGTGGGTAGATGCTTCTGTAACCAGCAACACAAGAACACACAGGTGGGTAGATGCTTCTGTAATCAGTGACACAAGTACATCAAGGTGGTTTTATGTTTCTGTAATCAATAACACAAGAACAGTACAAGCATTCACACATGCATCTGCATGTACGTTGCTGTATAAGTGCAATAACTTTGAACGCGACGTTAAACACCATTTCATCTCAACTCACAATGTGAGACCTGAATGATTGTGTGCCATCGTACCCCAACGGCTTGGATCGCTGTAAAGGATCTCTTTGCTGACTGTGGCGTAAAATAATGTTCACTCACTGTTATGTTATCATCTGCGAATGCTAGGCTTAGAAATACATTCAAAGTTTGACATTAGTTGGACATTATTAAACTTAAAAACAATATATTTGATTTATTTAAATACAAATGGAAAACAGATACTAGAATTATAGTTGTTTCGGTCTGATAAGCTTCCTGTTAAAAAACACACAACTGATTTATGGAACAGCAACTTTTGTGCTTGAATTCTCCGCGTGACACAACATTCTTAATTATTTCTTAACAGATTCTACGGTAGGCTCAATTGACCATACCCGTATGTCAACGTCGGCAGAGTCGTCAACGTCAGCGGTAACTTCAACAGCCACGGACATCAAGCCAGAACAAACAGTTTCTCTGGCAAGTACATTTGGCAGCTTACAAATGCCAGCATCGTCATCACTGGTGCCGTCAGTGGAGCCGTCAGCAACATCGGCACCAGAAGTGTCATCAACAACATCGTCATCACTGGTGCCATCAGCAACATCGACTTCAGTGGAGCCGTCAGCAACATCGGCACCAGAAGTGTCATCAATAACAACGTCATCACTGGTGCCATCAGGAACTTTGCCGTCAGTGGAGCCGTCAGCAACATCGGCACCAGAAGTGTCATCAATAACAACGTCATCACTGGTGCCATCAGCAACTTTGCCGTCAGTGGAGCCGTCAGCAACATCGACTTCAGAGGTGCCATTTACAACATCGGCATCACAGGAGCCATCAGCAATATCAACATCGTTGGTGCCATCAGCAACATCGGCATCACAGGAGCCACCAGCAACATCAACATTGTTGGTGTCATCAGCAACGTCAATCTTATTTGTGCCATCAGCAACTTCGCCGTCACTGATGCCGTCAGCAACTTCGCCGTCACTGATGCCGTCAGCAACTTCGCCGTCACTGATGCCGTCAGCAACTTCGCCGTCACTGATGCCGTCAGCAACTTCGCCGTCACTGATGCCGTCAGCAACTTCGCCGTCACTGATGCCGTCAGCAACTTCGCGGTCACTGATGCCGTCAGCAACTTCGCCGTCACTGATGCCATCAGCAACATCGACGTCACTGGTGCCATCAGCAACGTCAACCTTATTGTTGCCATCAACAACTTCGCCGTCACTGGAGCCGTTAGCAACCTCGACATTATTGGTGTCATCAGCAACATCGACGTCACTGATGTCATCAGCAACATCAACGTCACTCGTGTCATCAGCGACATCGACATCATCACCAACATCGGACAGGCAGTCAGAGCAAACGTTCACAGATACAGTGCCACCTGAATCGTTAACGGAAATATATGTGACAACTTCAACACCTGCGACAACATCAACGCCACACATTACGTCTACAGCATCGTCACTGACAACAGTCAATTCAATATCAAGTTCAGTTTCACCGACAACGTCAACTGCAACGTCGCATTTAACAGATGCACACACTACAACTTCAGTATTTACTCCATCAGCATCTGCATTGTCATCGCCGGTATTAACACCAACATCTACATCAACATCTTCAGTACAATCAACATCCCTACTATCATCAACATCCCAACCATCATCAACAGGATCGATTTTAGCATCAGTGACAACAGACTCAACATCACTACCCGCTTCCCCCATCACTCCGCCATTATCAACACACACATCAGTGCTGTCATCAACAGCAACATCTTCACCTACATCTGTAACACCAGCATCACCATCAGATCAAACAGGTGAGTCGAGATGCATTAAATTAACATTGTGAAATATATTCTTATTCGTAGAAAAAACCCTCTATATCTATCTGACATTATGAGGTGAGGTGAAATGGGGCTTAACGTCGTGTCCAAGATTATTGCACGACGTACATGCGTGTGTGTGTGTGTAGCTGCTTGTACTAGTCCGGACTAATGTCGATTTATAGTGCTAGCCCACTGAGATACCATGCCGCAGTTTAACATGAATACCCCACTCAGACACAGAATACTGACACCGAGTCGACCAGTCCATGTTTTAGCCCCTTAATGCCGAGCGCCAGACAGGGTAACAACAAGTGCCATCTTTTAACGTCTCTTGGTATGACGCGGTCGGGAATCGAATCCCGGACCTTCTGCTCTCCGGGCGGACGCTCTACCACTAGGCCACGGAGGCTGTCTCTGACATTATGAAAATGATATTCACTTCATTTAATCACTCAGTATCACAAAGGTTTTCAAGTAAGATTATGAAAATAAAATTATGAAAAAGACAAACCATTTCCAAGGCCATTGTACGATTCCGAATACATATCTGAATAAGATCAGTCAGAAAACTTAAAGTTAATTTTATCTTTTCTTGTTAATGACAAGTTTTCTTCACCTTTGACAGGAAGAGTTGGCATATTCACCCGTGACTTCCACACCAACGAATGTGAACAGATGTTCCGCATTTAAATTTTACGAAACGGATGTCTCATACCTTTGAATTCAAACACGAGTTCCATAAAATCAGTATGACCAACGAGTGAGTGAGTTGGGTTTAACGCCGCGTTTAACATTATTCCAGTTATATCACGGCGTGTCAGCTTAATGCGGGAGGAAAGCCCGAAGTGATGCAGGTCTTAGACGTTTACTACTTCGGTGAAACCCACGAGCACGGGTATGGTGCTGACAAACCTAGAAACATAATTGGGGCGAACCTGGATTCGAACCCACAATCATAGGTTTCTGGCGTGCCCAAGGGACGCAACTCTGCACAGCGAGTCGCGGCGCCTTAGACGACCGGGCCACCCGTGCCCCCGTTCTTTGTCTGAACATATAGGTGTGGACAGGTTCCCACTACCCCGGTATTGTCCCCAGCAGAACAGGTTCCCAGTACAGTTGGGTAAAATGCCACCCTGTGCCCCCGACCAATGAATGAATGTACTGGTACTAGAATGTACAAAGGGTTCAAAGTGTCTTCATACCCGACTCCCTCACTCACCCTTGCTAGTCTACGGGCTAGTAACAACATTATTGATCGTCAATGATGACGCTGTATGTTTCAGGCTCGGGAGATACTGGCATCGTCGTCGGTGTATCCATCGGAGTAGTCCTTTTACTTGCTGTTGTCGTGTGTGTCCTTGTCGTCGTCAAACTAAGGTAATTAATAGTGTGTGCAGTTTACACAACTTTTACCAATATCCTAATTCCCTACGAGAGTGGACCGCCTCCGTGGTCTAATGGTAGAGCGTCCGCCCGGAGAGCGGAAGGTCCGAGGTTCGATCCCCAGCCGCGTCATACCAAAAGACGTTAAAAGATGGTACCTGTCTGGATCTCGGCATTAAGGGGCTAAAACAAGGACTGGTCGGTTCGGAGTTAGTATACTGTCCTGAGTGGGTTATTCATGTTAAACTGCGGCATGGTATATTAGTGGGCTAGCACTATAAATCGGCATCAGTCCGGACTAGTACAAGCAGCCACACACACACAACACCCACACACCCACACACCCACACACACACACACCCACACCCACCCACACACACACACACACACACACACACACACACACACACGTGCATACACGTCGCTATATAAGTGCAATAATCTTGGACGCGACTTTAAACCCCATTTCACCTCACCTCACCCGACGACAGAGACTACAAAAACTAGCCCACCACCCCTGACTCGAAATTCCTCGAAAGTATCTAAAATCATTTATGTCGAGTTAGGGTCAGGGTTAGGATTTATCTTAGGGTGCCCTAAACCAGGCAGGATTTGAAGCAGGGGTTTTGTTTCCAAAACATATCGTGGACTTTTGTCAGTGATGTTGCTGTTACTGCTGATAGCAACATTACGGCTTTCACGGCGACCCAGTAAACACCTGGTCTGAACCAGACAGACCAGTTTCTGCTGACACAGATCCCACTTGGCGTAAAGGACAAATAGCTGCGGAAATTATATGAATGGACCACTGAAAATCAGGGATGACACCAGGTGTTCGCGAAAAGGGTGAAAGCATGAGCAACAGACCACCCGATCCACCTGTACTGTACCTGAGTGTCACAACATACATGGCTGGGGACCACAGAGGCGGTCGGGTAGCCTAGTGGTTAAGGCGTTCGCTCGTCACGCCGAAGACCCGGGTTCGATTCCCGACATGGGTACAATGTGTGAAGCCCATTTCTGGTGTCCCCCGCCGTGATATTGCTGGAATATTGCTAAAAGCGGCGTAAAACCATACTCACTCACTCACTCATCCGAGGTTCCATCACAGGTTATATCAGTGGTTGTTAGGGTACCATAAGACAGCATACAACCCACCACCAAGCGACATTGAACTTTTCTAAGCCTTTAGTTAAAAAACATAAAAAGACGAACCATATTGATCATACTTGAATCTGGTCTTTTCCTCGCTTTGATACTTCCCTCAGTCAATAACCTGCAAACAAGCCCTACACAGGAGGTCACGTGCTGTGATCTGTCCAATCACACTATCATCAGAAATTCAGGGTTCAGGGTTAGGGTAAGGGTTAGGGTAACGCTTTTGAGTTAGGGTTAGGGTTTGAGTAAGGGTCAGGGTAAAGGTTTAAGTTAGGCTCAGGGTTCAAGATTAGGTTACATTTAGGGTTAGGTTTAATACAGTAGGATAGGTGCAACATGTACGATACTATCAGAAAGTCTTAAGATTCAATTTATCAGTAATGTTAGTAAGATTACAAGAATAAATACTTGAACGCACCATCTTCGTTTCTGCCGCAGGGTGATGAAGAAGAGACCATTATACGGCCGGATGGGTGAGTGAGTTTCTGGCACACTGTTCACGTGATACAGGTCTGTATGTAAAGTACAGGTGCACTCGGACATTGCTTGTTACCTCATCACAGAACTGAGAAGACCTCCACAACCTTTTCATATTGACCTTGACATAAGTCGGTGTATTTTTGTTATCAATTATGCTTCAGACGCGTAAACAATACTGATTTGTGACGTAGACTTAACATCTGGTGAAAAGCGTCTTATACTTTTGTGAATAATTATATGATACCCGAAACAAATACATCTCCAACAAATACATTTCCTGTTTGATTATTTTTTAGCCACAATCAAACATGTTGTATACTTTCTTCTGACCGGTATGACGTCTTCTGGTCATGTATACTGTGACCTCCCCGTTTGTCCTCAACCTTGAGACGTAATTTGACCATTACCACCCCTATACAGTGTTGTTTCTGAGTATTTAAAATTACTTACTTCATATCAACTCGATCAAAATAAGTCGTTGTTATAGCATCAGTTGGTAGACCAAAGCTGCAGTCACCACTGTGTTGTTTTTTTAGTATTTGTAACACTGCAATTGTCAACACCATTGTCAAGCAGACCGCCTCCGTGGTCTAATGGTAGAGCGTCCGCCCGGAGAGCGGAAGGTCCGGGGTTCGATCCCCAGCCGCGTCATCCCAAAAGACGTTAAAAGGTGGTACTTGTTGTAACCCTGTCTGGCGCTCGGCATTAAGGGGCTAAAAGAAGGACTGGTCGGCTCGGAGTCAGTATACTGTGTCTGAGTGGGGGTATTCATGTTAAACTGCTGCATGGAATCTCAGTGAGCTAGCACTATAAATCGGCATCAGTCCGGACTAGTACAAGCAGCCACACACACATACACGTACATGCACGTCGCTATATAAGTGCAATAATCTTGGACGCGACGTTAAACCCCATTTCACCTCACCTCACTATTGTCAAGCAAAATCTGTTTGTGTGTGTAGGCAGCAAGAAGATCCGAAAATCCTCCGAAACTTCCATCGAGATGACCTCGGTCATCACTGCGGTCGACAACTATGAAAACTTTCAGCCCGGTGATATTGATATCAGTGGATTAGCAGAGTACATCGCGAGAAAGATGCAGAACAACGAACTGGATGAAGAGTACAAGGTAACATCTGCCCTAAACTCATAGCACCTGTAAAAATTAGCTAGTGAGTCATTTGATTTTACGCCGCTTTTAGCAATATTTCAGCAATAGTACTGCGGGGGACACCAGAAATAGACTTTGTACCCATTTGGGGACCCACCGGACCTATATAACAGATGCAACACGATTACCATAGCAACCCATCCTCATCCACCCACCCAGTGTAGTATATCTCCTTTCTTTTATGATAAATCCTTGGCCCCATTCCCGACTATTGATTCGTTTTGAGTACGATGCAAAAAACACGACGCTAAAAGTCCATTCAGGTTCCACTTCCATGCGGGTGGCTTTTTGGGAACCAACTGACACGAGAAATAACAGTGACGTCACTTATTATAACTGCGAATGGGTCAAGAGAATTTGAAACAAAAGGAGATATAAACACTGGATAAACGAGGATGTTCGCGGCCAGGATCCGCTGGTCGTGGGTTCGAATCTCTGATCGCTTCGATTATGATCCTGTCGACACCTGTGAGCGTGTCTTTCACCAAGCGTGTTTCTTCCAATGTTATTAACAGAACACAGAGACACTGTTATTTGGCTGCAATACTGTCAGCAGGGTTGAAGACAACACTCGCTTACTCTATGGTGAAGTTCTGCTGTCACTGAGTATTTCTCCAGGTGGTGATTGTGTAGTGTGTGTGTTCTGCATATCATGCAGTCACGTATGTGGTGACATTTGCAGGCTTTACCATCAACCCCCTTTGAAGATACAGATGAACATGTTGGCCAGCTCGCCTGTAACAAAGAAAAGAACAGATTCGCAGACATATTTGCATGTACGTAATCTTCACTAGTTGGTTACCATAATACCACTGCCTTCTTTGCCGCTTCATCTTGGAGTATCAAGTTTTGTTGATGAAACTGACCACCCCCGTGGCCTAGTGGTAGAGCATCCGCCTGGAGAGCGTCGGGTCCCTGTCTAGCGCTCGGCATTAAGGGACTAAAACAAGGACTGTTCGGCTCGGAGTCAGTATACTGTGTCTGAGTTGGGTATTCATGTTAAACTGCGGCAAGGTATCTCAGTGAGCTAGCACTATAAATCGGCATCAGTCCGGACTAGCACAAGCAGCCACACAAACACACACACGTACATGCACGTTGCTATATAAGTGCAATAATCTTGGACGCGACGTTAAACCTCATTTCATCTCACCTCACCTGATGAAACTGTCAATCACGAACAGCGCTAATCAGATGTTTGTGTTTGTGTGTGTGTGCGTTCATAGTGCTAGCCCACAGAGATATGCCACAGTTTAACATGAATACCCCACTCATACACAGTATACTGACTCCGAGCCGACCAGTCCTTGCATCCCCTTGATGCCGAGCGCCAGGCATGGTAAAAACAAGTACCACCTTTAATGATTTTCATGTGCCCCCATCGCCCTACAGGGAAATATCAGTCCGTGAAAAGTCGTTCGGTTGTCTTCATTAATATGTGAAATAGATACTATTCATTTATACATTTACCTATCATCCAGCTCAGACCACCTCTGTTTACACCTCTCATATTATGTATCATTTCTGTGTGGGTACTTTTATGGCTATCCCACTCCTTCGGTCAGTGATCTCAATATTTCCACCAGAGTATATTGGCTTTAATTGAAACCCCTATATACAGCGTACCTATTTCAGACGACTGTTCCCGTGTTGTGTTACAACGAGGAGATGCATCCGGCACGGACTATATCAATGCTAATTTCATAACTGTAAGTATATTAATGTTAGTTTCGTAGCTGTAAGTATATCAATGTTACGTTCATAGCTGTAAGTATATCAATGTTACTTTCATCGTTGAGGGTTCATTTACCAGGAACTCAAAGATTCCAATGCCAACAGTTTAATGAAAGCATTATAACACTGCCAACAGTTTAATGAAAGCATTATAACACTGCCAACAGTTTAATGAAAATATGTTTAACACTGCCCACAGTTTGATAACAGCATGTTTAACACGGCCAACAATTTAATAACAATCATGTAAACATTGTCCACAGTTTAATAACAGCATGTATAACACTGTCACCAAACATCCATTTGTAAATGTGAGGCTTCGAGCTTTTCCCCCTCAGCAAGCTGTGATGTAATTTAAATAATGTTCTAAGTGCGTTAAACCATCGTTCAGTCATTCAACCTGAAGAACGTCCAGATTTGATTAGGCTTACAACTCTAGATTACAGTTTGTAGTACAATGAGTCACGGGTGGCCAAGTTGTCTATAGTGCCGCGATTCGCTGTGCAGAGTTGCGTCCCTTGGACACGCCAGAAACCTATGATTGTGGGTTCGAATCCCGGTTCACCCCGATTATGTTTCTAGGTTTGTCAGCATCATACCCGTGCTCGTGGGTTTCACCGAAGTGGTAAACGTCTGAGACCTGCATCACTTCGGGCTTTCCTCCCACATTAAGCTGACACGCCGTGATATAACTGGAATACTGTTAAAAGCGGCGTTAAACCCAACTCACTCACTCACTACTCTGTTGCAACACAGCCTTCCAATTGTGAGTGTTCTTTAACGTGTTTTGTGTGAAAAATATTCTAAGACAACATCCACAGGCTGATGATTGATGGTGACAAGTGATATGACATCCTTGTTAAGTCTACGGACTTCTTTCCTTAGTTTTCTTCACGTTTCAGCAAACACAGTCAACATGTTGTATTGTTAAAGTTTCACGACTACTTAATGCGTGTGAACTACAGTAAACTACGGTTATAACGAACTCAAAGGGACTACTAATTTTAGTTCCTTATTACCGTAGTTCGTTATAAGTATATATACAGCAAAACTACAGCAAATAGTCGGGACCAAAAAAGTAAGTTCGTTATATCCGTCAGTTCGTTATAAGCGTGTTCGTTATAACCGTAGTTTACTGTATTCTTCTGTGCAGGGCTACGGAGACAAACAGAGAGCTTACATAGCCGCACAAGGTAGGACAACCCATAGTCCTCGCCACTTGAAATAGAATCACGAAACATGGCGATTATTAATTAACGATTTCGAAGATAGCTGCATGTGTCCAAATACTTATATACTTAAGTATGTCTTCTGAACTTAAAGTGAAAAGAAGGCAAAACTAGATTCGACAGTCAGTTGACTGTGAGTGGTTATATGGTAGTGATCTTGGTCAATAGCACTTTAAATACGGCAATTACATGCTAGTAATGTACGCACGCTGCACACGCTGTAAATAGAGCCAAAACATAGTCACCTGACTGCCGAAGCTTACCCGGATGTTAATTGCGTAAACAAAACGCAATGAGGATGTTTACCGCTAGCAAAATGGATTCGTCTTGAAAAACGCACTTGCAATAATAAATTAATGTTTGTCACTGCTTTGTGTAATATTTCTTGATGGCTTGTTTTCACTTAATAAGTATTAACATACATGCACGTATCTACAGCATCAGGTTTAATTAAATTAATGTTTTTTTTAAAAACGCATTTCGCTTCTTTGATGCAAATTTTTGCGATAGAAAAAAATCCGATTCTGGACAAATTTGAAAAAGAAATATTTTGATATATTTTATTAAGAAACCGAAAATTGAAAGAAAAAACATCTGTCTCATGCGGAAAACTAGCTGACAGAAAAAAACCCTCCCCCCATTCAGTGAGCCCCTCCCGCCCAGTTTCCACCCATCCCCAGGACAAACCAGTTGGCTTCCTAGTAGATCTGACTATACCCTGTGACCCGTGAAGATCCGAGGTAGAACAGGTCTTCAGCAACCCATGCTAACAGTGAAAAACGACTATGATTGCCGTAAGAGGCGACTAACAGGATCGGATGGTCAGGCTCGCTGACTTGGTTAATGCATGTCATCGTATCCCATTGGCGTGAGATCGATGCTCCTGATGTCAGTCACTGGATTGTCTGGTCCAGACTCGATTATTTACAGACCGCCGTCAAATAGCTGAAATATTGCGTTAGACAATAAATTTAAAAAAAATAAAATAATAATAATTTGGTTTGGTGTGTTCAGGTCCGAACCCCCGCTCTCTGGCTGACTTCTGGCTGATGATCTGGCAAGAAGATGTCCGGTGTGTTGTCATGTTGACCAATCTTCGGGAAAACAACAGAGTGAGTTGAAGCCCTACACCAGACACGTACCGTGATAGTCCAACATTATGTCCTTCTGACTTTGAAGGAATTGTGTTATCTTACAATGTTTAACACATGTTCACCACTCGTGTAGCTAACACTATTTACCCGTCATTTTGTTCTAAAGTGCAGGGTGAAAGAGGTGGTGAGGTGAGGTTTAACGTCGCGTTCAAGATTATTGCACTTGCATGTACGTGTGTGTATTTGTGTGGCTGCTTGTACTAGTCCGGACTGATGCCGATTTATAGTGCTAGCTCACTGAGATACCATGCCGCAGTTTAACATGAATACCCCACTCAGACACAGTATACTGACTCCGAGCCGACCACTCCTTGTTTTAGCCCCTTAATGCCGAGCGCCAGACAGGGTAACAACAAGTACCATCGTTTAACGTCTTTTGGTATGACGCGGTCGGGGCTCTCCGGGCGGACGCTCTACCATTAGACCACAGAGGCGTCCCTCAGTGTGAAAGAAGGTACACACCTGTGTTTAGTGGTGCATAAAATGAAACAAACAAGAAATGGTTATTCGAAGGTGATGCATCATATATAGTTATGTTTTGGACCGTAAGACTGAAGTTTTTCGGCGACTGTTACCTTTGTAATGTTTTGGTCAAATCCAATTTTCAAGTTGACAGTTTCTTACTTTTCCCCGCATTTTATTTGCCAAAGTGCCTTGACACTCGTTTCCAATGGGCCTACCTCATGCTCACTGGTATCGAGAACAGCATTTGGAGAAATCCATATTAGAACCGTATAAAATAGTATTACTAGTTCACGTGACTATCACATTATATAACCCGAAACTGGTTGCATTCATAACCCTAATATAGTTGACGCTTGAAATTAAATTGTATACCAAGTTTCTATTGACTTTAATAAACATCTCTTCTAAAGGATTACGGGACTTTGAAGCCAGAGGACTACTCCCTTGCTTATGAAGTATGCAAGAAACAACGCGACTTCGTTCTATGTGTTCTACTTGTGCCCTATCAGTATGGGACACGAGTAAATATGTACCACAGTTCAGTTGTTGATGTCCTAAACATCTTGTTACTTTCTCTCTCCAGAGAAAGTGTGAAAAGTACTGGCCAGATGAGGGGTCACGTGACAGTTACGGTGACGTCGATGTGTCCTGCACCTGTGAGGATGTGACCTCCACGTACGTGGTCCGAGTGCTTCAGGCCGGTCATCACACGGTAAAACACATACGACATTTGCTTATGTGAGTGAGTGAGTGAGTGAGTGTCATTGCGTGTTGTCATAATCGCGTCTGGGCAAAGGAAAACAGTGGTTGATGGAACGAGCAGCGGTCATGTTATCAGGTTACCATGACAATCAGTAAGTACCCGTTTTAAAAACAAACGATCTCTATGCAACGACTGTACAATAGTCCCATGTTCTCTGTACATTCATGGGCTACCGATAGTCGGACATACCACTTAACTCGCTTTGAGGGGCCAGCAGACATATTGTAACCATCGGATTTTCATTAAAGTACTCACGGAAATGGAAAAACCCCTGTTTTTCTCAATTTAAAAATCGACTCAAAGTGTTACGTCGCTGTAAATACGAAAAGTACTAGTCTGGATTTGCTAGTTTGATCTCAGTGAACAATACAAAATGTACTTTACAGGAGGTAATTTGTCGTCACTTTCAACATTCAAAAATAAAACCAAGTCCAAATTGACATAGCAGAAACAGACTATAGGCATTATGCACCTGTTCTAACCTGTCGTCAAGGTGTCATAGGTCATGGACATTCACCTTGATCTACTTACACCTGGTTATGCTCTGTTTCACAATAATCTGTTTTATTCACATTTTTACACACTTTTACTTGTAAAAAGGCATTAAAAACCTTCGATACGCTGTATTTGTGCCAAGGCCCAATTAGTACTCATTGAGTTGTTTGAATATTTACATATTTTGTATATTAACTGCATTTATTTAAGATCTGAGGTCGAAAAAACATTTTTTTTTCATTTCCGTGAGTACTTTAGTCGGCTGTTACGACAAACATGTGGTGTCGGAGACCTGGGCCGACTTACACAAAGCGATCTTAGCGCTAAGATGATCGTAATTCCCATACTTTAACATAGGCTTACGGTAGTCATAGCGCTAAGATCGCTTTGTGCAAGTGGGTTCAGATCTACAATACCCGGTTGAATATTGGTTAGTTCGTGCGTAAACCTATAACAGTTTATCATGTTATTTTTCCATTTTTCCTATATTTTACATGTACACCTCTAGAAGACCACAGAGACTCGTCGAATTGTCCAGTATCATTTTACAACATGGCCAGACCATGGCGTTCCGTCAGCGCCCTCTCTCGTCGAGTTTTGGCAACAGGTGAAGGAACACAAGTCCACCATCAGACCCCTAGTAGTGCACTGCAGGTAGGAAAAACGCTTTACCTTATACGTGGAGATACTTCTGTGTTAGGAGATAGGTTACTGGGTTAATATGTTCACATGAACATTAATTAAGCACCATCTACTTTTTCGAATATGTGCTACATTAAACATGACTATTGTAATTCAGTGTTAGAACTGTGACAGAAGAATAGCAAAGTAACGAACAGAATGTCCGGCACTACCATTACACAAATCCTGAGTGAGTGAGTGAGTGAGTATGGTTTTACGCCGTTTTTAGCAATATTCCAGGAATATCACGGCGGGGGACACCAGAAATGGGTTTCACACATTGTACCCATGTCGGGAATCGAACCCGGGTCTTCGGCGTGACGAGCGAACGCTTTAACCACTAGGCTACCCGACCGCCCCTTTAGACAAATCCTGAGGCGGACACTAGCAGCCCAATGGGTTGATTGGCGTTGATTGGCGTTGATTGGCGTTATGCAAAGACGTCTCAAAACGTTCATGTCAACAACGCTGTAAGTATCAGCACCCAGCCCACACCACGAATCAGACTGTCACATTGAGCAGTGACAAACGATTATTGTCAGCCCAGGACTCACACTGACTCTGCAATCTGTATCTGGAGCTGTATCCACCCCTCTCAAGGAGGACATTCTCGAGGTGTCTCCCAATGTTGCTGATCAGACGTCTGATTTTCAACATTGGGATCCTCTGCCATTCCTGGTGCAGTGCCTTGGTCAGTTCATTAAGGGTTTGAAGTGGAGGGTATCTTGCTCTTGCTTGGCGGCCAAGATAATCCCAAAGGTATTCAGTTGGGTTCAGATCAGGGTTTGTCAGAACTGGATGTTGAATCAGGTGGTGCTTAATTAGGTGGTGCATATCAGTAGGCGTTGGACATATTCTGTCATCGACATAGATTTGTTGAAGAAACGTATTTGTGTAAAGAGGACATACATGGGGTGATCCCAAGATGTGTGACTGCTGGTGCAACCAGGGAAAGGGGGCGCTACTCTCACCCCTGCAAAGCCTGAACCTTGCGCCTCATTCATATTCTTCCCAATGGTAAACGAATCTTTTGATGACGTGGTGGCATTCGTGTACAAAGTACCAATCAGGCGAAGTTAAGCAACGTTGTTGCGGAGAGTTGGATGGGGGACCGTATTCGGCAAGCTGGGAGTTCGTAGGGCGTCGGTCCTGCCCCACACTAAAACACATGACACACGTAGTGTCTCGAATTTGTTCGAAATATGCCTCTGTTCAACCAGCAGTAAATGGGTACCCGGTAGAATGAGATGGTAATGTGTCTGTTAACTTCTTCTGCTCATAAGGCAGTTTGGGTTGTATACTCTCCAGGGAGTTGAGAATGAAATTCCAGTGCACCGTGACCGGGATAATAACGCAGCGCCTTGAGCATGCTTCAGGGTGTGGATATGACACGTGATACATTTTCACATGATCATTTTTGATTACATAGAAGTGGGACTCTTTTTCACAAAGGGCGGTACGACTGCCGAACTCTATGTTTAAGTATGGAAGTGAAGACAGTCAGTGCCCTGTGATCTCTCAGTGAAACGGGGCGGTCGGGTAGCCTAGTGGTTAAAGCGTTTGCTCGTCACGCCGAAGACCCGGGTTCGATTCCCGACATGGGTACAATGTGTAAAGCCCATTTCTGCTGTCCCCCGCCGTGATATTGCTGGAATATTGCTAAAAGCGGCGCAAAACCATACTCACTCACACTCTCAGTGAAACAGGGGTCTGTAAGATTTTAACTACAACTTAACAGCAGCAGAGGTTAGATTGCGCAATGGAAAGGCCACGTAAGCATATGACACAGACAGGTGCGTGTCATGACGTCACATTGTATGACATCACGTAAATGTATAGACAGTAAACTACGGTTATAACGAGCTCAAAGGGACTACTAATTTTAGTTCGTTATAACCGTAATTCGTTATACGCATATATACAGCATAACTACAGCATATAGTCGGGACTAAAAGGTTAGTTCGTTACATCCGTTAGTTCGTTATAAGCGTGTTCGTTATAACCGTAGTTTACTGTATGTGTGTTCGCTACAGCGCCGGGGTGGGCAGGACAGGCACCTTCATCGGCCTTGACGCACTGATGGAGAGATGCAAGGTCGAGAGCACCGTCAACGTCTTCAGGCGCGTCAGTTCCGTGAGAGGCGAGAGGATGAGCACGGTGCAGACCCGGGTAACTATGTCCCATTCAGTCGATAGACTAAAGTTGACTAAAGTTGACTAAAGTGCCGACACGATCACATAAACTCCCTTGTTAAGAGTGAGTGAGTTTGGGTTTACGCCGCTTTTAGGAATATTCCAGCAAAATCACGGCGGGGGACAGCAGAAATGGGCTTCACACATTGTACCCATGTCGGGATTCGAACCCGGGTCTTCGGCGTGACGAGCGAACGCTTTAACCACTAGGCTACCCGACCGCCCCCCCCCCCCCCCCCCCCCCCTTGTTAAGGACGACAACGAAATAATGAAATTCTCGTATAGTAAATTTCGTTGCATAAACGTTAATGCTACAGATACAGCGTCAAGAGAATTTCATCAATTTAAAATTGAACTTTAATTTATGGAATATAATGGTCACTAAGTCTTTTCTTGTCGCGTCCGTCATATACCCATCATTCTCGTTCTCAAGAGCTTCGCCAAATGCCGAACTGTGAAACACCTCCACTCCAGTGTCACACCTCTTTCACTATAGGCCTCGCTCCTCCCATATCGTGTTGACAGTGCTTCTTACCCTGTTAAAAGTGGCGTTGGCGTTGACACACCCGACGACACCCGAGAGATCGTAAATTGTTCATTTGCCGTACATTAAATCCCAAATATATAATATTGCATATAGTATGTGCTGCACGTGCATTTCATGTAAAGTGTGATCTTTTGCTGTGATCTAAATAAAACAGAGAAATTGTGACTGTACATAATCTGGAATGAATTTAATCGCTAAGCCTGGCACTATTATGGCGAATGTACCATGGCGGCTTTTTTCGGACAATGTGCTGTCAGACGTGTTCTGTCCAATATTTCACTGAGTAGAACAGTGTTTGTAGCTATTATTCGTATTTCATGGATATACAACAATTACTACAATTATAAAATGTCATGTCGAATACCTGGTTCGAATCCCATATGGGTACCCTCGTTGAAATCCGGGGGCACGCGTGGCCCAGTCGTCTAAGGCGCCGCGGTTCGCTGTGCAGAGTTGCGCCCCTTGGGCACGCCAGAAACCTTTGATTTTGGGTTCGAATCCCGGTTCTCCCCGATTATGTTTCTAGGTTTGTCAGCACCATACCCGTGCTCTTGGGTTTCACCGAAGTGGTAAACGTCTGAGACCTGCATCACTCCGGGCTTTCCTCCCACATTAAGCTGACACGCCGTGATATAACTGTAATAGTGTTAAAAGCGGCGTTAAACCCAACTCACTCACTCACTCGTTGAAATCCATATTGCTAAAAGTGTCGCAAAGGCATATTACTCACTCACTGATTGTTATCTGTTGCCCATAGCGTCAGTACACCTTCCTCCATCTGGTGCTGCTAGAAGCTCTCTACAGCGAAGGTACACATCGGCTATGTGAGGAGCTTGTTGCTGGGACACGCTGTGAGGAGGATCGCATCTATAAGGAATTTCAGGTATAATATTGGGTTGGTACGTATATATGTGACCGATATTAAACTTGAAGGCATATAATTATTGATTATTACACTCCCGGGGACAAGCATAATAGTCATACTCGGGACAAAACGGGACTCGACTCATCACGGGTTGTGCTGCTCAAAATTGTGACAATTTGATGACGTCACGTATTCACTGGGGCATGACATCTCAGAACGCATTTGTTATAATAATTTCCAGATCCATTTTTGTGATAAAATCTGGGAATCTTTGTTGTCAGGGATGACTTGGAACGCCTGTATGTCACATGGCACGGGTGGTCCAGTCTTCTTTTACGCCGCAACTCGCTGTTGAGAGCTGCGTCTCTTGGACGTGCTAAAAGCGACGTAAAACCAAACTAACTCACTCACAGGTTTCAGCAAAGTGGCAAATGTCCAACATCTGCAACACGTGGGCTTCCTGCTCCCATCAAGCTGATAGATCATTAAAACACAGATATACCCTTCACCCTCTCCTGTATAACGCCCTCACTATACCACTGCTCTGTGATCACACTGTTGTAGATGCTCCAGGAACTTAGAGATCTCAACAGGAATCGTGCTGCGCCAAATCATGCAGGTAAACCATTCTCCATAATTCAATTAATACCTTTTATTATAGATTTATTAAGATTATATTTTCACAATGGGAAATAACAGCCTCTGTGGTCTAGTGAATAGTGAATATGCACGTCATACCAAAAAACGTTAAAAGATGGTACCTGTTTTTCACTCGGCCTGGCGCTCAGTAGTAATGGCATAAAAAAAGGACTCCTCGGATCGAAGTCCACCTGGGTATCAATTTTAAAGTGCGGCCTGGTATCTCAGTGCAGTATTCTTGAACGCGACGCTACACCTCAATTCGCCTCTCCCAAAGGATATAACACATCAATGTATACTGTATCTGATAGAGTTACCTCCCCATATTATCTGAATCCAGTGTGACGCCAGACCGCATAACATCAGACAGGTATATCGAAAAGAGGACATCTGACATTTTTCTTGCCAAATAACACAAATAGTTTATATTCCTGAAAGGATCTCATTTGTCAGGTCACTTGATGAGATAAACATGTTATTGACAAGATATCCCTGGTTTCAAATAACAATGTGGAACAGCAATTATTGTCAACCACAGAGCACAGTTCAAACGTTCGATATCTTTAGGGGTTGGAGGGTTGGCAATATGTCCAAGGCAAAATCAACTTCCGTGGTTTTTACAGTTTTTACAGTACCTAAGACAGCCCCGAATCATTTATGCTATGATGCAATGATTTCTTTGTTTTTGTTCCTGTAAAGCAAAATCTCTTTGAGGATATCCACGGTTTCACAGTTAGGTTTGAGGTATATCAAAACTTTTTTTTATCCAAAATGGATCATCTGAACTGCTCCCCTAGTCAGTCTTTTCTATGCATATGTGTGGTGTTAAGCATCGCCTGTCTTCACACCAAGGTCATATCGCCTTGTGTCAATGTTTCAGAAGATGAAGGTGACGATGTTTCCAACATCCCGGTAAGTGAACCTAAAGTGTCGCCATCGATATCACAAACGCGTGTACGAAGTGTTTGGTGTGTAAATGTTGCATACGCAAATTCAGCATTGCGGTCGGTCATATGAACGGTATCGTTGGGTTTAATGTATATAAAACAGTATTTCAACCTCATCACGACATGTAAGGGAGGCAATCTGAAGTGATGCAGATCGTATACCGTTACCACTTGGCGAAACAAAAGACCTCGGGTATGGTTCTGACAGTCAAAAACGCGCCAAGATTTGACAATAATGTACTTGAGTTCTCAATGAATATATACGAGTGGAAAAACGTTAGTGTGCATAACGGTTATGGGTAATCATTACTAACCGCAAACAAATAACGATATTGCCAGAGAAAAATATATTGATGTCCATGAAACATGAAATATCATGACAATGTCCTCTGTAAACGTCATCCCTGGCTGAAAGTGGCGGGGGGTCAATTGTCAGTTCACAAGTCAGTATCGGGTTCGACCACCATTGGCAGTAACACAAACTTGACAACCTTCCCTCATTGACGACACAGAAAGGTCGAGGAAGGCTTGTTGGTTGTTGTTCTAGGCCTGTCGCAGCTAGACCAACGTCACCAGTTGGTTTGGAAGTCGGCGTTAATGACGTGTCATTTCATTCCACACATATGAGTGAAGGAATGTTCTATCGTCCAATATAGTCTCTGACCACACGTGTAACGTGAAGGCGTGCATTGTCCTTCTGTAATGTGACGTCCATGGTTCTGAAGGGACGTGAGGACGGATAACTTCGTCACGGTAACGTACACGTATCAAACTGTCATCCCACCATCGAATGCAGAACGCTGAACAACACACGCGTCAGCGTAACGTTCGACGTTGATAAACACGCTGACGATCATTTCTGGTGTCAGAATGAAACCTGGACTCATCTGTAAAGAAAACTAACCCCTAGTCCTATAACCCGAACCGTTGTTATTTTGAACATGCGTGGCGTGCAGTTTGATGAGACGGCAAAGCAATTGAACGTATCGCTGGACTTTCTACTCAATATTCCAGCTATATGACGTCGGTCTGTAAATAATCGAGTCTGGACCAGACAATCCAACGATTGATGTCATGAGCATCGATCCACCCAATTAGGATACAATGACATGCATCAACCAAGTCAGCGAGCCTGACCACCCGATCCCGTTAGTCGCCTCTTACGACAAGCATAGTCGCCTTTTACGGCAAGCATGGGTTGCTGAAGACCTATTCTACCCCGGATCTTCATGGGTAACATTCAGTTACAGAGATGCACGAGCCATTACATGGTTATAACGGGTAATCATGACAAAGTGTTTGTGCAAATGATTCTTATGCGTGATTCTGAAACATCCACAGTGATTATATTTCAATGTGAATTGTTCTGGTGCACAGGATCTTTTTCTGGGCTAGGTTTATATTTTACAAGCGCATCTCGAGAAGAATTCCTTATTCCTTAATGACTGTACCACTACACGATGCGGTCGTCATATGGCTTGGATACTGGTGACCGCGCTACTAAACAACAAACGAAAATAACACGTTATATTAACCTTTGAACTTGTCTGGTGGTTTAGTTAAGACTGTTCGCATGTATCCAGTGTCCTAAGATCTCAGACCGCCTCCGTAGTCTATAGAGAACGGAAGGTCTGTGGTTCGAGCCTCTTGCAGCGTCCTATCAAAAGACATTATAATATGGTACTTGTTGTTACCCTGCCTGACGTTCTGCTTGAGGAGATAAAGCACGGACTGACTGGCTCGGATTCAGTATGATGTGTCTGACTGGGGTATTCACCGTAACTGCGGCATGGTATCTCATGATTAGTGGGCTAGCACTATAAGACCTGAAACAGTCCGGGCTATTAATATCAGCCACACACACACATTACGTGCATGCAAGTACAGCTAATTTAATAATCTTGAACGTGACGTAAACCCCATTTCACCTCACCATCTCTTGTGTTCTCATTGATAACAATTATTTACATGTTTAAGTCCTATACAAGTGACGTAGAGTTCCTCTTGACGTCATCATCACAGCCAGCCAACGCAGCCAATCATCTATGGTCAATGGTGGACGATTACAAGGCAACGATCATATTAGCAATTTGTGATGAGGTAAGTGCACATATTGCTGAGTGCGGCGTTAAACATCAAAACAACAACAAAAACACAAACAAATAAACAAACAAACCATCTACCGCTACTTCCACCAATACTACAACATCCACCTCCCCTTTTCGTTTCACGTGGTCTACATGTTGCAGGTCGCTACTGGAATAATCCCAAGCCCTATCGGTGAGTCGCTGTTGGATGACAGCCTGCTGCTGACGCTGACGTCCTCCAGCTTCATCTCAGAGCACGTGCGGGAGACTGAGATAGTTGCGGAGCCCGATGATGACACGGTCAGTGTTATTTGCCTGAGTGAGTGAGTTGGGTTTAACGCCGCTTTTAACAGTATTTCAGTTATATCACGGCGTGTCAGCTTAATGTGGGAGGAAAGCCCGAAGTGATGCAGGTTTTAGACGTTTACCACTTCGGTGAAACCAACGAGCACGGGTATGGTGCTGACAAACCTAGAAACATAATCGGGGCGAACCGGGATTTAAACCCACAATCATAGGTTTCTGGCGTGCCCAAGGGACGTTACTCTGCACAGCGAACCGCGGCGCCTTGGCGCCTTGGCCACCCGTGCCCCCGGATTTCAACGAGGGTACCCATATAGGATTCGAACCAGGTATTCGACATGACATTTTATAATTGTAGTAATTGTTGTATATCTGCACATCGAGTCGCGGCGCCTTAGACGACTGGGCCACCCGTGCCCCCGTTCTTTGTCTGAACATGTAGGTGTGGATAGGTTCCCACTACCCCGGTATTGTCCCCAGCAGAACAGGTTCCCAGTACAGTTGGGTAAAATGGGATCCGTGTACCCCATTTGTCCCGAGTACCCAATTTGTCCTAAGTACCACGTGAACTGGCCCAAAGATGCCATCGTACCCTAACAGCATAGATCGTTGTTCTACTGCCAAGCGCTATATGCGTGCCTAGTCCATTTATTCTCTATGTTCCATAATATTGCAAAAGTAAATATGCAGTCGATTGTCCAGTTTGTGTATTTAAGTCAAGTGTAGCGCACATTAAGTCCCTATTCACCTCACTGTTTGTCCCACGCACAGTGACCGATGTGCAGACATGATAACATATTTGTGTTTTTGTACACAGCACTCCGAGGACGCAGCAAAGCCGTGGAAGGTGACGCTGTTCTCTACGCCGTCAGTGACGGCCTCAGTCAGCGAAGTCATCACCCTGGTGGAGCATTTGGAGAACACCCGGCACCTGGCTACAGAGAGTATTGTTGTATACAGCTGGTACGTTAAATGAACTCACATTGATGTATACAGCTGGTACGTTACCTGTATTCCCATTGTTGTATACAGCTGGTATGTTACCTGTATTCACATTGTTGTATACAGCTGGTATGTTACCTGTATTCACATTGTTGTATACAGCTGGTATGTTACCTGTATTCATATTGTTGTATACAGCTGGTACGTTACCTGCATTCATATTGTTGTATACAGCTGGTATGTTACCTGTATTCACATTGTTGTATACAGCTAGATGGTAACCTGTATTCACATTGTTGTATACAGCCGGTAAGGTTACCTGTATTCACATTGTTGTATACAGCTGGTATGTTACCTGTATTCACATTGGTGTATACAGCTGGTACGTTACCTGTATTCACATTGTTGTATACAGCTGGTACGTTACCTGTATTCACATTGTTGTATACAGCTGGTATGTTACCTGTATTCATATTGTTGTATACAGCTGGTATGTTACCTGTACTCGCATTGATGTATACAGCTGGTACGTTACCTGTATTCACATTGTTGTATACAGCTGGTACGTTACCTGCATTCACATTGTTGTATACAGCTGGTACGTTACCTGTATTCACATTGTTGTATACAGCTGGTAAGTTACCTGTATTCATATTGTTGTATACAGCTGGTACGTTACCTGCATTCACATTGTTGTATACAGCTGGTACGTTACCTGCATTCACATTGTTGTATACAGCTGGTCTGTTACCTGTATTCATATTGTTGTATACAGCTAGTACGTTACCTGCATTCACATTGTTGTATACAGCTGGTCTGTTACCTGTATTCATATTGTTGTATACAGCTGGTCTGTTACCTGCATTCACATTGTTGTATACAGCTGGTACGTTACCTGCATTCACATTGTTGTATACAGCTGGTATGTTACCTGTATCCATATTGTTGTATACAGCTAGTACGTTACCTGCATTCACATTGTTGTATACAGCTGGTACGTTACCTGCATTCACATTGTTGTATACAGCTGGTATGTTACCTCTACTGCTTGCACTGCACTAAGTGTGTAGGGCGTTAAGAGAAATGTAAACCACAGCTGTAGGTGATGAGATTATAATAAGATTTAAGCCGGTTTTTCATCTCTCTCCTCAGCCCCGACAGCCACCCCGCAACGTTGTTGTGCATCATCTGGAACATCATCCAGCGACTTCAGCGACACCCGGGCGTGGACATATTCCTCATCGTGAGGGAGATGCAATCTATCAAGCCGTCATATCACATCTCACAGGTGCGAAGAAGTCCAGCAATAAAATATTTATATGTAAAAGTGCCAAGCCAGTACACCTTGGGGGCGGTCGGGTAGCCTAGTGGTAAAGTGTTCACTCGTCACGCCGAAGACCCGGGTTCGATTCCCGACAAAGGTACAATGTGTGAAGCCCATTATTGGTGTTCCCCCGCCGTGATATTCCTGGAATATTGCTAAAAGCGGCATAAAACCATACTCACTCACTCACACATAAGGGACACGGAGTCTGGTTTTTTAAATATTTTGATATTTCACTTACTGTTATCGTAACCTTTTGAAAATTAACACGATTTGTCATACAAATATGCGATAAATCATGTATAAAGAACATATTGAATCGCTGAAAAGTGAAGCGAAAATGTCAAAAACTAAAATGAAAATGTCCGAAACAAAAACGAAAATGTCAAAAACAAAAACGAAAATGTCAAAAACAAAAAATTAAATGTCAAAAACTAAAATGAAAATATAGAAAAGTATTTCCACCGCTGTGAAAATTATTTACACCTCGGTGGGAATCTGTTTTATAAACGTTATCATTTAATTGGAACGGTGTACCTTCGCTAAGTGTTCGTCGTCATGATACCTGCCCGGGTTGACGTCCAGGCCGATAAGATCGTCGCCAGTAACATCAGATAATATTTCTATATCGAACATGTACAGTTCTAATACCGCAAGCATGGGTTGCTGATCTTCACGGGTCGATTGTATGTATCCCATCCAAAAGTGAGTGAGTGAGTGAGTATGGTATTATGCCGCTTTTAGCAATATTCCAGCAATATCACGGCGGGGGACACCAGAAATGGGCTTCACACATTGTACCCATGTCGGGATTCGAACCCGGGTCTTCTCCGGGACAAGCGAACGCTTTAACCACTAGGCTACCCGACCGCCCCTCCCATCCAAAAGACGTATGTAGTGTGATGATAGTGTATGAGTTATATCCAACGGCCATGTATCATTCCGGTAGACGTATGTAGTGTCAAGATTTGGGTTCGAATCTAGGTTCGCCCCGATTATGTTTCTAGGTTTGTCAGCACCATACGCGTGCTCGTGGGTTTCACCGAAGAGGTAAACGTCTGAGACCTGCATCACTTCGGGCTTTCCTCCCACATTAAGCTGACACGCCGTGACATAACTGGAATACTGTTAAAATTGGCGTTAAATCCAACTCACTCACTCCTGCACTCACTCACTCACTCACTAACTCTAGATAGTGTTTGTGTCATATCCGATAGACGTATGTATCGTTAGCTCATGTCAATTCAGTGTGGGATTACTGTATTGGTATGTGGATATCACACACATTAGCAGGATAAAGAATCCTGTCACAAATATGTTACAACAGTGTGCACTCTTTTCTGTTCCAGGATGACTATCGGTTTCTCTACACACTTGCCTCTGAATACGTCACCTCCACCAGCATCTATGCCAACGCATATGTATAGACGGAGTATTAGGACACACACGTGGAAGGAGTGTGTGAGTGAGTTGGTTTTAACGCCGTTGTTAACAGTATTCAAGTTATATCACGGTGTGTCAGCTTAATGTGGGAGGAAAGCCCGAAGTCATGCAGGTCTCAAAGGTTTACCACTTCGGTGAAACCCACGAGCACGTTATACTTAGTGCTGACAAACCTAGAAACATAATCGGGGCGAACCGGGATTTAAACCCACAATCATAGAGAGAGAGAGAGAGAGAGAGAGAGAGAGAGAGAGAGAGAGAGAGAGAGAGAGAGAGAGAGAGAGAGAGAGAGAGAGAGAGACAGAGAGAATATAATATATGGTTCATTCACACATTAAATGCATGCATCCTTATCCTTACCGCTTATTTATGATGAATATTAAGTTATGTAAAGCAATGTAAATAGCAACAACAAAACCACAAATCCACAGTACCGTGTATTCGTGTCTAAACACACATGATTCAAATACAAACTACTTAATTCCTACAATGTTGATGGATAAAATATTCAATCGATTCATATAATATTAAAATGGAATATGATAAAAATGTCTTTTAGAATCTCAATGATGGCCCGAATAAAGATACGCATGAATCATTCAAAGAATACGTGTGACGTGACCCCAGACCTGGCGGGGTGGGGTTTACCGTGTCACCGTCTTCACCAGGAGACTTTTTTATTTTTCAAGTGTTAAACTGCATTAATTATTTCTTCATCAGTTATATCGCTACTTCATACCTCTACACATCCCGAGCTGATTTGATTTTAGATATGTTCCTTAACAATTTCACTAAACCATGCCCTGTATATAACTTCAGGATTTAAGATTAAAAATATATGGCCATGCAATTCGTCCACAGAGAAGAATGGAGAATTCGGTTCTCTGGTGAAGCAATGTTTCTTAACAGTTTCCCAGAATCATTGACAGTCCATATCACGTTCTGCACCGACACTATTTGGAACGATTTTTGCACAAATTTACTATTCATTCCACAACATAGTGTTTTAAATTCCTTTTTTACTTCAAGATACCCTGTACAGTGAACTGTTTTACTTCAAGATACATGTACCTTCTACACAGTGAATTCTATTGTTTGTTTTTTCCTTAATGTAATCAAGATCTGATATTTGTTTGGTCAAATGATCACGTTCTCTGTGGAACCACTTGTGTTGTTGAACTCACTTCATTAATGTTTTCAGTGATAAATTAAAACCATGTTCACCACTGTTTGGCCTGTCATTCCCAATTGATTCTGTTTCGGCGGATAATCGAGACTGGTTCCTCTCTTGCCTTGCCTTTTTATATTGTGTAGATTTTGAGGAAAAAGCTAACCCAGAACCAGACTGTGTCGACACAGCTGGTAAATAAGAGCTTAAAAACCCAGTTTGTCAGCTGCATTCTGTACATTGAACGTTAAGTTTTTATAAAATTCGTCTGCAAATGAATTTATTGAATTTGTCATATATTGAGTGAGCTCATCACTAATCGTTGGGGTCCGTTAGTGTCTGTTACACGTTTCTCATTCTCAGCACGCGCGACTGTGTGTGAAATGTGATCACGTGATTCACTCGATACGCAAGGTTGTGTTAACTCCACAGCACTTGGAAGATGATCGGATTGAGTTATATACTCACCGACAAAAGAAACGCGAATACCATACACGTTGGTTCATTTACGAAGAATTACTCATATTCAAGAGATATTGGATTGGTTCGATGCACACACGAACATACTGTTATATTGTATGAACCGATGCTCATGAACGCATCACATGTGATGTCATAGATTCATGACTCCGGATCACAATTTGTCTCGTGCAGGATTAGCGTGTTAAGTTTGGAAATCACGTGCAGCACATTACGACACGAAAACCCCCACAATGTAACATTTGACTGATTGCTAGTTTTGACATTAAGTGGTACACATTGGAGACATCTCTTCTAAACATACTTCTCCATATGTTTCTGTGGTTCGCGTTACAACTCTGAATCTGCTGGAACATGTACATAGATTACAGATTACAGTAAACTACGGTTATAACGAACTCAAAGGGACTACTAATTTTAGTTCGTTATAACCGTAATTCGTTATAAGCATATATACAACATAACTACAGCATATAGTCGGGACTAAAAAGTTAGTTCGTAATATCCGTTAGTTCGTTATAAGCGTGTTCGTTATAACCGTAGTTTACTGTAGTTGGGAGCAAACAATAATCAATCAAATTGTTTCCTTGCACCGTACATGCAAATCCATGGTCATCAACAGCGCCCTTGCTGTTGTCTGCCGAGCGTATTAAGTATTTGTTTTTTATTTCCTTAAAATATATAGTATAATATCATAGTATCATAATTATTTTATAGTTCACTAACCGGAATATAGTCCACACTATCACCAAATAGAACCATGTCACAGGGTCGTAATTGATTTGCAAGAGTATAAGTTTGTGGATACACTTCAACATCTGTAATGTCTTGTGGAGAGGATGCAGCGGTATACTCAGGACCAAAGCCAAACACAATAAGTGAGTGAGTGAGTGAGTGAGTTGGGTTTAACGCCGCTTTTAACAGTATTCCAGTATATCGAGGCGTGTCAGCATAATGTGGGAGGAAAGCCCGAAGTGATGCAGGTCTCAGACGTTTACCACTTCGGTGAAACCCACGAGCACGCGTATGGTGCTGACAAACCTAGAAACATAATCGGGGCGAACCGGGATTCGAACCCACAATCATAGGTTTCTGGCGTGTCCAAGGGACGCAACTCTGCACAGCGAATCGCGGCGCCTTAGACGACAGGGTCACCCGTGCCCCCATTGCAAGATGATGCTACCCTCGTATAGTACTACTCTTAAAGGCAAGCAGACACTCATGCTCTAAAATGGAGGCCTACCTGATGCCCGTTCAACACAAATGTTAACAGGCCACAATCGTATAACCTCACCACATATGCAAAACAATTCATCGAGTGGACCAGAGAGTTATCTTCTCCGATACCAACATGTGCAGTTGAATCTGTATGTCTCAAACTGGCACCTGCAGACACCTGTTACATTTCGACACATGTGTAGTTGGTTGTGTTTGCGCGTTGTTCCTCGTCAGTTGTTAATTATTCATGTCAAAGAATGACCACAACAGAGTATGTTCGTGAAAATAATAGCCGCTTTTTCGTTCTTTCTTCCCGACAAAGCAACTGTTATCTGGGACGTGAATGGACTATATTCTATACTCCGTACCACATTCAGATTCAGTAAAACTTTGCAGACAATATTATTTTATTGCCCTTGAGAAAACTTGATCACACAAACTTCCAGTGTATACGTCAGAAAGTTCATACAGGTACCTTGGAGGTATAGCCGTTTATATCCATGGTGAAATAGTCTCTCCGGGTGTTAACAATACTGACATGATCGTTAGTCACTCGCTTAGTGTACTTCAAAGTGTTTATTGTTTATTCTTAGATATATTGAATTCATAGTGAAATAGTCTCTCTCGGTGTTAACAAAACTGAAATGGTTGTTGATCACTCTCTTGGTGTACTTCGAAGTGTGACATCTCATATCACCGTGGTAGGCATCCACTTCACCCTAGTTCCAGCATGTTACGACGTTCAACTCACTTACCCACGTGTGCCTAGTCATCAGTGTCTAGTCGTGAAGATCCGGGGTAGAATAGGTCACCAGCAACCAATGCTTGCCGTAAAAGGTGACTATATAAGCTTGTCGTAAGAGGCGACTAACGGGATCGGGTGGTCAGGCTCGCTGACTTGGTTGATACATGTTATCGTATCTCAATTGCGTGGATCGATGCCCATGAGATCAATCACTGGATTGTCTTGTCCAGACTCGTTTATTTACAGACCGCCGTCATATAGCTGGAATATCGCGTTAAACAACAAACAAACAAACAAAACATCAGTGTCTACATAGGTAAACCTTCATTTGACTCAGAGAAGAAGTAAAACACATGTCACACGAAACAGACGTACCCTGTACCTTGCCTCGTTGGTCAATACTGATCTGGCAATGAAATCATTACATGAGGTTTGGTGTTAACATGATGGCCCAACTACAGAAAGATCGGACAGTGTTGTAATTAAAGCGACAAAACACTTTGTATATTCATAAGGAAATATCTGCCAAAGGCAGAATTGATTATTCGAATTCGACTATTTCATGAGCATGTGTTAATGAATCACAATGAAATAGTGATGATACAAGGTGTTCGTAAAAAGCTTTTCAAGCCCCACCGATGGCACCCGTCACAATCACATACAAAAGTATAAAGCATCGCACTTCACTTCCACTGCACCTGCTCCTCATCTACAGTAAACTACGGTTATAACGAGCTCAAAGGGACCACTAATATTAGTTCGTTATAACCATAATTCGTTATAAGCATATATACAGCATAAATACAGCAAATGACCAGGACCTAAACTCTTCGTTATATCCGTCGGTTCATTATAAAAGTGTTCGTTTAAACGATATTTACTGTATCTTATAATAAACAGGTATTCATACATGTTTTAAGCACAGATCTTGACATCACATTATTCAATAATGATCGAAATAAACCATCAAGACGATGCAAATGCTTGCGAAACCCGTAATTTATCGTAGGTTGTCAGTCTGTCAGAGACAGTCATCTCAAATGACTCATGATCAAAGGGAATTCATCAGAAGGTTCTATGGATGATTGCTTCAAACACAAAGGATCCGGCTTCACTCACACATAACTAATGTCGGCATTACACAAGAAACAAGATAATCGTTCTACTTCATCCCAACAGTGTATGCACTAAGGCATATTGTCTTAAATACTTGTTTGACAGTCAACACATTATTAAACTGCGCAATACTCATCTAGATGTGACGACGTATATTCCTTATCTGACCCAGGTATGACTTTCATTCAAAACCATAGGTTTGGTGTTCGAAATATGAATTGCATTAAAAAGGAATATCTTTCTAAAGTGTATCATTTAAAATATTGTTGGTCAAGTGACCTCAATATATAGAAGAACTTAAATGAAAGGAAAAGGTTACTTCGCTTCCTACATTGACCCACTTTGATTTTTTAAGACTTGAATTCAATATTTTTTAACCAAACACCCGACCTACAAATGTTAACTTTATTC